TTTTGTTTCTGAATTATAATAGATGAAGAAGTAAAATGTCTTTCATTAAAATTTAAAATTAATTCATAAAGATAAAACAGAAAAGAATTCAGTTTAATTTGCAATAGTGATATCATTGGTTTAATTATTGATTTAATTATTTAATTTCTAATTAATCGGTCTTTTATCGGGAAATATTGTTTTTTCTCTTTCACACACACACACACACACACACACACACACACACACACACACACACACACACACACACACACACACACACACACAGACACACACACACACACACACACACACACACACACACACACACACAGACACACACACACACACACACACACACACACACACACACACGCGTTACAGCCTTTTTCGTGTTATTTCTACCATTTAAAAATTTTTTTGTTTGATTTTTTTTAATTTATTTGAGCTGTCAGTGGTTTACAACAAAAAATTCATTACTGAAAATATGTAACATTGATATATATATAATGTGAGAAAAAATTTAAAAATGAAATTTTTTCACACAATTTGATCGGTTGTGATTAAAATTTTTATTAAAAAATTTTTCTCATCTTCTAAACTTTCAAAATTTTCTCATTTGTTTTGCTATAATTATTTATCTTATTTACTATTTAAAAAACACTTTTTTTTTCTTATCAAATTTATTCGCCATTTTTTTTTTTTTTTTGCTTCATTTTTTTTTTCATTTATTTCTTAGCTTTTTTCTCACTCTCAAACTTATTTACTAATTAAAAAAACTTTAAAAAATTCAAAAGTCAATTAAAATATAAATTTTTATCTAAAAGTGAAAAAAGTATTGGGCTGAAATAAGTAAATTTAACAATACAATGATCAGTATTTAGTGAAATTTAACAATGATAATGTGATAAGAAATGAAAAAGTATTTTGTGAATTTATCTGCACAGTTTTTTCAATTTCAGTGAGTTAAAAAGGCTTATCATTAGCCTGGGAGAAAGGGAAGAAAAAGTGAAGGAAATCGTTTATGTTTGTTCTGAAATAGTCATAAGGCATTAGATTGAGTCCTAAAATTGATTAGGCTGTTTATAACTATCCTCAATACGCATATATATTTTCATATCTAGCTTTTTATTGAAATATTCTCCTTCATTCATTTTTCCTTTTTTTGATAAAATTGAAATTTAAACCTGTTTTAGTTTTAAATTATAATTTAAAACATTGATATTTGTGATACAATTGAAAAATTTAAACTAGTAAATCATTGTAAAATCCATTTCATTTGTATTTATACTTTTTATCTTTATTTGTTATCGTAACTTGTGCTTTTTTCATCAGTACATTTTTTTTTTTTTTTATTTCACTCATCTTAAAAAAGATTATTTAAAAAAAAGAAAAATGCTGAAATTGGATTTTGATCTTAATCATTGATTGATCGAGTGTGGTTGATGAATTGATTATTTTGAAGGTAACATCAGCGATAACTTCATTTTAACCTTCTCTCTTTCTTTACCCTACATCATTTATTTTACCCAAATTAGATAGCATCTATACCTACCCATCATTAATAATTAGTTATTTCATTTGCCCATCGTCAAGTGGTTAGATGAGGATTATATACCGCGGTTAATTGAAATGGAATGGAATGCGCATATACATATTTATATGTCTGCATGAATTGTAATTGAGATGCCCTTTTGTCGTTGTACGGGTAATTCGTGAGGAAGTGAGAGCTTATCAGTGATCGGATCTATCATCAAACTGACTTTGTGGTCTGTCTCTAAAAACATATCTTTGCTTACTCTCAAATGTCCTCCAAATAATTTATCAAATTTTGTCCACTCACTACCATTGACCTCAAATAACCTTATCAGATTAGGTTGGGACAAAATTTTTTCTTCAAAAATTTTCTATAAATTAGTGATAAATTTTTTTTCTAGCAATAAAATAATTAAGCAAAACAAAAAAGGAATGAAATCATTTAATGATAATTTATTCCATCTATTTATTTTTTTCTTTTTATATATAATTAAATGAATAAAAAAGGTAGAAATGGAATCATTCAATGATAATTTATTCCATCCGTCTTTTTCTTTTTTATTTTCTTTAATATGCAAGGTTAAATTATTTGACTCCAACTTTTTTATTATGAGCAAACTTTTTATTATCGAATCATCACTGATACTACTACTATTGCAATTAAGTTCTGATTTTTTTCTCATTTTCGAAAAATTGAGATGTGTTTAAATTGAGAATAATTCTATTAAAATGGATTATATTATTTTAAAGGATATATATATATAGACAGATAATTTTTTACTTCTTTTTAAATTGTTGGTAAATTGTCTTTTTTTCAAATTGTTATTTTAAATCAATTCACCACTCATAATACTCGTTAAAGAATTTTAATAAGGTATTATCAAAATATTAGCAAATGAAGTGATAAGGTAGTATTATATTTTATCTTATTATTTTCTAATTCGTTTGAAATTCGATCAATCTTATTGAGTATGAATAAATTTTACAAAAAAAAAATGTCGCTATTATCATTGTCCTTCAATCTAATCAATTTCTAAATGATTAAAATCATTGGTCTCTTATCGATTATTGATATGATCTTAGGTCGCAAAAAGTCATTTCATATAAATACAGAGACAATGTAATCAATGAAACGATTAAAATAAATGATTAACTGAAAATAACATTTGTAAAAATTTTATTCTATGCTTTTAAAATGCATTCCATTTGTTTTGTTTTGTTTTTCCTTTTTTAATCACATTCACTTAACTATCCAAAATAATTCTAATATTCTGTTAAATATTAAAGGAAAAAAATTAAAATAGAAAAGGGAAATATATTCTTTTTTTTTCTTTTGTGTCGTAAATGAGTGTTATCCAAATTTTTTTTCTTATTTTCTTCTTAAATATTATTATTGTTAAAATTATTCAAATTGATATGAAAACTAAGCATTTTTCTTCTTTTTTTCCTTCCTTTTTTTTATTACATTTATTTAAAATGTAAAATACGCATGAATGCTCAATTATTTCATCATTTTCAGTAGAATATTTGCAAAAAAAAATTTTTTTCTCTGTTGTGATAACTAAATTATTTAGTATTACTTAAAAAGTGGTGTCATCTAATTTAATCATCAAAAGAAATGAATTAATCCAGTTATTTGAAAGAAAAAAAAAACAAATGATTATTATTCTTTAATACATTCTTTCTATTTAATCTTATATAGTATTCGATTAATAACAGATATTCTTTTTTTAATTATATTGCTTCAGCAAATCTTTTTTTTTTTTTTTCCATCAAAATTTTTACATAACTTAAATGGATATTGATGATTGAAATTGTGAATATGGAAATAGGTTAATTATAAGTTCTACTGAAATGGCACTTTTTGCATTCAAACAATTAAAATTGTATTATTAAATATTTGAGTTTTTACCAAATCATGTTAATATTAGTATGAAATATCAATATTTATCTTCTATTATCTTATCACTGTTATTTCTTCAATCATTTGAAATAATCTTTAATCTCATATCAGCCTACTATCTTTAAAAGTTACAAATTTTCTCTTCAAAAGAGATTTTTTTAATTAAGGAGATAACATTGTTGAAATATTCTCCATTAACTTACTATACAGTGCCAATAAGATTCCATTAATAATACTATTTACTTATACTTAAATTAATTTACTAGGTTGTAGATTGTTGTAACCTTTAAGGTTATAACAATGTACTAAATAGTTAATAATTATTCCATTATTTTTCACAATGATTTCTGTTCTTTTTCTTTTCTTTTTTTTTTTAACGAATTGGTTCCAACATTTTATGAGTTTTCCCGAAGAAAATGATATAATCAATTATTAGTGATTAAATTTTACCAGTTACTACTAATTAAGCGTTTCTGATTAACCTTTATCAATTACTGGCAATTAAGCTTTATATTTTAATTATTTCAGTAATCACTATTTAAATGCAAAATTTTGCTAACATTTTGAGAATATCATAAATAAATCAGGAAGTTTTGATAATTAAATGATAAGCAAGTAAAGAAGTGTTGCAATAATATTTCGATCATTTCAATCGTTATCAGTAATAATGCAATGAAAAATAAACATAATTTACTTTGAAATATTGCTAGCAATGATTTCAGCATGCAATATTTTTAAATATTGCTTATAAAAATTAGCACTAAAATTATCAATTGATCAATTTAATTTTTACTGCTATTATTCTATTAATCATTACTAATTTAATATTATCATTATTATTTATTAGTCCATTATCAGTTAATATTACTATTATTCTGTTAGTCCATTACCAGTTTATATTACTATTATTCTATTAATCATTATATTTTGTCCGTTCTTACCTTAAGATTTTATGAATAATATTCAGGAAAAGAAAATGAATGTTATCTGATTTTTTTACAATAAATCTTTTTTCTTTTATAAATGCTTTGAAATTATTCTTTAATGCAAGATTTACAAAGGGAAAAAAATCTTAAAACTTCAATCTGTTTTTTCTCATTTTTAATTTTCCTTATTTGAAAATTTTTCTTTTCCTTCTTTTTTGTTTTGGCCAATTTTAATCAAAATATTGATGTAATTTCAAATGAATTGCTTTTGAAAAAGATTGTTACTTTGCGCTATTATTTCAATTAATTAATTGTTGTTTTACGCTTTGAAATATTTTTTCTTTTATTTTTTAAATTTATGCATACGAGTCAATGACTTTTTATTTATTTATTTTTTAAACTTTCATAAAAGATTATGAAATATAAATAAGATAGGAAAAGCGATACAATGAATCATGTCAAAAATTGCGCTGTAATCAATTAATAATATTAAAAAAAAAGTCGTTAGAATATTTTGTACTTATTTTATGTTAATTTGAATAAACAATTAATTCTTTAGGAGATTTTTATGAAAATAAGTAGAAGATGCGACGAAAACGCCAAATTCAAATTCGCTAGATTTTATTGTAACGAAAAAGCATCATCGATTAGCTAGCATGATGATGCAAATTGAACAGCAATATTTGAATTTAAACGATGTTCGAATGGTACTTCACTTTCTATAATTCCTTTTTATTAGTGAAAATTTTTAACTTATCTAATAATTCGAATACATTCATAATTAAAAATGATTTACTGAAATGAAATTTGTATTTTATTTTTATTATTATTAATTATTATCTTAACTGATTATTTATTGTTTAAAAATCAATCTCAGTGTTTAATAAAAGTTAAGATATGATTACTACTAGTAATTTTATGATTAAAATTTGCTTTTTTTTTTATAAATGAAATTTATTACGAATTATTGGCAGTAATTATTGAAATACTGAATAAATAATGGATGATTGCATCATTTGATTCAATATTTAATTATTTGATTAAATGTCAAAGAAGAATGTCAAAAAAAAAATTCACTTTCTTCCAGTTCATTCACAATTTAAATATTTTTCCCTTCTTTTTTTTTTAAAGCAATGAAACACTGATGACACAAATGTTTTTTTCCATTAATTTTTTCCTTTAATGTCTGAAATATAATCAAAATTTTTTTTTAATTATTAAATAAAAACGAAATGATTAGAGAAAGAAAAGGAATATATATATATATATATCAAAAACATAAAAAAGAGAAATGATTGTATTGTCATTTTTTTTTCTTTTGAATTTTAAAAGCAAAATGATAAGAGGAAGGAAAAAAGAAGAGCAAAAAATAAATCGATTTCTTGTTTTTCTTTCTTTTTTATTTTTTCATATAACAGAGTCAATCAACAGAAGCGACAGTAGCGCCACCACCAGTTGTAATTTGTCCAACCGAAGTGGACAATGTTAATATAACATTAGAGAAGAATCAGCAATGTGCATGCAAAGATTGCGGTAAATTATTCAATTCGGTATGGTATCTTAAACAACACGCAGTAAAGCATTCCAATGATCGACCATTTAAATGCAAATTTTGTTATAAGGTTTCATTTCAATTTTTTTTTTTTTTTTTGTTTAGATTATCATTTAAAAATAATTATATGAAAAAGAGAGGAAAGAAAAAAAAAAAACAAAAACAAAACGAAGTAAAAGAAAATACTGCCTATAAAACTATATATCTTATTGTTCATACAATTCCATCTATTAGGAAAAAAAAATTCTTTTTTTTCCCAAATGTTTTTAAATTTTATTCATTCATAAAAAACATTTTTTTTTACAATTTAGCTATACATGGATTTTTCTTGTCTAATATATCAGCACGTTAAAAAAAACAGCATTTTTTTGGAGATTAGTTCGATTTATTTTACCTTTTGTGTTTCATATTTATTTCATTTAATGTTAAATTCTTTTTTTTTTTTCTTTTTAGAAATCTGTGCAAATTCTATCATTTATCAGTGTTGCAAAATTTTGTTTAATATTAACATTTAATTTCATTTGTATAGCAATATGCAAAAAGAGAAAGAATTATATGTAGCTTGGTTAATAATTCATTTACAAATTTTTATTATCATTAATGGATAATTAATTAATTAGGAAGATATAATTAAAAATGAATGTTTAGTGGATTGTGGGATGCAATTTGCGTGCTAAAAATGTGTTAGGATGAAAATGTAGGACCAATGATGTTATTAGGTTATCATTAATTTTAAGAAAAAGTGTATTACGGAAGGATGTGTAGAGTGTTAGTTGGTGTTAAATAAGTGTTAGTTGGTGATAGTAAGTGGAAAAGGAAGAAAATGATATCTTTTAGTTAATTAATTAGGTAGGAAAAAAGCATTCAGTCGATTGCATTATCATTCTTTTATCATCGTTTTAATTCCTTAAATTTATTTATTTGTATTTATTTTTTCAATTTGTTTTAAAAAAAAAGAGCTACCATATGCCTTTCATATAATTTTATAAAATCTATTATATATATATATATATATATATATATATATATATATATATATATATATGCATAATTTTATAATTTTTCATAACATAATTTTATTTTTTTATTAAATTTATTTACAATTTTTTTCTTTTCAATTCATCCGTTATTTTCTCTATTTTTTTCTTTCTTTTTTATTAGTAGGTTGTTAATTTTTCAAAATAATAAAAAAGAAAGAAAGAAAAGAGAAAGGAGAAAAACTTGTTAAATTTACTTTTTTCTTTTTTTATTTCTTCAGACTTACAAATTTCGATCAAATCTGTATCAGCATAAATGTCCGGATCGCACCAAAAATGGCAATTTGTTAGTCGTTTTATTTTGTTTCTTTCCTTTTTTTAACCTGTTTTTTTTTTTTCTTCCTTCTTTTCTCCTCTCTCTCTCTCTCCCTTTTGCTTTTTTTGCTTTCTAGAAAGTTATGTTTTTTTTCTTTGTATTTTGCAGACCATTTAACAAACGTTTGATGTATCGTTTAACAGTTAATCAGTCAAATCTGTTTGACACACGAGAATTGTCGTTGCAGCAAACGTCGGAAAGGTTTGCTCAATCCGATTTTGGCAATTTTTTTAGGTCTGTTTGATTTAATTTTTTTTTTTTTTTAAAAAAGATGGAAGTCAAATATTTCGATCAAATTGCAAGATTGAACATTTGTAATTTTTTTTGTTCTATGGAAAAGATTATAATCTAACCTTTTCATTCATCTTTTAAAGTATCAAAATTTTTCTAAATTTTAATTTTTGTATTATTATTATTATTATTACGGTTATATAGATAATCAAATAAAATATTATAAAATGTTTTTTTAGTTTTTTTTTTTTTTTTTTTTTTTGTTTATATTTTATATTTGCATAAAAAATTTTAATTTTTTATTTTTACAGTAGTAATCGACGATCAAATTTCACCATATCAAGTAAACCAATTGAGCAACATATTGAATCAATTGATATTCCAATTGAAGCAATTACATCCGAAGTATTAGCAGTAAAACAAACTGAATTGCATGAACCAATTGCGCCAAAACGGTTTTTAGAGCAAACTGTTATCGATAATTACTTACAAAAATATAGGAATAAGGTAAAAAAAAAAAAAAAAAAAACATTTTAAATTGTAAGTGAAAAAATGATTGATTATAATAAATAAAATGTAATTATTCTTTTAAATAGATAATATATTTAATGAATATTTATTATAATTATTTTTGATTTATGGAATTTACCAAACTAATTAATAAATGAAAAAAATTTTCACTTTAATAAATCAAATTCATTTCTCTCTTACTATAAATATTAATGTCTTCTTTTTTTCCGTTATCGTTATTGTTTTTCTTGTTATTGCATTAATTTTTTCCTTTTTTTTTCTTCCTTTTTTTTTTTTTTTTTTTTTTTTTTTGGTAAATACCGAATAATTTTTGATAATAACTTTCATGTTTTTTCGTTTTTTTTTTTCCCTTTTCTTTTGATGATAATTTAAATAATAAAAAATGTGATAATTAAATTTAATATATGTATATTCATTTAAGCTCTATCAATGTCGCAAATGCAAATTACAATTTCCAACACGTGGCTATCTTAGTCGACATAATGCTCAACATAATGAATTAGAACAATTATCGTTACAATGTGAAATGTGTCCACAACGTTTTTTCAATGATTTTGAATTAAGAAGGCATATAGAATTACATTCCAAAGATTCTGGTATATTATGCAAAAAATGTTGCGCATCTTTTAGGTATGTAAGTTTTGTTTTTTATTTCTTCCTTTTTTTTTTGATATGGTAAAACTGAACGATTTATAACTATTAAAATAATAATATGTAAATCTAAATTGATTTGTTTATATATTTCTTTTTTGTTATAGATCAATGTTGGCATTACGACGACATCGAAATCAATCACGACAATGTATGTCATCAATTAGCTTTAATAATCAAAATATCGTATGTTTATTTTCATTTTTTTTTTTTTTTTTGCATTTTTTTTATTATTATTATTATATTTTAAGAAGGAGGAAAAACAAAAAATACTGACCTGTACATTTTAATTAATACGATTGATAAAATTATTGAGGTGTTATCAATTAAATATGATTCAGTGCTATAAAACATTGATATTATGATGAGTGGATGAATTAAAAAGTGGAAATATTTTCAGTTAAGTGTAATTCTTCCGGTACTGAATTAATTTTATGTTCCGTTTATTGAATTAATTTTAATGTTCCAGGGTTTTAAAATTATGCTAAATGAAATTTTTCTTTCTTTTTTTTTTTTTTTGTATTTTCAAAAAAAAAATATGAATTAATATTACAGGATGAATATGCATATATTGATGCAATTGATGCAGAAGCACAAATGAGTTCTGTAACAACGGAAATTATAAGTGATAATTTCGATGAAGAAAGATCATTTATTGCAAATGATAAAAATGATGATTGCGGTGGTGGTGGTGCAAGTAGTAGCGCTGATTGTTATCAGCATTTCTCATCAAATTTTACAAGGTAGAAACATTCATTATCACTACTATATATGTTTCATTTAGTAACAATATTGTTAGATTTTCATATAAAAATTTTCGCAGATTTTTTTTTTTTTTTTGAAACAAAATAAAAAAATAAAACTTTTTGAAAGTAATTTATAAATAATTTAGATCAGAAGATCATAATAATGAAAGTGATACATTAATTTATGAAAATGGAACAAAACGTACAATTACGACGGTAAAAATTAAACTTGGCTCAACATCTATTGTCTCAATAATGAAAAAGAATGATGAGAGTAATAATGATAAGCAATCATTGAATAAAAATAGGATGTTATATCCAGGTTTGACTTTTTTAAATCTTATAACTTTTTTTTTTGATGTATCTCAACTTTTTAAATTATAATCATAAATATGACCAAAAAATTCATTAACACATTATGGCTCTTTGATCTTCTCATTAATTAAAAGCATATCTCAGAAGAGTTTTTTAAAAACCTTTTCTTTTTTGAACCTTTCTTGTTTGATTATCTAAAATTAGCAATTTAGAAAAAAGTGAATAAGTTAATTTACCAACAGATGAATCGGATAGTTAAAAAGCTAGATTTGAAATAAGTGATACCATTTTAACTATGCAAATAAAATATGATATCATGATGATATGAACCGATTGTTATTTTCATACGTGTTAAAATAAAACAAATAGAAAATAAAATTTCAAATAAAAAGAATAAAATAAGTTTATAGTTGAAAAAAAAAAATTTTTGGCTATTAAAAGATTTTGAAATGCGCAATTTTACATCATAAAATTTATTAAAATCCGATTATTTTTAAAACGAAGGTTTTTTCCTCTTTGTTTACAAATAGTGTTTAGTGAATAAATTAATTAAGATTTGAAAAATAATATTAGTACATGCAAAATTTTTCTTTATCATGCAGAATTGAATGATATGGAAGCAACAAATTCGGAAATGATATTAGAAGAGGAACCAAAAAGACAATTATCTTATGATAGTGTTATTTCTCATCTTTCTACAAATCGCTATAATAGTTATATTAGTTCTGAACGAATTATCAGTAGTCATCATTCAGGTATAATTGAATCATTTTTTTTTTTTTTTCAATTTTTAATAAATTAACACAATTGTTTTTTTACTTACAATATTTAAAATATAAAAAACACAATGGTTCATTTCTTATTTTTTATTTTCGTTAAAATAATTAAGTTAATTTGAATAATACCATGCAATTTTTTTTCCTTTCAAAACATTTTCATAAATAAAAAAGAAGAAAAAAGCTTCGAAGAAAAGTTTCCAAAAAGACATATCTTTGATTTTATTAAATTCATTGAAATAATTGCTAATATTACATGCTAATTAATTTCTATTAAATAAAACAAAATATGCTTATTTCACATAAAATTTAGCATTTTTATTTTTATTTTTTTTCTGATATGTTTAATTCTTATATAACTAAATATCTTTTTTTTTTTCAAATATTTAATAAAATAAAAATTGAAATATTATAGGAGTAAGCGGTGGTAGTAGTAGTAGCAGCAGTAGTAGTAGCGGTGGTGGCGGTGGTGGTAGCAGTGGCAGTAGTGCTACCAGTAATAATACACAAACAAATGGCGGTGTTGGTGGTGGCGCTACTGCTAGCGGTGAATCAAATTTTGCAACTTTCACATTCGATAATTTTCTATCAAATAATGCTGGCAGTAATGTTTATGATAGTTTGATGTTAGAAGGCGGTCGACCGCTAATTCTACATTCTCATATACATGCAACCAAAGGTTCAATTTTCAATTCATTTAAATAATTCAATTATCAGCTTTTTTTTTTGATTTTGATGCGTATTTTTGTTAATGGTTGATGATTTTTATTTTACTTTTTAAGATGAATCATTCATTTATTTTATTTTATTTCCAAAAAATATTGTTCTTTTTTTTTAAAATTATTCTTTTCAATATTTTTTCTTCCCAAATTTTAATAACATTACAATTAATTATTTGTTATGTACTTATGATTTCGAAAAAAAAAAATTTTTTTTTCGTATTAGCAACATTTTTGTTAATATTGTTATTTTTTAATTTGAATAAAACTAGTTACGTGATTAGGTAGGCATTCTTTTTTTCATATTTTTCTAGTATTTATTTCGTTTATTTCAATCAAAAATTTCTTACCTATACGACCATCATAAGTAAGATAATGTAGAAAATTTATGTAATAAGTTAATAGTAATAGTTAATTTATATAAGTTAACATACAGCAACGAAGTAGACAATATATTATTATTAAAATTTAATTTTAAGCTTATTAATTAATATTATAAATTGGAATGTAGTGGTGGTACTGAGTGAAACTTTAACTTAATGGAAAAGTTAATAAATTTTCTAATAAGTGATTGAATAAAAATTAATATTCGAAGTTTTTACTGAAAAAGGAAGAAAGAAAGAAAAAAAAACGCAGTAATCATAAACGCAAAATAAATTTGGAAATTTTGTAATTTATTTTTTTTCGTCTTATCGAAATAATATTTTATTTTTGTAGCTAAAATAAGTTAAAATTACGACGAGAAAAAAAAAAAAAAAAAAAAAGAAAAGAAAACATTTATCGTACGAACTTTTATGCAAATTTTTTTTTTTAATTTTTAGTTGAAGCTATATCACAACCAGTTGTTGATTTGATTGGTTGTACAACACAAGCAATTCGAGATGAAATTAATCTCTGTGAAACATTATTTACCGTACGAACATACTTTCTAAGGTTCTTTTTTTTTGAATAAAAATTTACATAGTAACATTATTATTTATTTGACTGTATGCTATATTAAGTAATACTAAAGAAAAATTATTTATCCAACTTCAAAACATATAACATATGACTTAATTCAGGTAAATTTAATTTTTTTTATTAGACATTCTAACAGTTTTTTTTTTTTCCTTTTTCAAATCAATTTAGTATTATTATTTATAATTTATTGTTTGAACAAAAAACATTTTATTTTTTATCATTTCAGCAGTTTTCTTTTTGATAAATTTTTTTTACCTAATTGAAAATAAATTCCATTTAAGGTGAAAAAATCATCAAATATATAGTACTATGGTGTGCTAATATTGAATTATTAATCTATTTAGCAGATATAAACAAAGATAACTAGTACATTTTAATTTCATCTGTTTGTTATCAAATCAGTAAAAGTGCAATTGAAGAAAAATAGAAAAAGGAAAAACAAAAATATCATTTCTACTTCCATTTTCTGATTCTTTTCTTTACACTTATACTTTGTTTTTATGATTTCATAAATTATTTTCATCATATAATGAAAATATTCTTCTCTTTTTTCTTTTTTTTTTTTCTTTTCTGTTTTTTGTCGTAAAAATACAAAATAAAAAAAAAAAGATTTTTTCAGGAAAATTGCTGTATATATTGTTTATATAACAGTGCTGCAAGCTGTGGAATTTTTCAATTCAATTATCGGTTTGTTTCTTACTTTTAATTTAACAAATTTACTGTTTTCAACAACAACAAAAATTAAATCGTTTGCGTAAAATTTGTTTTGCTTGGATTTTTTCCATTTGATTATTATTATTATTCAATTAAAAGACAGAGAGAAAGAAGGATAATTAATTAGGATAAGAATAAAATGAGATAATGTTATTTTTTTTTTTTGAATTATTTGGCAAATTCAATAAAGTCTTACCATTAATTTGATTAAATAATATTAAAGATCTAATTGTCAAAATCTTTAATATTTTGATTTATTAAACAAACAAAAACAAAGCAATCATTTAATGGAAATTATGAAAAAATAGTAGTATACAATATTTAGGATAAAAAAAAAAAAATTCATTTTAAAATAAAATAAAAATAATGTTATTGAGTGGAACAGATCGACGAATGACACGGTAGCGATGACAATTTCAGCTGTCCTAAAACTGATCAGCGCTTTTTTTCTTTGTAACTCTTTCAAAAAGAACTTCAGTAAAACACAGGCATATTGCATTCCTTCTTACCATTCAACAAATACATATTAACCTTTCTATGAATGCATGTGTGTGTATGTGTGTTTGTGCATATGAATGTTTGAATGTGCATGTTTATGTATGTACACTGAGTATTTATATATCTACATGTATGTTAATCTATCTCAAAAGATATTTTTAGAATACTTAATTTTTAATGCTGATGCGTGTGTATGTGTATGTATGTATGTGTGTACGTATATATGTATGTGTATGTCAAATTTTTGTTCAATTAATTTATCTTATTAAATTTGTTGACTGGTACCATTTGCCTTTCTATCCAGTTTTTTTTTTTTTTTTTTGATCATTTGAGCTCAATCTAACAATCAGAGCATTTCTTATCTTTTTTTAAAAAAAAATGAAAAAAAAATTTTCAATCATTCTAAGTAAATACGTACATACGCGCACGCGCATATATATATATATATATATATATATATATGTATATGTACATCCAACACACACAGACATATACATTGTGTCATCTATGCACAATTAATTCTTTTAATCGGTGGTATTGAAACCATTAACGCCACTCAACTGAAGTACTTTAGGAACTTTATGGTAGATTTCGATTCCTTTTCTTTAAGATCTCACTAAATGGTTTATTAAAATTCCAATATATTGACAATCCTTCTCTCCCTCTCCCTTTCCTTTCTCTCTGTTTCTATATATAAATACATATAGCTGTGTAATGCTTTGCTATTGGTATATGTTAGTTTTCACGTCTCCCTTTCTCTCTCTCTCTTTATTTCCTCTTTTTAAATCTTAAAAATTTCAAGTGGACAACATTTTAATAGTGTAATGCAATATTTTGCTTCATGAAATGATGTTTTAAAAAAAAATAAATAAATAAAAATGGAATATGAATTTTTTTCTAGAAATACTCTCTTATTTTGAAAAAAGAAAAAAAAAAGGAAAAAAAGAATGTCAACGGATGAAATATGTTATTTTAGATAATTTATTATCACAAACAACATTTATTTCTTGGTTGATTAAAAACTTTTAAATTTAATTGATAGATTTGAAAAAAAAATTAACATTAATATTATATTGGTACAGAAATGTAATAAATTAATTTTGCTTCAAATATTTTTCTCTTCTCCTAATCTTTATAATAACACTTTCTTCAATTTATGTTAATAATTTTAGTCAAATTCCAAATTAGATTTCACTCTAGCTAAGATATATTAGTTAAAATTTGTTCCAGTTGAAATCTATTCTAGTTAAGATTCATTCCAGCTCAGATTAATTCTAGTTAAAATCCTAATGTGAACGCAATCGAGATGAATGCTTTCAAAATTAAATCCAACTTTTTTAAACTTCCCGAACCTTTAGCACACTCAATTGCGAAAATTAAAAAAAAATTTAATCCGGAAATTATGAATAATGACGATAAAATGGTTAAAATCTTTTCCGGTTAAGTTCATTTTTTCCTTTTTTAAAAATTTGAACGGGTTTGACCTTGTTGATTTTCCAGAATTTCTGTTTTGATTTATTTCAAACATTTTTCTATTCTTTCTTTACTTTTTTTCTCTTCCCCTCTCTCTCTCACACTTTTTCCTCATTTTCTTAATTTTCCTGCTATTCCTGCTGCAGTATTTCTTTTTTTTCTTTCCTAACATTTTTCAACTTTAACCGCAAACAATTTATCACATCGAGAAAAATTGTTGAAGTTTTAGGAAAAAAAGGCGAAGGAATTAGTTCTTTTTTTGGCTTTTGAAAAATTTTTTTAAACATTTGTGTGAAAAAAAATGATTTCACTATAAAAAAAAAAATATTTATTAGCTAAATCATTTGCCCAAATTTGCATATGGAGCAATTCAAAATTGTCAAATATAAAAAATGCAAAAATTTTTCATACTAAAATATTTATTAGTATCATTTTGTATTTTGTAATACTTCTATTTCTTCTTTTCTAAAAATAATTTTCTTAATTTGGACAATTTTTTTTTTTCTGAAGTATCATAGTTATTAATTTTTTTTTTCACAATTTTCCTCTTCTCTGCATAGTGGTGAGAAAAAATCCAAAATGAATTTCCGGAAGGAGTAAAAAAAGATGCCTATGATAACGATTACTATCATTTGAAATAAATATTTTATCAATGAAATTACTCTCCCAATGATAATATGATATGTTGTTATACAATATGGAAATTTTTGACAAATGTAATTCCGAGAGAATATTGTAAAACTATCATTTTATTAGTAAACAAGCTTTCTGTCTCCTTCCCTCTCTCTCCCCCTCTTTCTCTCTTTATTCCTATCTCTCTCTCTCTTTTCCTTTTTCAAATAAGCATTATCATTTCTATTATTCCATAATGAAACCGGTTAATTTCAGTTCATTTCTATACAATTTCTGGATGTCACCTCTTACTTCCCGCTTCCTCTCCCATTTCGTATCTTTTGATTGACAACTTTTTATGCTAATCATATTTGATAAAAAAAAAATGGATGAAAAATTTTATTGATTATTGCTTTTTTGAGTATTTTTTTCTTTGATTCATCTTATATTTATATACATAGTTTACATTTCCTTTTGCAAATTTTTTCATTTTAAAGTAATAATAATTGTTGAATTTTAAATAATTTTTCTTATTTTAATACTTTTTGCATTTCTTTTTTTTCTTTCAGTAATATCAATTAATAGTATTAATTGTAAAATCTTTTTTGGTAAATGTTTGTTAATTAATTTGACAAATTACTGTTAAGCTACTAATTGTAAAATAAGTGTAATTTAAATTTCTAGATTATTTAAGATTTCGTTTTTTTTTTTTTTTTTTTGAGAAGATCGTTTTTTAAATTTAGTCTGAAATTGATTTCGAAATAGCTAAGTGTTTTTTTGAAATAATAAAGAACTAAAAGCAAAGTTTTGTTTTATATTTTTTAAATGAATTTATTCAATCCTTTCGTATTATTATTACTTTATCACTTACCATTTTAATATTATTAATAATAAAAGTACAAAATTTACAAATCATTTAATAAGAAGAGTTTTTTTTGGAATAACTAATCCTTAACTTTTTCCTGCAAAAAAAAAGGAAAAAAAAATTAGTCATAGAATTTTTCAACATTATTTGTTTTTTTCCTTTTGCTTGTATTTTTGACATTTTATTGGTTATATTACATGGCTATCGTTCATCATTTATTCCATTTTTTTTTTTTTTTTTTTTTTTTTTATTTATTCATTCCTTTTAATGTTTGTTAAATTTTTAAGAGAAAGGGAAGGAGAGAAAGAGAGAGGGAGAAGGGGATGGAAAGAAGAATTTTTTGTAATCTTCAAGTTATCTTACAATTCTATTTTTGAATTTAACTCTTCTAGCAATTCAACTGTTCTTTTCAAGCATTCATTCCTACTTCGCAATATTTTCACTCATTTTGTTAAAATATTGAAATGATCATTTTATTTTTATTTATGAATTCTTTATAGATTAAAAGAAAAAAAAAATTATTTTTCGAATTTTAACATACTAATATGGCATAAATCAATTCCTGAAATTTGAAATGTCAAATATAATTCAATATTTTGAGACTTAAAATCAATTATGAAACCAATATTATTAAGCAAACTTATTTACCAAATAAATTTAAAAGAAAAAAAGGAAAGAAAAGGAAAAATTGAAGTATCTGAAATTCTATAATCTTAATTAAATGCTTCTAACCGTAAAAAATAATTGTTCAAACTTTTTCATAATTTTTTTTTTTCAATATTTTTTTTTCTTTTTGTGAAATACTAAAATAATTAAGAAGGGAATATAAATGAGAAATTGCATTATTTTTAGATTAGAGCTAAATGATAAGAGAAAATGATAAGAGAGTAAGTAAAGAATGGAAAATGAAGTGTTAGAATTTTTATCTGTTAAAGAGGAAAAATTCATCGGCATTTTGCTTTTTTTCTCTGTTATGCTTTATCAATAATAAAAAAAAAAAAAAAAAAATTAATAAAGGAATTATTTTAAATTTTATTTAATTCTTTATCTAGTAAAAAAAAAATGTCTAAAAATTACTTAGCTATCAATTCATTCTCTTATAAAATTTCAGCTCCAAGAATTATCACTTGTTATTATTATTTTACATTCATTTCTTGTGCACTAGAAATTTTCATTATAAATTGTTATTTCTTTCATACTCTTAGTTAATTCAGATTTGACACATATTATTCCATACAGTTTATCACAATAATTCAAATTCATTTTAAATGATGAAATTCTAAAAGAAAATGTTAACTAATAATAGTACTGATACACAAATTGAAGGAAATTCTGATATTCTTTAGATTAAATTATTAATTAATTAAATAATTGTAAAATTATTAATTATGAGGTTTTAAATAATATTCAACAGCACAAATTACAAATATTAATTATGTTTGTTTATAAAGCGCAATTATAATATTGAAATTCATTTTCTGCCATTTTTTAAAAACATACAATTTTAATTCTGCCATGAGCGGATATAATGCATTATACGAGCAGTGTGCAATTTAATCCATAACAAATGTAATTATTAATTTTTAAAAATTGGGTTTTGCTGCATCTTTAATAAATAAAATTTCATTATTTTTCTTTGCCTGAAATATCAATAAACAATTTTTATGATTAATTAATTTTTTTTCCTTTTTACATTTTATTAATTTCATATATGTATATTTGAACTTAAAAAAAGATTTAACTCTTATATTTTTGTAATTTATCAATTCTAATTAACAATCATTACTTTCATCAATTTATAGGAAGGCAAAAAAAGCTAAACAGGAATTTATTAGTAGGTACTGCTGCTTCGGCAGCCGTACAGCAAACATCGACAGCAAATTGCTTGAAAACGACACAGTCTATGAGCAAGTATTCGGATACCGTAGCGGGAAATGAATCCGGTAATGTTACTAATATAATTGAAAATGCAACCGAAACCAGACAATCTGCAACTAGTGATAGTGAACAGTTTTAATGGTTAGTTATTATATATATATTTATGAATTTTTATTTAATTCTGACTTATCATTTATTTTATTCTAATCGTTTTTATCTTTTTTTTTTTTTTTTTTTTTTTTTTTAATATAAAAGATAAGTAATAAATCATTCGTTGTTAGATTCAAAATTCAACAATATTATTTCTTTTATTTGCAATAATGATAATCCACTTTTTTCTTTTGTTTTGCAAATACGATTAATTGATTTTTACAAGTACGATTAATCCATATGCATTTCTATCCTTATATAATCTTTAGAAAATTAAAAAAACTATTAGTACTTCTTTTAAGATTAAATGTTGTTTAAACTTCTTGAAAAAGTAGCTAAACAGAAAAAATTCCTTTTTGGAATGTTCAAAAAAGATAAAAATCAATAAAAGGGAACACAATCATAAGACATTTTTTCTTTTTTTTAAATTTTCATATGTATTTTTAGCAAAATCGATTTTGATCTTTCATATGGCATATGGCTTCATTTCGTGGACAAAAAAAGAAAAAAGAGGAAAATTTTTACACATTCTGAATGGTGGCAAGCTATTTACAACTTTTCCGGGACTTCGTTTATTTTTTTTTTTCTTTTTTTATTTTTGTTGGTTTTAAAAAAATTACAAGTCGATTTGGTGGTGATAGATGAAACGTTAGAAGGGCTTTATATTATCATTTTAAGTAGCATTCATTTTTTTTCTCTCTCTCTCTTTGTTTCTCCCTTTCTTTCTTCTCATCAAATCCTTTTTTTTTTTGTTTTTAGATAGAGTGAAACAAACAATTTAATCAGTAATTTTCAACAATACCTTTTAGATAATAGACATTGATAATGGTATAACTTAAGAAAACGAAGGAAAAAAAAAACAAAGGAAGAAAAAAAAATTTTTTTCCAAATAATTTCGTTTAAAATTAAAATAACTGTTACAAAAAAAAAGGAAAAAAAAAAACAAAAAAAAAAATTGAAGGGAGCAAGAAGTGTAAAGAATATAAAATCTTTTTCTTTCTTTTTTCAAATTTCTTTAATTTTTTTTTTTTTGTTTTTTTACAGACATTTTTAAAATATTTTATTAATATAATAATTTAAAGCACTTTTTTCCTGTTTAAAATTCTTTTGAATAATTAAAATGTGCAATAGTGTGAAAAAAAGAAAAAAAAACCCTTCTCACTACTTTAATTTTTTTTGCGTTTAATTAGATTTGTTAGAGAAAGCGATTTTTTGTTTTTTGTTTTTCTTTTTTGTGCCACTGCCATCGAGAACAGTCTCTGATCTCTAATGGTCTTCATTTTTGGAGACCGTCAACTGTTCAACTACTTTCCACTTTTCTTTTCATTTATAATTTTCCTTTGTTTTTGATAAACTTGAAATTTTACAAAAAATTTCACATTTAATTTCACGTTCAAAATTGCAGTTGGCTTCTTTCAAGTGCAAAATGCAGAAAAACGGAAATTCAAGTGTTGAAATACTAAATTTTAATTGATAAAACTTAAAACATTTAGTGTCTCCAAATAAAAGAAAATACTTAAATTTTTTACTTCTTTAGGTGAAATTAATTTAAATGATAGCAGTTGAACAGTAACTACACGGATATTCGCGGTGGCAGAGACACTTTTGCATAGCTCAAAATTTTTTTTTTTTTGTAAAAACGATTCATTTTCTTTTCTCGCTCTCATTCTCTCCCTCTCTCTCGAATTTTTCAAATTTTTCATTACATATTGCAATGATTATTTGTTACAAAATTTGCGACATTTGTGTTATTACACCTTTCAAAAAAAAAAAAAAAATCATAAATTCCCTTTCAGTTCTTAGCATTAATTACTTTAAAATTAAAAATTAGCATGACACTTTTTTGCGATTGCCGTATTTTTGCTCATAAAAGATTAATTATTGCTTTATGATCACATTCACATTTATATTTGTTATATGTTTTCCTTTGTATTCCTATTCATTATATTTCTTCGTTTTTTTTTTTTGTATAAAAATTTTAATGTTTAAAAAGCAAAAAAAAAAAAAAAAAAAAATAGAATACAAATCATTTGCTCATAAGATAGTGTATTTTTTTTCGATTTAAATTTTTAAATTTCTTTTTTTTTTGTTTCAAAAATTTAAATAATTATTGTTAATTACTAATCAAATTTGTTTTTTTTTTCTCTCTCTCTCTCCTCACTCTATGTCGTTCGCTCTCGATTCTTTATGATAATTGTTTAATGTCTTTCATTCATTTATTTTTAAATAAGACAAAAAAAGTTTTTTTCTTCCTTTTTGGATTGTTCTATTGTTAGCTTTCATTTTAATTTGGTATAAATTTATTTTAATTAGCAACAAATATAATTATTTTCGTTCTTTTTTTTCGTTTATTTTATTTTCTATTTTATTTGGCTTAGATAGATACATATGCAATATATTTTTTTCTTTTGAAATTATTATAAAATGTGTCATTGTTATTTTATGCGATTTTTTTTTTTTTTGTATGCTTTGTTCACAAATTATATTATTAGAGATATTTTTACGAAAATGAAATTTTTATTGTAAAGTTCGGAAGAGTTGAACTTTAGAAGAATAATTTCATTGAATCGATAAATTTTTTGTTTCGTTTTTTTTTTTTAGCTAAATTTAAATTTGGTAACAATTAATATACAACGGAAAAAAGAGTTTTTAAAAATTTCGCATTTTTTAATAGCTCTTTGATTTATAAATTTTTAATTATCAAAATATGAGACTTTTACAGAAAAAGGACCTTAAATTTGACTAAAGTTCACAGTTCGAACGATCCAAAAAAAAAAAAAAAATTTTTTTTTCATCAAAATATTTTTCATTTTAATGAAACAATGTGTGGCCATTGCAGATTTGAAAATTTTTAAATTCTTCAACAATAATATCATTTATCCATTAAGTTATATCTAAATAGAGGAAAAAATAAGAAAAGAAGACATAAAAAGATTTGATAGAAAGGGTAAAAAAGGTTAAAAAGGCTTTCAACAAAATGGCAGAAGTAATAAGTAATACATTTTCGTCATAATTTTAGCTAATTTTCATATTTTAATTCAAACACTATCATCTTATGCAGAGTTTAACAACAACATTCATCTCTCTCTCCCTCTCTCTCTCTCTCCCCCTCTCTCCCTCTCCCCTCTTCTTGTTTTGTACTGATTGTTCATTCTAATTATATATGAATATAAATAATTATATATAAATATTTAACTGGTGATAAATTAATTAGTTTCTTTTTGAGGAAAAATTTTTTTCCCTCTGTTTCTCACTAACTGTCACTCCCTGTTTTTGCTTGTTATTTCGTTCTTCTGTTAAATAAAATTTATTTTATTGATAACTAAAACGATTTTTTTTAATAAAATTTCTTTGACTACAAAATGTAATTTGTTTTAGTTCACTGTGCTTTTTTTTTCTTTGATTCAATGTAGTACTTTATCATATCTATTAAATTAACCTTTTATAAGCTAAAATTATAAATAATCTTAATAATCAATGTCTAATTTCAGTTGTGCATTATGTTTTATTGTCTATGAACCTGTACTACTGTTATATTTATTAAAGTAATGATCTAAGATGGTATAATATCTTTTCTTAACTTTTTCAAATATTTATAATACAAGTAATCAATAAGTTTAATTCATTTCTTAAGATTTAATTAATATTCAGATTACACAAATAGACATGATATTTAAAAAAATAAAAATAAAAACAAAGTTGTATGCAGATATAACAAATTAGCATTACTAAATCTTTCTTTATTATTTATTTAATCTATTCATGTAATTTTGATTTGAAAATATGAAATAATCTTTATGAATGATAAAGTTTAGAATGAGATATTCTCTTTTTCATTCGTTCAAAATCATTTCAAATAATGGAAATAATCGATTATCAGTTTGTAACATCTAATGAATTCTGTTTGAAACTAACGTAAAACGTTCTGATTTTTAGATTTTTCCATTGGTTTTTCTACAAGTTATCATAATGCATTGAAATAATTTCATATTTTGTAAAATTTAATTTTTTGGTTCAACAAATTTATTTACAAGAAATGCGCAATGCTTATCATTTAATTAAGGTACGACTTTGTTACTTACAATTTAATTGTTGGTATTGTTTAATTGAATATTGTCTTCATCATTTCTCTTATATATATCTGTAATAAGTAACTACAAAATTAATTAAGACTGTATGTGTATGTGTGTGTGTGTGTGTGTGTGTGTGTGTGTGTGTGTGTGGCTGTGTATATATAATATAAGCATGATTCAATTTTATTCTCTTGTGATAAACGGAAATGTTATTCGAATTCGAATCGTGATTTATTTTTTTTTTCTTAAATCATGATTCTACGACTACATTTATTATCTGTGAAATTTCACATTTGTCTTTCGTGAAATTGTTTTTTTTTTTTTTTTTTTTTTTGCTTGCTTGCTTGTTTATTTGTTTGTTTTTTATTCCGAGATTTTTTTTCTTTTGATCATTATACTACAATGATTATTACAAGCATGGAATAATGTGCCTTGTTCGCTTATTTATCTAATTATTATTATATTTTTATTGCCTGTATCTCTCATTTTCATTTTTTGCTATAGTAAACGTTTAATTTCATTATTTGAAAAATGTAACAAAATTAAAAAAAAAAACTTCATAATCCTTTAATTTCTGCACAATTAATTAATTATGTGACTTATGAATTTGAAATTTAATTAGTCATTATTTTTAATTTTAATAAAAAAAGATTCATACAATAGAGGCTTAGAAAATTTGAAGCGAAATATGAAATCGATAAAATTTCGTGATTGTCTTCTTTAATACAATTATTATTCTCAGTCAATATGATAACACGATTACTAAGTGATAATATCAATTAATTGATAATGTTTGATTGCTGGAAGCGAATATATGAAAATTGTATTCGAGTTTAAATGTCGTTCAATTTTTCTTTTCTGGAGTGTTATTAAGATAATTTAATTCAACTTTTCGCCTCCATCTTCAAATTACAACTGCAATTATTATTACTATTATTGGATGCCTAAATTCTGCGCTTCAAATATGTCATTCATAAAATGGTGTGATTGAATGCTGATTAGATAATGTATGTGTGTGTGTGTGTGTGTGTGTGTATGTGTGTATATGTGTGTATGTGTGTGTTACATACTAATTAATTTGTGTCAACATCTCATCAACATTGATTTCATTCTTATTCTTCTTATTGTTTTATTCAAAACAAATCTGTCTTTTTCTTTTATTTTCGTTTGAATAAATATTATTTCTGATTGATTTTGATTTTAAACAAAACCAGGATGACAAGTAAAAAAGCATAAATTATGGATATTGTTAAAACATAAAAGCATAAAATATTATGATATAAAAGGGAAAAAAAATCATATTAAAAGTAGTCCTAAAATATTAATGATCATATGTAGTAGTAATGATCCTAGACTATTGTCATTGATAATGATAGCAATAGCGATGATAATAGTGATAAATAATAAATAATAATGAATGTTTCACTTCTTTTTAAAAATTATTTGCAGAAATTAACTTCAATATTGACCTTTAAGTTAATATTAGCTGTCTAATTAGTGTAAAAATGTAACATAGACAATTGAAGTATATTAATCAGTGCTTAGTTTTAATTTACGCTTACTTCCAAACGAATTTAACATTTTCGCATACGATAAATCACATATGAGATCGATATTTACCATTCTATAACTTAATTCTGCTAAAACAAATTTCTAAGATAAAAATAGACAACAAATTGATAAATTTTAATATTATTGCGTATGAAATAATTTCGTTTCGTCTCCCACAATATAATATTTCATCATCAATTCAAGCTATTTTTCTACTACTGGAAGTTTTCATCTATTATCTTACGAAAAAATTAAATAATATTGACTGTTAATGACTGCAAAAAGTTAGTAATGTAACTCTAATATTTATCAATATTTTGACAATAAAGAATCTCACTGATAAGGCTATATTACTTCTATCATATAATAAAAGTATGGATGTATGGACTTATCGAGAATTTTTATCTCAATGAATTAAAAAATACTTATAAGTAAATCTGATGATAATATCGCCATCTGTCATGATTTTTTTTATCGTTATCATTAATATGAACTTTAATGATGCAAATATCACTCATATATCTGAAACAAAAATTTAACTCAAGTATTAGTAATAAGAAATAAAAAAAGTCATATTAACTGAAATTGTAAGATCAAAGTTGAAATTCATTTAAACAAAATTCATGGCTAAAAAAGAAAGTATTAGTTGTACAACAAGATTAGTTTATAGAAGTAATAAATCATTAACTTTCCAAAAGTATAAACAATTGACACTTCATTCAAATGAAATTTCAGCAAATATTTCTTTCGAAAAACGAAAGAAGGTAACAATGATAGTTTGTGAAAAATTATTTGTCATTTCTCCTGTTCATGGTTTTTTTTTTTCTTTTTGTAATAAGTTTCAACCATATGATTTATTATTGGTTAAATGTGTTAAGTTGAAAAACTTGGGAGCTTATGGCTATACCTAATATATTTTCAGATCCGGTCATTCTGGTTTTTTTTTTAATGCAATCACAAATAAAAAACAAACATTACTTAAAATCGGCAATATCATTGAAAGAATTAAGCTTGGGAAACTAAAAATTTATTTCGATGCTATCACTATTATCATCTAATGATATATTATAAATTATGATCTTTCTAATGATTATTTCGACACTTCATACTTAGATTTTAGTTTTGATTGCTCTTGTAGTAATAAAAGTGAACTACATAAGATTAATCTATCAAATTCATCTAATAATTAAATAATAAACAATCATTTTGTGAATTAAAGTCAAATAACAATTACCTTGTGCACTGGGGATTCATCCCCTCTTTATGCAGGTATTACAGATATAGCCTAATTTCAGTGGTAACTATATACTAAATTCAGCAAAATAACACACAACATTGAAACGGCATGTGTATGTACGTATGTGTGTGACATTGAAACGCACAGATGTTATTTTTAAATATGACAAGGTAAAGGCAAACCACTGCTGAAACGTATAACAGATGCCATTTCAAGATACCAATTTTGATAATATTAGAATATTTCATGAAACTGAGAATGTGATCTGACAAACATATGATTACTAAATAGCTCTATCATCTTTGGTTTTTTAGCCTATAAAAAATTAGATTTACCAGATCATTACAATTCTTATTTATAATATATATTTTGGGCATGTGCATATTCTTTCAGATAATTGACGATCAATACATTATGCCCCAATAAAATCAGATTTACTTTGATCGACTCATATGATATGTCACAAGAAATATTGCAATAATATTCTACGATATGTTTTTGAGCATTGTTTGATCAACTACTATTTTTACATTTCGATGAACCAGCTAGTTTAATTTTGTCAAAAAGCATTTGAAAAATCTTTAACTGGCTTTTCAATTTTTTCAGAAATAATGTATATTTGAAGACTGATGAGAAGTAGACTGATGTAAAGCTGTTGCTCTCTCATTTCTATCACTCAATATAATTTCATCTTTATCTTTAATTCAAAAATCTGACAAACAAGAGGAACAACAAAAGTTACTCTCAGCAAAACTGGAAAAACAACCCGCAATTACATCACGATAATGTTATCTGTAATTATCTCTGAAATTCCATTGCATTTTAATTTAGAAGTATTTTTCCTGAGTAATGGGAAATGCCATAAACAGCTAAAATAAATGTAAAGCCACCAAAATATTATGATATTTCATTTAAGCATCAACTGAATGCTGTTCGTACTTCTTCGAATTTGCTAACTTCAACAATTTTTACCATTTCTTCTTTCTCACCACCAACCGCAAGGACGCTTCCAGAATCCGGTGAAAAACGACATATATGCAAGCTTCCAAGGTTAACATTATGTTCTGTAACAAATTCCAAATCACACATACTTTCCTCCAAGCGCCAAATTTTTAACAGCTGAAAACCAAAAAATTATTTTATTACATAAATAAATATATATAATTTGATAAGAGCTAAAAAAATTGAGGAAAATGATATACAATTTCTGAAATATCATATGAAAAAAAAAAAAAAAAAAAAAAAAAACTGTATTAAAACTTTACATAAATCTAATATAAACCTACATTTCGGATAAAGTAAGCCAATCTTCATTGGGAGGACTAAACTCATTTCCCATTTATGAGCGCATCAAAACAAAAAAATTTCCACCGCTGTGTAAAACTGCTGACAACTTATCAAAAGAAAAAAGAAATTACCCCATCCTCACCACATGTTGATAACAAGCCTTTGGTGTAACAACTTTGCACAACGCTACGAGCACCTCCTTCATGCACTTTTTTCGATATAACAGGTTTATTTTTACGTGTATCCATGTAATAGAAATGACCTAAAATAAAGGGAAATTTTAACCATACGTGCAACGGGAAAAAGTCTTATCACCCTACATTTTATTAATTCAACGTGACTTGATAACGTTCTTCTTACAGAAGCAAAATCAGGAAAATACGATAGCTTTATTAACTCTACAATATGCATAACTAATAAGTAGATACAATAAACAAAATCGTATGATAGCTACATATGAGGGCTATTACTTATTCAGCTACTTCATTACCAAAAACGTAACACATCTCTTAAACAGATAGTTCCTACATGAATATATATATATATATATATATATATATATATATATATATATATATATATATGTAAATAAGCAAAATCAGATTTGTAAAATCTAAGAATAATTCGTAGATAAAATTAACCGCTGTCAGTGACGACAAAGAAATAAAATGGAGAGAAATGATTCCATGTAAGTCGTTCCACTTCACCACTTACTTCCCACTGCCTCGATAAATTGTTAAATTCCCTACAATCTGTTAATCCAACTTGACTTGATAACGTTCCTGTTAACAGAATAGATGATTCAACTGGATGCCATTCCACAGCTTGCACCTTAAAATCTCATGATTATAGACAATCAGAAGCGCAAGTAACATTGATTATATCAGCAAGTCTCGAAGGAGAGATCTCCATTTCATGCAAATATATATATATATATAAATGCTTAATTCGCTCAAAAATAAGTAAAAAATTCACGAAAACAAAAAATTAATACGTTGAATTACCATTCCACCGAAATGTGTTGCAACTGTTGCAGGCTTCACTTCTTCAAGATCCCACAATATCACGGAATTATCAGCACCTCCAGATGCCAGAATATGTTCCGTTAAACGATTCCATGTTAACGAAAGTACAGCACCAGAATGTTTTTGCGCACTACCATCACGCTTTTGTTGTTTCCTAAAATATATCAGATTTAATTTTCAATATTTAATTATGTTTAGCATATGCGATATAATCTATTTGCAAAGGTTTCTAAAAAAACCATTTCGAAAGTTGAAATAAAAAAAAGAAAAAACCTCTTCGTAGCCTTTGCTTTGCCAAGAATTACTGCCGGTTCCACTGAGTTCACTAGATCCAAATCCCAAATACTTATTGATGCATCAATACTGCCAACAGCTACAAGGTTACCTTTCTTATCATCGCTTCCTGGATCAAAAGATATTGGTTCCAAACATAATGGTGGCACATCCAAAATATAATCGTGATGAACGTACCAATCGCTTTCTGCCTCATTGTATAAATACACTTCCAAAGTATATTCATTCTTAAAAAGATTCAGGAAACTGAAAGGAAACTAACAGCAATGAAATTAGGCCTTGAAATGAAATGGAATTATTTCATACTTTATAAACTTTAGCAACTGCAACAAGATTATCGTCGGGTTTAATTTCAAAATCTTCCTGATCTTCTTCATCACTATTCACATAAGTTGTTATGTGCGGGTCTTCCAGAGGTGATGCAAATGTCGTTATTCCAGCCAAAGGATTAGACCTGAATTTTTGACCAAAAGATAAAGAGAAGCGCCAAAAAGATTTTCCTTTGTTCTATAATATAAAATCGACATGAAAGTAATAGCTCTCTGGAAACTTTAAAATATGGACGCTACAATACTATATTTTATTTGAATTTCTCGCATTACTTTGATTTTAATCAGCGGATGCACAGCTCTACTCGCAAGATGGTAATTTTAATATGCACAAGGTTTTCAAAGCACTACCTAATGAAAAACAAACTTCCAAATCCATACCTTTCGTCACCGCTTTCATCATACTGATCCAACCTATACCTATCAGTATCCATCCCTTCATCTTCTACATCGGGACTTGAACCACGAATACCTCTCTGGAAAGATACAAATATAAAAGAATATCTCTACTAAATAAACAAAAAATGAGTGAAATTAAAAATAAAAAGAAATACTCGTTGTTGAGTCTCGACAGCAGATGTACCATCCATATCGGATAATTCACTAGTTTCCGGTTCACCTTCTAAAAAGCATTCAGTTATTACTTTGAAGAAGAGTAATCAGAGTATCACACTGATGATATCATTCGGCCTGCACTCTTTCCCAGTGCTCCAACAATCATAACTAAAGAATAGAAAAGAGTAAGCTAATCCAGTAGGAATCTTTTTACTCTTGAATTCAATTGGATTTCAATGCTACAACTGAACGCTCAAAACAAAATGAAGCTATCATTGAACAATAGTTAAACATATTAAAACACAATTCATTAAACAAATCTTTTGAAGTTCCAACCTTGAATTAATGTTTTGATTTCTTCTGACGATAACTTTACCTTGTCCGGTATAGGCTTTGGTATTCCACGTTTTATCCACGTTAAATCTGCTATCAATGACATTCTTAACAACTAAAACAAAAGTGACACTAGGATAAATGAATTTTACACCTTTAATACAATACTGTAACCTTTTTCGCAATTAACCTGTTAAACCAAGATATTTCACGCAAACTTACCAAGTCCTGCTGACTCCCCCTCTCTATTACTATCTTTCCTTACCCATCGTAAACACCTTTGAAACTATCCAATTCCTCGCAGAATAAAAATCACAAATCAAATAGTATGTGGAAATTCGTTTCAAGAATAAATAACGAGTAAATTGTTGAAGCACAAAATCATACAAATGTTTGATGGTAGTGAAAATTGTTTTGAATACAAATGTCACTTTCGGGTTTGTGATTCCATCAGATATGACTAATTTAGTCTTTGGTCTCACACTGATATCACTTCATTCTATCAATGCTCTATCAGTACGACTTTATCTTCTATCATTTCTCAAAATCACATAAGAAAATTAAGTAATCAATGTCACAGCAAAATGAAAGGGTAAATTTTTTTCCCATAATATCTCGTGCAAATCATTAAAATATATATCATAGTGAGTTACTAACAGTAATAAGAGAAAAAGAGAGGAAAAGAATTTGAAGAGAGAAAAAAAGAAATAAGCTAAAGCGTAATTTGCATAATTAATTACATAATAAGTTTCATTTATATGTTTAAATGTTATCTCATCAGAAAACAAATATAACTGGCTGAACAATTATATTTTATTTCATTGCATTAATTGCAGGTGTTTTTTTTTTTTTTTAATGCAAATATTATTAAATTTATTTCATAACAGTTTGTTTATTTATGAACATAAAATACATCCTCTTTTTTTTTTTTTGAAAATATTTTTCTTTTTTTAATATTCAGAAAGAAATACATTTTAAAAATTTTCATTAGAAAAATCAAAATTTATGATTGGTACATGAATACATTCAATTCTTTCTTTTTTTTCTTTTTCATCATGTTGTTCAATTATTTTTCTTTCTTTTCGAGCTAAAAATAATGAATGAATAAATGAAGATAATAAAATAGTCGAATGTAATGAATTAAATTTTTCCTTTTAAATATCTAGACCAATTATTCATTAAAGTATTTGATGAAGTTCATTTGATGAAAATTGATAAAGTTCTTAAACTAAAACTTCTTAATCGCTATACTTTTCCTTTTCTAAAGCAGTAATTTCGCTATTCTAGTATTTTGTAAAATAACTTTTTATTTTCATTCTAATATTCTAGAATTTCAGAAGTGAAATTCTTGCTATTTAAGCTATTCTGATAGTTTCGCCATTTCAAAATTATCAAAAATATAAAATTTCCCTTTCAGATAATTAAGTAATCATGTCAAATTTTCAAAGAAGAAAAGACGTAAAAACAAAGTGTAGAGGAAGAAATCCGAACTGACTGTTGTGATCTGGCATAACTTCCAGCATCCGGTAAATTCGATAAGCGAATGATCTCCTAGATAACATAACCAATAATTAGCAATTGAAGCAAACCTTTAGTATATTCAATCAAAAAAAAAAAAAAAAAAAAAAAGAACTGATCACAGATAGCTGATGGGAAATAATGAATGAATGAATTTCAAATATTATCTTAGTGCTATGCAAATTGCTTTAGATCATTTATAATTGGTTGATTTCTTCTTTTTTTAAAGATGGAATAAAATTTGAACTGCATGTAATATTGTTTATTTTTTTCAAATATTATCATAATGCATATGTAAACTGTTTTATATCATCTACGATTGGTTGATATTTTTTTAAAAAAAAAAAAAAAAAAATGGAATGAAATAGAAAAATGAAATGAAGCGAGAAAGAAATTTACATATAGCTTTTTTTTTTTTTCTTATATTTGTCCAATTCAATTCAATCTGAAAATAACAAATGATACAATCAAGTTCATTTAGTATACACAAATTTCTATTCATCAATACTCTTAGCAACTTGTGAGTTATATTAAATTTTTATTTTCATTTATTTAAAGTGGGAATTGATGACATTATTCAAACAGCTTTAAACATTTCAGAGCTTATTAATTTTTACTTTCAATCACATTGCATTTCAATATTTTTATTAGATATTTTAATAATAAATCATCATATATATCAGTAATATAATATAAAACAAATATTTCTTCTCTTTTTCTTTTTTTTTTTTTTTTTTTTTTTTAAATGTAATTTAATCAGAGGAAAAAATTTTTCGTTACTTTTACAGATTAAGAAAGTTTTAATTAATTTTTAGGCTGATAAGATGGTTGATAATCAGCGCATAAAAAATTAATTGAAAAGAATTGAAATGAATGAACTAAAAAGATAACTAATAAAAGTGTAAAGCTCTAATACTCAATTTAGTTTCTTAACTTAACAAATCAAGTTTTAAAGTTCTTCGAAATCAGACTTAGCTGCTCTTTTGTTTCATATATTCTATTCGATGATTCCATTAAATCGATTTTTATTGAAATTACTAATGATTACGGCATATATTATTATTATCTATAAAACAATTAAAATATCTTTTATCTGACTTTTCTAGGTCATCAATATCTTGAAGGCATGTTTTAATAATACATTCAAAAGAATGTTCCGGTATAAACTAGATAAATTACAAATATAAATTTAAAAAACTACTCTAAAATTTGAACTAAAATCATAAGCTACATTCTGATATTATTCATGTTAATATTTTCCTTTGCTTCTCTTTATTTCACTATGAAACTGCTACTTTGGATTCAAAAAAAGAAAAAAGATAAATTTGAAATATTATAATTAGTAATTTTGAAATTCTGATTAAAAAAATACTTCAATTTTATTTTTAATTTTTTTACGATATGTTCTATGTTATATTATTTATATTGCAATAAAAAATAGTGGTAATACAAATAATATTATTGAATGATTTTTACTAAAATGTAGAAGCATGATAAATATTTATTATAAAAAATATATAACATCGATTTCTAATTAAATAGGAGCTGTTTAATTAATTAATGAACTTTAGAAATTAATATTGTTAGGTTTTTTTTTTTTTGTCATTATTATTCAAGAAAAAAAGATGTAATTTGTTGGTTATGTCGAGAAAAGAATACAATTTTAGTAGCAAAAAAAAAAAAAAAAATTTGAAATAGTCTTTTTATTGGATTAAGCAAATTATCCAAATGCCTAAATTTTCACTTAACAAAATGTTGTCTGAAAGTTTTTTTTTAACAAAAAAAAAGTTAAAACTGCTTCCATAACAAAAAAATTTGAGCAAATAGTATTACTTTTCATTTAATATCTTTTGAAGGTATTGTTTTGCTTATAAGTATTATAAGTATTAAGTGATAAGTTGAGGAAAAAAAAAAAACTTTTTTAAAGGTTTTTTTTTCAATGAAACAAGTTTCCAAAAGTACTCTCTATAACAATTCTTCAAATTAAAATTCATTTTTTCTTCTTGAAAAAAAATTTTTTTAATTTATATCCTATTATTTGTGAAAATGAAGAACAAGAAAAGAAATTCGTGCATGTGAATCCTTGGATGTATTACATACTTCCGTTTTCATACTGATAGCATTCCTGACAAACTGGACTGGACTAGTTCTATAAATTTTTTTTCTTTTAGAAATCTTTGAATGTATTTTGCTTACTGAAGCTGAAAATTGTTACTTATATTTTGTCGCACAATAATTGCAAAATTCCTTTGCTATCTCAAACAAAATCCTAAAATATTTTACCTATTTTGTTTACTTCTGTTTTCTTTGTTTACTTCTGCATTTTCTGCAATTGTGGTAATAATAATTACAATAATATTTCCAATATTGCATAGAAGTGTTCATTTTCTTTTTTCCTTTCAAATAATAACAATGCTAACAATAATAAATATCATTAAATTTCAAAATTCAACTGTAATTAATTTATGAAAGTGAAGTTTTGCATCACAGAAATATGAAATTTTTTTTTTTTTCAAATCTGTTCTATTAATGTGTTACCCAATTTAAATGCTTTTTACTTTTAACACTTTGATCTGTCGAAAAGTTTGCATTTTTTCTTCATTTTTTAAACATTCTTGATCAAAATTTACAATTAGTTTTTGCCCAATATCAATTGTATTTTTTTCTTTTCATCATTATATTTTTGCAGTGACATATTTTGTGAAATATTCAAGAAATAGACTATTCCTTTTTTAATTAATACTTCCTCGATTTAAATATTAGATTATTTCAATACAATTTACAGTTTCTATGCTAACAATATTAGAATATATTATTTACCTGAGAAAAAGAAAAAATGTAAGTTGAGTCCGAAAAAATATAATTTAATTTTAATTCTATAGTTTTTAATTTAATTTTAGTTTTTTATTTATTAAAGCAAAAGGGAAAAAGAAATTGCATGAATGATATTTTGTCATTTCTTAAAATAATATAAGCTGAAATAATTCTTTTTTTTCAGAAAATTATATCAATTTTAAACGAACTGTTTCTTTTTTAGCAATACAATCCAAATTTTTCAAGTGATATGAATAACAACCAACAATGGCTTTTTATTGTTGTTATGATTGTTGCTAATAATGTTAAAACACAACCATTTATTGGAGGTCAAGCAATTTTGAAATTTTTATTTTATTACAATTGAAAAGACTGACTAAGTGGCAAAATTTAGAGGATGTGCATACGGTATATCAATAATAATAAAAACTGTTTAGTAGCATTCTTCTTTCCCTATCTCTCTTTTTCTCTTTACTTATATTTTATAATTTAAGGAAAATCTCAAATTACAAATTTATCACACTTCATTTAAATTAAAAATTAAAATATTTTCTTTAATTAAAAATATTTTTTCTTTATAGCATGGAATAATCCATACCTTACAACATTAAAATCAACAACATTATCCGAAAAAAAGCCATCAAATTGCTGTCATACAACATCAATTCAAAATGTTTGCTAATTTTTCTACTTTCTTCTTGTGTTACTTTATAATTTTACAAAATTAATTTTTGATTTCATTTTTTAATTTTTCAATAAATTATTTTATAGATTAAAACACATCAATTACGTTTATTATCTATATTACACCTAACAACACACCCGCAATTGCAACAACATTCCTATATTGAAAAACCAACAGTAAAAAAGGTATAATCAATTGCATTGACAAACATTTAAATCGAATAAATTCAATTCAGTAAATTCAATATAATTAAATTTGAATCAATCATTTTCTTAGATAATGTTTAGCAAAAATAATTTTTTTTTTCCTTTCTTATTAAATTGTAAATTTTTTCATAGTAAATGAAGCTAAAATATTATTGGATAAAAGTTATTTAAAATTTAATAATTTCTATCTTTTAAGATTAGTTATTCGAAAATTTTTTTGAATGAACTAAAATATCACATTAAGAATATATATTGAACATTCTATTCTATTATATTTGTCTATCATTGTATATTAATATTTATTACAAAAAAAAATTCTAATTTTAATTTATAATAACTCTTCATTTTAATATAATTTAAATTTGAGTTTATTGCTGAAGTGACACAGCATACGACACGTTACAATAATCCAAGTGAAAGTTATGATAAAGTTTTATCCCTAATGCAACAATACTTCATTCAAAAGGATCCGAAACATCGGCCTTACGTTAGTGTCCTCATTTTTTAAAATTTATTTTAATTAGTTATACATAAGTTATGCAAAATTGAAAGAAAAACTAAACAGAACTTTTAATTTTTCAATTAGCAAACTTTAAAAAATCAATTATTTTATGGATTATAAATGATTTACGAACAAATATTTTACAAAATTTGTTATGAATTAGTTGTAAAATAAAAAAAAGAAAACAGTAAAAAAGTAATTAACTGCGACAAATGCAAAGATTATAAATAAACTGTAAGAAGTTTTGTGGAAGAAATTAAATAATTAAAAGAATTTTATAGAAAGATACAGTCAATTTCAGTTATTACAATCAATTTAAACATTATTAATTTTGTAACTTTTGTAAATGTAAATTAATGACCATTTTCAGGTCTTATTTTCTAATTTAAGAAAAAATCTTAAACGAATAAATAAAGTTCAAATTAATGGTTTACGAAATTTGCTAGGTATTCTTGATAAGATAAATGTGTGATAATTTAGGATGGTACTTTGATACGTCCATCAGTTAATCCATATATGCGTAATGAAATACGACCAAATGTACGAATTGCTGGTCTTCTTTTCGAGAATGATATTGCCTTAATTTTGTCACAAACGAAATTGTTAACATCAATGAAGCAATATCGTAAAAAACGAAAAATAATCGCTGATCCAAGTTATCACTGGAAAAGTTCATTAATTGCATATCGTTTCGGTGATAGCGACAGTTCGTTTATTTTACCACGTCCTAATTTATCTAACAATTTGTTATTAATAAAATATATTGATAGTTTGTTATGAACTATCAGTAACAAAGTATAACAGTAAATAAATCAGTAAGTAAGTAAGTCACAAAGTATAATGATAATTCGTTATTCGTTATCAATAACAAAGTATAATGACAGTCCGGTATTCTTTATTACTAATAACGGTTCGCTATTCTTTATCACTAGTAAAGCATAATTCGGTGATAATGATGGGATATAATAGGTATATACATATATATAATAGGCTAAGAAGATATAATGGTAGTTCGCTATTCTTTATCAGTAGGAAGGTATAATGATTGTTATCAATAAAATATATTGATAGTTTTTCTTTACTACTAATAAAGTATGATGATAATTTGCCATCTTATTATATCCTAATTTATCTATCAAATTATTATCAATAAAACATTTAAAAAAAAGTTATTTTCAACTTTTTAAAGTATAGTTCTGTTTTTTTTTTATTTTTTAATTAATAATAATTAATGTTAAATATGCAAATCGATTGTCAACTATCTGTTAGTTTTTTTTTTCCTTTTTTTAAAATTTTAGCAAACTGGCAAGATTACATTCGTAAAACACTTCATTATTGGGAGCAAGAAACTTGCTTACGTTTTGCGGAAAATAAACCAGATGATGATTATTTAATTTTTATCATTGGAAGCGGGTAAGTTAATTTTTTTTTGAATTTCAAAAATTCTTGAATAATTACTATGTCTTATTTTTATATTAATTTATCAAGCGCACAAAAGATTAATTATGTTTAATAACTGAGTATAAAACAATTACTTATAGCATGCACTATTACAGATAAATAATATAATGATAAAAGCAAAAAATTTATCATTGGAAATTTATTAATTCTGTATTAATTAAGCTAAAGTAAACAATTTAAAAATTTTAACTTAATCATTAAGCAAATTTGACAGGATTAATTTGTTGTGTGGTACTACCAATCTTTTTAAATTGATTCTTAATAAGCAAAAATTTTTGATATTTATTTGTCTAATAAATATGCAATAACTTTCATCACATTATCATTAAAAAAGTTTTATTTTAATTTGCAAAAAAAAAAAAAAAAAAGATTAATTTTTTTTCATTTTAAAAACAAATGATAAAATTGGAAAAAAAAATTATTTACTTCAATTTAAAAATTTCAATTATTTCGTGCTCTCATATTTCAGCTGTTATTCCAATGTTGGAAGATTAGGCGGCAGTCAAACAATATCCATTGGTTATGGTTGTGAAACTGTTAATCTTTCAAAATATATTTCTAACTTTTTAAAAAAAATTTTTTCTTTTTCTTTTATTTTTTCGTTTTTCTTTAAAATAATTGTTCAACAAAATTTTAATCGAATTTCACTTTTAATTATTGAACAGAAATTAACAGTAAAATTTCTTCTTTATTTATTGAACAAGATTTCAATAAAATTTCTACTTTTAATTATTGAGTAAAATTTTAATAAAATTTTTTTCTTTTCTTTTCTTTTTTGAAGCTTGGAATTATTTCACATGAACTTGGGCATGCGCTAGGATTTTGGCATGAGCAAGAGAGGTCAGACCGTGATAACTATGTTCGTATCAATTTACAAAATGTTATCAGTGGAAGTGAGGGAAATTTTGAAAAGCGTAATGTAACACAAATTATCGATTTAGGCGTTCCGTATGATCTTGGATCAGTGATGCATTATTCCACTAATGTATAATTTGTTTTATTCATTATTTTAATATACAAATTGAAATAATTTTTAGCTCAATTATTATTAGTAGTAATGAAATTGAAAATTCATCGGTTTTTTTTCAAAGTGAACTCTTAATTTTTAGAGAAAAAAATATGAAACTTTTACATTCATTAAGTTTTTGTGTGTTTTTGCATATTGTTACAAAAATACAATAAAATTATTTAGGTTTTAAGATTTAGATTTAAAATAAATTATAGCTTAAATAAATGTTTGAATTTTTACAAATTTAAGCATTTATTTAACTATATTCAATAAATAAATAAATCAAAAATTTTATTGTTTTGTTTTGGAGAAAGAAAAGATTGATTATTTATTCAAATGTTAAATTTCTTGATTTGAAGAACTGATTAATAAATATTTCAATAATTTTTCACTTTATTTATTGTGTTTTAAAATTTTTGATGCACAAAAAATTGTTTTTTTTTATTCTTTTTAAAATAATTCGATCAATAAAACATTTTTAAATTAAAACTATTAAATTTCTATTAATTTAAAATCTTTTTAGAAAAATTTTAAACAAGTACAAAAAATAAAAATTTAATCATCTAAATTATATTTATATATTTAAAATTTAGACATTTGCAAAGAGATTTATTGATTTTACGGTTGATCCAATCGATACAAAATATCGTTCAACAGTTGGCAATCGTGTTGCACCAGCATTTACTGATTTTAAACAAATTAATTTACTTTATTGTTTTGGTAGGCATTTTTATTAAAAGTTATTATTAAGAAAAAAGATTTGGTTATTATTAAACATTTAGTTATTAAAAAAATATTAAGTTACTATTAAAAAATTTCTACTAATTACCAATAATAACATTATTTGCTTTCCTAATTTTGTTACTAATTAATTTCACAAATATAATATGCCATAATTTGCTAACTCACAAAAAAACAAATGTTGGAAATGAATTAATTGTTAAAGTGGTTTTAATTTGCAAATAAGCAATGAACTTTTAAATTAGTTCAAACTGTTTTCTTTTTTTGCAGTTTTTTCTTAAAAATTTAATGAATCATATATTTTGCTCAGTAAAAGTTAAATTAAATCATTGTTTTAAAATAAAATAGAACAAAGAAAATGTTGAAATAATCTAAATCAGATAGATGCCAAATGACAAATTTAAAATGTCATCATGGTGGCTATCCGGATCCAAATAATTGCAGTATATGCAAATGTCCAGAAGGTCTTGGTGGTCATCAATGCTCTGATTTACAAAAATCTTGTGAGTAAATTTTTTTTCTTTTTTTCTGTAATTAAGTAAAAATTTCTTTTAAAACATTTCATAAAAAAAAAAATAGAAATATTTGTTTAAAAAAATTGAAAAAAAATATTAAAGGGATTTAAATGAATTTCAAAATTTCTTAGTCATATATTGCTTATGAAACAAAAAAAAAAAAAAAAACTAAGTTTGTAAGAGTATTTCATTAAATTAAGTAATTATTTCCATTACTTCATATTCATTAATTTATTAATAAAAGTCTTAGAATTTCTTGAAAAATAAAACTTTCTAAGGGAAAATTCAACTTAAAAAAAATTTACAAAATTCCTATTTCCTAATAGAGATTTAAAAGATTTTATAAATAGTTAACAAATTAAAGGAAAATTTTTGAATATTTATAAAATTTGAATAATGATAAAAGATTAAAATATTTAAGCATGTGGTTATGAACAATTGGTAAGTGACGAATGGCAAACATTAGAATATAATGGTTCATCGAACTGCTATTGGAGAATTTACTCGGTGAATTTCCAATGAATAATTAATAGAGAGAATGAAATAAATAATTTAATAATTATTTGTAAGCCCTTTTTTAAGAAATTTAATCTGAAATTCTGTCGGTATGTAGTTTTTTTTTCATCAACCGGAATGAACACTAAACAGTTTGTATTTGAATGTTGAACATTGATATTTAGTAAAATTCAATACTGTGCTGGAATTTATTAAATTTTTTTTTTTCCATTCCTAATTCTTTTTAATTTTAAGTGTTTTAAGATATTTAATAAACTAAATGAAAAAATCAACGACTAATTTTCAATAATTTATAAATATATATATATATATTTATAAAGGATCAAAAAATATTTGTATCATAGAAGTGCTCACTGACTTTTGTATTCACAATTTTTTTTATTTTTATTTAAAAATATATTCGAAATACTAAATCTATTATGTCTTTAAGATAACGCAAAATTAATTTGCTTTTCAAATTTTTGAAAAAAAATCAAATGCAACATAGTGCGATAGTAATTTTAAAAAAGATAAATTCACTTATAATAAATAATGTTCTAAAAATAAAAAATTGATAAATCTTACATTTTCTACTTGAAAATCTAAATTTTTAGCCAAATGGTCGTATTCGTTTTGAGCTGACAGAAGCACATTACAAATGTGATCCGGTTTGCGAGGAATATGTTGAAGTGAAACATAAAATAGATTTGCAAATTTCTGGGTTTCGTTCCTGTTGTTTACCGGTTACAGGTGAATTTATTTCCGAAGGTGAAATGCTAATTGTCATTTCACATGCTTCCAAAACATCACATTTCCTTCTGCGATTTATTAATGGCACGTTTTTTTTTTTTCACTCTCTCTCTTTCTTGTTTTTTGTCTTTTGTAGTATTTATTCACTTTTTTTTAAATTTGAATTACAATAAATCTATAATTGTAACAGAAAAGCCCCCCTTAATTGGAAATTATTTCATATCATGCAATAATTAACTAATAACGCTGTAATAAATTAATTTATATTTAGAATTGAAAAAATTTTCAAATCTGTTGCAATGTAATCCCAATTAATTTTGCTAAATTTCATACTTTTAAGTTACTTTTTATTTCAGAAATATTATATTATACATAAGTGAATTATGCTGCTTGAAAAAATGCTACAAAATGTTACACACAAAAAAAGAAAAATTGTATTTTATTTATTTTAGCTCAATCAACAACAATGGCAAAATCCCCGATACTTTTTAATTACTTTAGCTAAATTTATTAATTTTTATTTAACTTATTATTCATTTTAGCTCAGTCAACAATATCATCAAAATTATTGACAGCGTCACAAACAATCACATATCAAATGAAAAGTGACTTCAATCAACAATGTCAATGTGCTATGAAACGAATTACATTTATTATTTGTGAATATCGACAATTTCATAACTGCAAATATATTATAAAAAATGTTAACTGTAATCAATTTCCACTAAATTCAACTGAAATAATGCTTCATAAATATAAAATTATTCGTAAAATTCTTTAATTACTGTGAATTCTACAGTAATTTTTATGATTGTTATAAACGAAATGATAAAAAATTTTGAATATAACATCTCAGTAATGCTTAAATTTGAAGAATTTATTATTGCCTTATTACATTTCTTTAAGCTATTTTATTCAATGTAATTTAATTTGCAATTAAAAATGAATAGATTTTAATTGTATGATAAGAAGAAAAAAAAGCATATGAAAAAGAAGCGTATGATAGTTTATGGAAGAATTAATTTTAAATTAAAATATTGTTCATTATAGGAAAATGGGAAAAACATTTTTTTTTTTAAATTTAATCTTTTTTTTGAAGTTTTATTAGTAAGAAAAGAAAAATCAGCTTTTTCTCTTCAATAATCTATTATGAATATTTTAATGATTCACTCACTATCTGTCAATTATTTTTCACTGAAATTTACATCATTTACTCTCATTTATGTTTTGCAACTTAATTTTATTGCTGTGTAAATTTTTATGGAATGTATTTTATCATTTGAAGAATGCAATTGGCTAAATTTTGTTTATTTTAATTTATTTACTAATTTTCAAGAAAAAAAAAATAATTGAAATAAGCAGAGCTAAAGAACTTTTTTCATTATCTGAAAATTTAAACGTTTTATTACAAAAAAAGAATAAACAAAAAAAAAGCAGTACAAATTATTAGAAGTACTTAAATTAAAATTCAATTATTATTTCCTTGGTAGCAAAAAACGAAAAGAAATAAAAATGAGAAAATAATTTAATTTAAAAAAAAAAAAATTAATATTACGAATATTATATTAACATTGAAATTATCAACATATTACTTATTTGTGTAAGCATATCGAAATGCAGTAATAAATAAATTTAAGATAAAAATAATGTTATTAAACTTTTTTTTCTGTCTAAATAAAATTTGCATTGAAAATTATTTTAAAAAACGAAAAATAATCGCTGATCTTTTTTAAAAAACGAAAAATAACCGCTAATCTCAAAAAAAGATGAAAAATAATAGCTGTTTTATTTTATGTCTATTCTATAATTAGCCATAAAAACTATTTTATGACAATTGTATGATTAAAATTCATGAGTTGTTGAGTGTAGAATTTATAAAATCCAAAAGGCAGCACATTTGAATAGTAAATAGTATTAGGAGAAGTATTTCGTGACACACAATTAGCACTTCTCATGAATGCATTACTGTCCTAAAAAGACTATTAAATAGATGAAAAATATAATATTTTGATGTAATTGCTACTACTCATATTTATTCTTTCTAAATAATAAATGTCAAAATTTTTTAGTTCTATCATTTGTTTAAACCATTTTAATTTATTTCTTCACTTTTTTTTAGAAATATCAAATTTATGATATTACTGTTGAAACGATAATAAAGAAGAAAAAGATGTGTGAAAAAAAATTGATTAGCTAGTGTTTCAATGACAAGAAATTCCAATTGGAAAGAAATGTCATCATTTTTAAAATGTAATAGAAAATATTTGAATATTGATTTAATGATAGTTAAAAGATATGTGCAAGAGTAACAGATAAGTAATAGTAATTGATGCATAAAATGATATAATATCTTTATTTGCATTTAAAATTTTTTAAATTTTTAAAAAATTAGATTTAATTAAATTTTATTGCTTTTTTTTTACCGAACAGATATATTGAACTTATAACTAACTATCTGATAGCATTACAAAATATAACGATTTTTTTTTTCTTAATTAAAAAAAAATTCTAGATCTTTTTCTAAAATACTAAAAAACTTAAAAAAATTTAACATTTTATTATTTCAGGAAATTTTGCATGAAAACTTAATTCGATTAATTCTGTTCTATTCAATGCTAATATTTGTGATATTATCAATAACAGAAGCATATTTTTCCAAATTATCACAATCAAATCATTTATGTCATAATCATTCACGAGCGCTATTTTATCGTTTACCAGTAGTGCCATCTCCATTGATCATCTGTTTATCATCTTTACAACCTTATCCACCACCAAAATTATCACTTCATCGTCCATTATTACGTTCATTTCAACGTTCAACAATTTTACATCCACTTTTATCACGTTGTCCAACATTTTGTCCATCCTTTTGGCCATTGTGTCCAACGATAAATTCTTGTCCACTCAAACGTCCATTACTTTCATCTTCCTCTCCCGGTCCATCAGAAACTTTACCACCTCAATATTACGATGATAAAAAAAATAAAAATTCAAGCACTTCTAAATTTACCTCCTATTTAAATGATTTCTCGGAAAATTCTAAAAATCATTTATCTGATAATGGTGCTTATTTAATAAATGATATTAATAAAGGAAAAAATATCACCAATGAAACATATCATATTTATTCATTGGCAACTTTAAATAATACAACAAATTCAAAAAAAAAAACTAATTTATTATCATTCAATCATTCATCTGATATTTATTTATCAAGTATATTACCAATACAACAACTATCACAAATTACAACTGATAATGCAAATGATAATAAACTTATTGACAATACAACAAAAAGCGTTCAAAAAACAAGCGCTAAATATTTGTTAAAAAATAACTGTTCATCAAATGATAATGATAATAACTGTATTAGTGACAATTTTACAATGCCACCAGAGGTATCATTAAATTATTCCTTTTTTCTTTTTCATTCTTTCTTCTTTTTTAATTTATCCGTTTTTGGAACTAATGAAATAAATATTAAATGTTATTTATTAAATTTAAAAGTTTTTTCAATTTAATTTAAAGAAACACAAAATCTTTATATTTTATTGGAGGGAAAATTTTTTTTACAGAATGACTGCTGCACAAACTGTTCAATTCCATGCCATTTTCGATATATACAAAGGACATCACTCACTACAGATCAACTTCAGGAAGTGGACCCAATATGTAATAATGAATTATTACGACAGATAATTGCTGAAGTTAATCTTTTTTTTTTTTATTTTTTATAAAAAACGATTTCAAAATAAAAATAAATCATATTTAAAATAACTGCACTTCTGAAGTAGCTTTTAATAGATAAAACATTTTTAAAAAATGAAATGAAAAAACATATACAGAATTCTTGAGCTAAGACTTATTCCGGAAGAATTAATGCAGCTTGGTTATAAATATTTAAGTTTCAAATAAAGCAACTCTAAAAATCTTCAAGAGAATGAAATTTTCGAGTAAAAAGTCCCATCTATTCGAGTTAAAAAGAAAAAAACTCACAAGTAAAAAGTTTAATTTTATTTATGAAAAAATAACTTGCAGCAAATGGATGATGATATTAACAAATCTAAAATTCGAATAGAACGAATAGCACGATGGTTTCTTGGTGGATTATTTGGAGTAATCTGTGGAAATGATAATTTTGCATATATAATTCAGACAAAAGATTTTTGTCAACATCAGAAAGGAAATGTTACTTGTTATGCTTTTCGATTATTAATAGATTATAATAAAATTAACATTCCGTAAAGAGATTAAAAAAAAAAAAAAAAACTCCTGTATTATGCTTATAAATTTTCTTTTTATTGCATGAAAATATATGTTTAACTAAATGACATTATTCATTCATAATAATTTCAAACAGCATTTAAAATTCAAATTAAAATTGAGATAAAGATTCATATGCCTTTGAATGCACAATTTGTATACACAAATCATTGCAAGATTGGACGAAAAATGCTTCAAGCAGTAGAAAAAGTAATTCAGGCAATGAACAAAATAGATATATAAAAAGTATACAAGGGAGAGAGAGAGGCGGAGAGAGACAGATAAAATGTAATCTTCCAACCTTTCTTTTATTTAACAAGAAGAAGACAATGACCCTAAGAAAAAAAAAAAAAAAAAAAAAAAAAAAAACAGACCACACAACAGCAGTTACATATAGCTATGTATAATAAATGATTAAATTTGCTTTAAATGATCGATTAAATTTGCTAGTATTGAAATTGAAATATTGAAAAATGTTTAAAACTACACATTTAATGACCCGTTCTTTGCACTTGCCAATCCTGCAAAAATTACAATAAAACATTTGTAATATGTGAATAATCAATTATTTATTTCTCTTATTTATATTAGCCAAGAAAATTAAGCAGATTCATTATTACCACTGAAGCTAACAGTCATTAGCAACAATCATGGCTTAATATTGTTTCATTTTACCAACAACAAATTTCCATGTAACATTTAATCTATTGAATTTTTTCAATCAGAATTCAAAATAATTGACAACTTTTAAGAAAACACCATAAACTAAAATATGAATTATTCATTTCGTATTTTATTTTAGTAAAAAATGTAATACCTGTTGACAGAGAGGACAACGATTATTCTGCTTCACCCATAAAGCCATACAGCAATTATGAAAAGAATGATTACATTCACCCCATACTACCACACAATCATCTTGCTTATTTTCTGACTGACACCGTAAACAAATATCTGAAAATTTCAGTGAAAAAACTAGCTTATATATATATAATTCACTCATTATTAATGAATTACAAGAGTTTCACCCAATTATTATTAAAAAAAAAATTATATGGCTGAATTTAATTAACTTACCCATTAGTTGTACACGACATATCGCACAGATGTCACATTCCACATCCCATGACCATGTTGCTAATGCAGTCCATTTTTTGAGTACAAATGGACGCTGATCACTCAATGTTGTATCTTTTGATTTTTCCATATTATCTAAAGAAATTATTTATGCAATAAATTAATGAATTCGAAAAAGAAATACAAAAGTAATATCAACAATAAGTTAGCAAATCTTTTCTACACCATGTAAATAGCTATTTTATGACACTCTATATTTTTGTGAAATAAAAATTTTCCCTCTTGTTTTATTAAATTTACATTAATAATAATAATTATCAATTTTTTTCTTTTACATTAATTGCCCAAAACATTATTCAAAGAAAATTTGGAACCTGTAATGAACACTGTTCACTCAGTGCTGCATTTTTTATTAACATCTTGCTTATTGTATTATTAATTATATTTTATTATATTAATTATACTGTACACCAATTATTATATTATTAATTATTGTATATTAGTTTATTATATTATTAAATCATTACTTATTATGTCATTAATTATATTGTCATTACTATGTCATTAATTAACTAATTATATTAGTTATTACATTATTAATTAATAAACATCTTACTTATTTTCCAACTGAACATTATAGACAAATATTTGAAAATTTCAATGAAAAAAAAGTAATATATTTTATATTATTTTATACATTAAAATAAAAGCAAAGAAAAAAAAGAGAGAAAAAAAACAACTGATTATAAGTAAATAACATTTGGATATCCTACATTTTACCTTTGATATGCAATAACATAGAAGCTATAGTGAAAAATATTCTTTATTATACCAAAAAAAGCAATAGTAGTTCTCGCATATATCGTACGTACATCATTTCAACCATTGCTATATTAAACTCTCATTCACAATTCTTCTCACTTTTTAAAATGCAATTTTTAAAAGCAAAAAAGTGAATTGTATGAGTGAATCATATTAGACGAAAACGATAGAAACAAAACGTGAGATTAGAATTAAAGGCCATAATACGAGATTATTATTTATTTTTTTACAACATAATATGATATTTAAAGATATACAAGAAAAAAAAAAAAAAAAAAACAATTGGAAAATTTAAATTTTTGATCGACCATCCTCCATCATAGGTCCCAAATAGTTCTTGAATGTTGACAGTACCTGTAAAACAAAACACCGAAAGATATTTTTTTTTTTTTTCAGAAAAAGAACTAAAATTATTTAAATAGTGCAAAAAAGAAGAAAAAAATTGAAAATGTTAAAGTGATATAAAAAACTTTTGCGTAAACTTTATTAAATTTTCTTTTTCAAATATAATATATATATATATACTAAAAATCACACAGTACGGAATCAGTTCCTAATTAGTGGGATACTTACTAATAGCAAAAAATCAGTTTCACAAAAAATCCCTTCTGCAGATTAAACAGTTAAACATCTTTGCTTTTTAGAAGCAATAATTTTGCAGTGAAACACTGTTGTATTAGCATTGCTAAATTACTTACTTCAGTCTTATTCAATTCCGAATATTTTGCCCACTCAAGCATTGCCGCATAAACGTTACCGTCACGTCGACCAAGGACAGAATGAAGTTCACGATCCGAAAAATCAAATGAATCTACTATAGCTACAGCATCTGGACGTAAATTCCCCAATATTTCATAGATACCACATTTTACACTTCTCATTTGTTCATCTGACATATAATTCGCCTTAAAAATATTTATAGAGTAGCTAAGATTACATTTAAATATAATATCTTTACTCATAATTTCACTTTTATTCATCGTTATTTTAGAAATATATAATTTTATGGTGATTGTAAGAATGAAAAATAATATTTTAATTGCATATAAAATGTTGTATCAATGGGTGAAACATCAACCAATCCATATAAGCAGAATAACATTTATATTTTATGATTTACCATTCTAAAAGCGTAACAATGAGCAGAAATCTCATGAAGCATATAAAGTTTGCCAATCAGATTTAATATTCGTGAAATTTCTGGTTCACTACACTGTGATATTCGTGATAAATAACTTTTTGCCATAAAACAAAGAATGTGTAACTGAAAATCAAGAACAAATAACTTTGCAATTTATAATGTCATCAATTGAATAAAAATATGGAAAGTAATGTAATGAAAGAAAATTTGAAAAAACAAAAAAAAAAAAAGCAAAAATTTGCAGATTTATGAGAAATTTTCGAATCCTTTCATGAAATTTTCAAAAAATTTTTTTGTACCTTTTATCCAATTAAGTCAACAAAAATGTTAATTAAATGATAAAATGAAAAATGTAGAAAGGACTCACTCGACTTGCTTTACATAGTTCAACCGAAGCACAGTTCCACGCCTCTTCAGCAGAATGATTATCTTTTTGAAGTTGTTGCAGATAATTATATGTTGAATATATCTGCAAATTGATAAATGTTTATAGTAATTAATTTCAAATTTTCGGAAAGCACTGAAGGTAATATATATATATATATATATATAACAAGAGAAAAGATATCTACTGGAAACTAAAGAACTCACTAAATGGACTGACTTTTCGCATGATTAGTTAATGTTAAGAATGAACGCCAGTTTAGTTATTTTAGATTAGTCTCTTCTGAATCATATATTTTAGCCTCTAACTTATCACCTATAATCACATCAATATCCTCGGAAACTAACTAAATAGTGAAATCACACTATGCGACTACATAATTACCTGGTTTCTAGCAGCTTGTTCGAAATCACCAACCAAATCCTCATATTCAACTGTTTGCCACCTTTGAAAACTAGATTTATATCTTCTAGCATCAAGCAAATATTTGGCAATTGTTGCTAGATGAGCACTATTAGAATGTATTTCTTTGACTGTTTTCATTAAAAAGCTGCAATATTGATAAATTATTAATCTGACCTAAAAATTTTCAGTTTTTTTTATAAATGTAGAAGAAACAGGTTGAAATATAAAGAGACATACCGTGCAACTTGAAGTAGCATAACGATATTTTCCCCTTCGTATGTACAACCAGCAACAGCGAAAGAATAAATTTCCGGAAAACCGGATGCATGTGAATAGCCATGTCCACCACATGCTAATCGACACTGTTCGATACCCTATATAGAATGACCACATACAGTTTTCTGGGTAAATTTTACAAAAATAGCATCATCATCTGTACATCTTTATATATTCCAAAAATTGAAACTTAGATTTATTTATTGGACACTTTAAAATCTTACAAAGAAATACATAGTTACATTGACTAAAGGGAAATATTACAGACCTTTGCAACTTCCCATGTGACAACAGCTTTGAAACCTGAAGAAAGAATATGTAATTCTTGCAACAATTCAGTAATACCATGCGAAAGTTGTTTGTTGACCTTAAATTTTTGAGCTTAAATTATAATCTAAAATCAAAAAAAAAAAAAAAAACAAGAAAAGGAAAACTAATTCAGAAAAGAATATTTAGAAATCAGCAATCTTCGAAGATGTAAAGATCTGAAATATATTGCTGATGGAAAATTAAAAAGATACCTTCATATATAAATTCTTCACTTCTGTAGCGGCAAATAAAAATACAAATGACTGAGCAAGGCAAGGTAGAATTCGATACTGTTGCGTCCGATAATCAAGTATCTGAACTTCTTTCAAACTGAAAACTTTTAACACTTTAAAAATTAATCACTATGAATGCTTGCTGAATCATTATGGAAAATCTGAAGTCATAAATTTCATCGTATCCATTACCTAAACTAAACAAAACATTTATCAAGAAAACATTTTTTTCATATTCTAAGTAAATAAATTTTTTGCACATAAAATGAAAAATCAAATTATATTTATACTTACCCAGGTTTCCATTCTCCCTGTCTTCTAATAGAAGAATAACGTATAGCAATTGTAACTGCTGCAGCCAGTTGCATAGCTTGATCTCGTACCATAATTGATCGCACAAATACCATCGTACCATAACGTAATTTGGAATGTTTCGGTGCAATATATTCACCATTTGATAAAACCTAACAAGTGTACAAAAAAAAAAAAAAAAAAAAAGTTTCAAAAACATTATGAAATCATTAAACGATATCCATTTCATGACTTTACAAAATAAATTTTTTTGATATATAATTATAACATATAAATATTTTCTTATATATAATACACAATTGCATTAATAAATCAAAAGAAAAAAATTTACTTGTGAATAACGCATGAACATATTTTTACGGGGAATGCGATAGTTGTTAAATATAAGAAAACCATTGTCATTGCCAGGAATACCCATTTTAGGACCAATATCTCCAATTGTGATGCCTAATTTAAGCAATTGGTAAAAATTATGTGAGTGAAAAATAAGCTGTAAATATGACTTTAATTGGTTAAATTAGAATCAGTAAGTTAGCAATCAGCGTTGAATTGCAAAAACTTTTTACATTTAGTCTTAACAGATTTTAAAATTACTACATAAAAACAATTTGTTCTCTACTATTCGAAATACAAATTAAATCACCAGGCAAGGGCATATGAGTGTCGAGATCCCTAAGCTGAACAATGAACATGTGTAAGCCCTTATTATTTCCATTAATGATAAGTTGTGCAGGAATTATTGCATAATTTGATGATTTTCCAAGGCCACCTGACCACCATTTTGTTGCCGAAACTGATGGTGTATGTAGCACAAATTCTTCTGTTTTCTCATCATATGTTGCTGTTGTTTCCAACTTTGAAATATTAGTACCTTGAAGACAACAAATAAATTTGCACAACTATAGTAAAGCACGAAATTTCTATTAAAAAAAAAAAACTCACTTTACAAAGTTATTGATTTATTCAAAACAAAATTCATTACTATGCTAAAAAAAAAAAAAAAAAAAAAAAAAAAAAACTTTCTGTCCTAAACTAATTTTAGATAAGATTAAAAAAAATATATGTAAAATAAAATTATAAACCATGTCCAAGCTCAGTTTGTGCATAAGTTCCAATGATGCCACGAGTAACAGCTAAGGGAAGCCAATAGTCCAATTGATCATCATCTGCTTGCCCTTGAATAGTTGGTATGAACATTGCATAATGTAGCGACATTGCATGGAAGTCACGTCCCATTATCAAACTATAATTATTCAGCTAATTCAATTTCAAAATAATCAACTGATTTTTAAGATTCAAATAATCACATAATTACTATCAAAACAGAAGGAGAGAGAGGAAAAAAAACAATACCTTTGAAAAAGTAATCCTTCTTCGAACATATCCGATTGATCAATAAATGCTATTTTATCGGTCATTGCTACGATCTTAAGCAGCGTGTAATTAGTTCACTATTATTTCATTCTTTTATTTTTTTTAAATTAGTTCATTATTATTTATTTATTATTTCATTCTTTATTTAAAAACAAACTTTTTCCATTTTTTTCAAACTCAAAAAAAAAATTTTTTTTCTTGAAACCAAACAAATTTTTTCAACAAAATATGAAATGGTTTATATATTTACGTCTTAATCCTTATCTTGCAAATGAATTAACAAATTAATTGAAGGACCCGTTATCAAATCTTAAATAGTTCTTCTCAGGGGAAGTAACAGAAGAGTAGAATGCAAGGAAAATTAATTAGAAAACAAACCTTCCGTGCATTATTCTCAACTCGTTCCTTTCGACTCATGAATTCAGGCGGTATCGGATCTTGAAAATCTTTTTGAGATTCTACAAATTTCAATATTTCATGTCTTCTACGAAGCTTTTCTTCACCACCATGTATAAATGCAGCCATTTTGCCAACCGAAAATGATGAGCCTCGCCGTTCATTGGTAATATCTTCATTATCACCTGGTTCAATTAAATTATATCGCATTTTTGAAATACTAATAATTCATTTTCTTCTCCAAATACATCTGAAAATCCTATTCATATGTCATTATTAAAATTATTAAAAAATAAAAAATTATTCATATATCATTATCAAAATTATCACAAATAATTCCGTAAAAAACTAACTAAATTCGACTGTAAACATCATTAATTCTTTTCGAATTAATTTCAAACTATTTGATATATAAAATTGATATATTAACGAATAATATTATTAAATAATTCTTAAATACACTGTCATCATTTCATATACAAATAAAGAACGATGTAAACTTTTAAGTGATTGAAAGGATGGAAAATAAAAACAAAAGGATATAAAAAAAAGGAATTATCTGAACACTGTTTGCTGTCAATGAATAAAAAAAATATATTCGGTTGAATGACGGCGCTGTCTGTTATTGATCACATCCTAACATAAAATGATGTCAAAACAAATCAAGTTTATCAACTATAAAACCATATTACCACGAAATTAATTACCACCAAACTCAAATCAATCAATATCCAATGTATCTAGCAGTCATTGGCTAATCTTAAATCAACTCTTATATATGTATATATATATATATATATATATATATATATATATATACATATATCCCGCGACTTTTAATGATCAATTGGAAAAGGAGAATTTTAATAAATTCAAAATTCCTTTCTTTTTTTCACTTGCACATCAGTGAATAAGAATAATTAATAATCTATTTTTATAAATATTAACTTTTAAAATGAGTGAGAAAAAACAACAAAAGAATGTGGGTAGAGAGAATAATTTATAAATTCACTATTCAGATTGATTAATGAAATGAAATGAATGGTTGCTTTTTTCCGGAAATGATGTTGCGATGAGACGTAAGCAAAGTATCACGCATTAACGGATGCAACGCAAACAAAATATCACGCATCAGTGGATAAAACGTACCACGTGTTAACCATTGCAAGTATATCTTATACCATGACTTTTAAAACGTAAAAAAAGGGCATGGATATTTATTTATACAATCATTAAACGACTTGAAAAAGGAATTATATGCAATACTAAAATTGTAATCTCATGTAATTACATTTAACCAAATATCGCTTCCTTATTATTCGGATATATCTTATTGAAATATTCACCTTTTTTCTTTCTTATTTTACGTTTAGTTCATAATTCTAAAAACTCAATAAGTTCTGTTGAAATTCAATTAACCTGAAACCAGCAAAACAAAAATATTTCCCATAAAACATTGAAGTAATGAAAAAATAAATTTCGTTCGAACTATGTGATAAATCTCAAATTAAATGGATGAAATTTAAGTATAAATCTAACAGCAAAAAGTAACTCTTACGCTATCTTGAATAACTGAATGTTATGTTCGTTTCCGTAAATTCTCCACTTTAAAACCCAATTCCCATATTTATAGATAGTTACCAATCAAAAAACTCACCATGCCTCCATCTTTGTTTTTTTTTTTTTGTCTCAATTCAAGTAGTAGAACTTTATACATTCATATGTTATAATATGAAAAATGAGAAATTTAGAACTTGAAAGTTAAACAATCAAACAATAAAAACCTGTCATCAGTAACTTTTTAAAAAAGCATTATATACATTCAAATATGTATGTGCCACGTTAACAGCAAATTTTTGATCAGATGGTTGTAACAGAGAGCGAAGATGTACATAATTTGGTGAACCTTCGTTATAATCAGCTTTATGAAGTAGCACCAAAAATTCATGTCGCCTACGAATTGCTCCAATGGTAAATCTTAAGCATAATGGCCATTCACAAATTTGCATATTTGATATATGCACAGTGAATCGAAGGTAATTATATGTTGTTTGTAGAGCATTTGGCTCTGAAACATTAATTAGAATTGATTTATTTGATATTCAATTTGGTCTTTTCAAAGATTTTCCATTACAGTGAGAACATCAATACTTTCGTATTCAACGATATCACCATAATATATAGCCGAATGAATCATACTTTCGCTGGATATTTAGTGTTATGCAATGTGATACCAATGAAACATTATAAATGTTATAAACAAATCTGTTTAATTAAATCGTGAAATAAAGTCCCACTTACCCATCATGAATACTCTCGGATCTTTCAATAAAATTGCCTTAACTTGTTCTTTTGTAAACTCCATTTCTTCATTTAACATAGTAACAAGTCTCTGTAAAAATAAGACACATTAACTTCATTTGAAGAAAAGAACCTTGTTTCCTTCGTTTTAAATTTAAACCGAATCCTTGTTTGCTTCGTTTTAACTTTAAACCGAATAAGATTTCTAAATCGTAGACTTTATTGAAACCTACAACAAAAACATCACCCATGTGCATACTTCAAGCGGTCCGACACCGTACATAATAATTCTTGATTCTGTGATTATTAGTTGACGCATTTCATCTCCCGTCAGATCAAACGTTTTTTGAATCCATCCCAAGCGAGCATCTGTTGTTTCAACATCGGTATTCAGCCAAAATCTAGCATAAAATACACAAATAAAGAATTTCAAAACGACTTTTAGAAAGCAGGATGATGAGGTTTTAATATTGTCTATGAGTCAACAAGGACTTCAAAACACAATACCTAATATTCATTTATTGACGTAATAAATTACAAAAAATCATGTTTCGGAAACTTTAAGCAAAAGAAACAAACCTATTGTTTCTTACAATTTTAAGGACTTTCGCTTTAGTTAGCCGCTTTGTATAAAGGTAATTTAAACGCACCTAAAATTATATAAAACATGATATGTTTATTTCGGCTGTTATAATATACATGAAATGAAGAAAGTTTAAACTTTTCTGTAAAAATATATACATATATATATATAATAAAAACAAACTCTAACTTTCATGTTTTCTAAATCTTGCAATAAGAAATACGGATTTCGTGTTAAATATAAGCCAACATCGCTTATAGGCATACCAACTTGATGAATCAGCCATACAAGTTTCGGTCTAACATTTTCCCAATCTAATTTCACCAGTTTCCGGCCGATATGTGTCACTGAATCTACCTAAAATGCAGTTGATTATAGAATTGACAAAATAGACCTACAAATTCTGCAATCTTACAAACTTCTAAAGTTTATACGAAAAAATGAAAGCACTTCGTAAACTTGATCAGTTAACCTCAAATAAAATCTGCCTAATTCAAACAAAAAAAAAAAAAACCTCAAACAAATCCATGCCTAATTCGACAAGTGTCTGCAATACGGGTAAATGATTCACATAATGAGCAATACACCATGAGTGTGTCGGAGGTAACAATGATGAATCTGCAGTTGGATCGAACGGAAGTGGATTATCTCTGAAGAAATCGTAGTTAAAAGTCTATTTAAAAAAAAAAAAAAAAAAATAAAAATCCAGGAAAATAACATAAATAAGGAATATATTTATTAGCTCAATTATATCCATTAATTTTGCACGATATCAATCAAATCCAGATCACTGTAGCAGAAGATACGTTAGATAATTTGCTAAACTCATTGTTATTACAGTAAAGGAGAAGATAATAAGAGTCAAACAGTATATCAATTCAGTTCTGATGTACTTCTGATCAAATTTGACAAAAATAAGAGAGAAAAAACCTTGATGGTGGCTGCATAAAGTTCGACTTATCCAGTTCCCCCTCTGAATATACAATAGGCCGAAATCGACTAGCCTTTACTTTTTTTTTTCGCTGTGTTGCGAAAGAATTTTGCAGCGATAGCTGTAATTATATTTTATAAAATTCAATCCAATAAAAACATAGAATCATAGCATTTTGAACAATATCCAACTGAAAGAAATATATGCAAGAAAACAGCACTCTCTCTTCTACCACCTTATTACTTTCATTGAAAAGAGTTCAAATGTTTCACTCGATTTTACATTTTGAAGATAATCCAACTTTAATATAATAACCTACAGTTCTAACAAAGTTGTTTATTTCTTTCGATATAAGATTTTCTTTTGTAGCCATATCTGCCATAAAATCTTCAGAAGAAATATCCTGCTTTTCAACCTATAAAAGGTATAAAAGAACATTATCCTAATGTTTAATTCCTTAATTCACAAGCAGTGTGCTATTCTTTTTTTTCAGCCAACTAATCAATGTCAATTTATCCTATATCAACAGTAAAACTACTTAGAAATGAGCTTTCAGCATAATTCCTGACTATGACAAGTGGTACGAAAGCAAAACTGATACATTAAAAGTCATTGTTAGAAATACTGAAGCATCAATTACATTAAAATTCGTCAATATCCATATGTCTAAACTTCACATGCTACATCGAAAGCAAAAATTAGTACATTTACAGTTAAATAACAGTGACTTTACCTTATTTAATTTATCACTAACTTCCATCACTTGTTGTACATTACCATCAACAAATTTTCGAAAGAAAAAATTAATCACAGCATTATTTCGAGCATCACGATAACTACGCCTTAATAAAATCATGCACTGAAATGTTGAATCATTTAAATACTTATCACATTCATCTTTGCGAGTATCGTACTAATTGTATGGCACTTTTATCTATCTATATATTGCGTACCACGTAACTAAATTGGAACATTTATTCGAAGATTCAAAAAACGGAATAGTTCCGGTGTGATTTGATAATGTATTGCTGGCATCATCCTATCACTGCTACAAAAAAGAAAAACATGAATTAGCACTTGAAAATTTTATTTTAACAAAATAATGCACAAAATTATATTCGAGTAATAGTGATTAATTGAATTCAAACTCATTTTTCTGTATTAAAAATTCAGAAACTGACGACATAATATTTTAATTTAAACAAAGTAATGTAGCAATCATCAAAACATCACTAGTATATGAAAATTTAAGGTTTATTCTTGTATCAAAACAATTACGCTTTTTAGTTTTAATGGTTGTGATACTGTGAATGCAACAATAGGAAAGATAAGTTGCATCACACTTTAAAAAAAATGAAGAAAAGAATTGCAAACAAGAATTTTTCCCGGAATTTGCAAAACCAAATTTCAATGACGAAATTAAGAAAAGTGATAACCAGGACAAAAACAAAGGATAAGCAAAAAATAAATCTTTGAAAACTTATAATAACTATAAAAAAAAAAAAAAAAAAAAAAAAACTAATGCTTTGCTGCACTTACGGCAGCACTTGGGCCAAGCAACATTTGCCTCTGCTGAGCTACCTGAAACGAAATAAGGATTAGAACTTTCTGATATCATTAAATTGCAAACAGAAGTAAAAAATTAACTGTAGTTATTTAATTTTATATTGATATTAAAGTGAGGAAATATAAATGCATAAGCAAACCAACAAACTACTCCTTAAATCTACCGCCTTGGAAAAAAAAAAAAATGTCAAATCTCTCTGCCTCTAACCTCGCTCACTGACAAAAAATTAAACTAAATTAGAACATTTACCATAACAAAAGGAAAGAAAATTGATTAATTCATCAAAAGAACAATATTTGTACTACAATAAACTTAATGATAAGAGAAACATTTGGTGTTTCATTTCAAAGGGACGAACCTGACTTTTCTCGTACTCAGACCTTTCTTTTTCAATTACATATGGCAAGACTAAAATCATCATCGATGATGATACAATCCAAAGCGCAGATCTTACAAACGAAAACTGAAATAAGAAAAATGTACTACACATTCAGCTTTCAAAAATGACACATTATCTCACAGCTAAATTCAATATACTACTAATATTTTTATTCTGCAACAAATATTTCCTATAAACAAATTTCAATAATATTACTGCGTGTATACACCAAATAGCATATACATAGCGAATATGCCACATCAAAGATTATCTGAATACAAAAAAAAAAAACAAGTACCGTATGCTTCGCAGCCCATACTGACCAATCCACTGATGATTCTAATTTACATCTGAATACATCTGGAAACATTTCACGAAGACCCCAAAGCCTTTCACCAATCGTTTCTTCCAATTCGTCATCCGGAATCTGATCCCATTCATCACCACCAATTCTACTAACTGCCATCTCTTCACCTTATTTTCCTCTTTAAACAACAATTAATAATACTAAGTTCTCCTTAACTCTTAAACCATTCACGTTTCCGCAGAGAAAAATAACAATAAATGACTACAAACTTAATGAGGCAAATAAAAGCTAAGCATTAAAAGAAAAAGAATTAGGAAGCAGTACAATATGAAAAAAATGAAAAACCCCCAAGCGTAACAATGATTCCAGGTAAACTGAGAATTTGGAAATATGAAAATATTTTCCATGATTATTGTTTCGAAAAAGAAAAAAATATGATCATGCATAAATATCACAACCAAAATGGTGTTCAAAACACAACGCATAAAACGTGAAATAACTCGATAAATGCGACTTGAGCTTTATTTCATTAACAGTAGCGAACAAGACACAGAAAGATTGGAGATCAACAAATATAACTTTATAAACGACTGAAAAAAAAAAAAAATGCATCAAAAATTCGCGGATTTACCAAATCACCAAACTCATAATGGACTGTTGTCCCTAACACAACTGAGATATAGTGAAAATACTTCATCATCACTTAATCCCATCTTTCCCATCATGGTCATTATAAAGATGAAAATTCATTATCTCCTGACAAAATTGATTTGATCAAAAAAATGTGAAGAAAATGAGTAAAATATGATCAAAAAATTTTTAACCAAAAGTTGTCAGAAGATCAAAAGGGTCAAAAGGAACATACGAGATAAACTTGAAGAATAAATAACAGAAGATTGTATCATAATTCAAAAATTGTTTTTGGGACACAAAACTTTATTCACTTATTTATTTATGTTCCATCTGTTTCCATTGGAGGGTCACCATCACTGGTTGTTTGACAATTCAATGGATGAACAGTCGCAACGGAATCCAACTTTGTAATAGGTGATGTGTGAGTATTATCTCCACTGATACTTGAAAGTGCTAACTGTGCCGATGCTTTGGCATCGATGAATAATTCGGCACATTGCTTCACGTCTTCTTCCTAAAGTTGTTATTTCAGTGTATATCGCAAACAAATAAAAGCTGAGTTGTTAATCCGATTAAAAAATTTCAGTCATCTACGATACCATAACAAGGTACAAAACAAAAATCCATATAAAAAGAATTTAGCCACTTTTCTTATGAATAGGATGCATGATTTAACACATTAAAAAAACTGCACATGTTCAACTACTGAAAATAGAAAGGGAAACGCACCGTAACATTGTCGCGACTATTTACTTGAGCAAGTAATTTCGCAGGTGTAAGTAATTGTACGACATATCTCAAGGATGTTTCAGCGCCTAGACTACTTAAATATGTTAAGGCATCCTCATCCAATTTTACACCTTCTGCCTCGGCTCGTATCTTTACAATAGCCAATATTTCATCAATTTTGTATGGCTTTGTAACAATTATTAATATGCGATCTAATAAATCCAATGGGATACCGTGCGGTGATACCATTTCTGTACCTCTAGAAAAAAGAATCCTTATGAAGTAAATCCTTTTCACTATTTACAGTTATTTAAATTGTGAATGGTGTTAGCCAACTAATATTATTGATCATATCAAAAATATAGTTACATTCAGATATGGCAAGATTAAATCACAAGAAACTCCATATATAAACTTACCGAACTTTACACTGACCGCGATTAGTGGCAAAAATTACAATCGGACTAATAGTACTTTCAAGCGCTCGATGAAGGTATGTAAAGCATTCGATATCGAGCATATGCACCTCATCAATGAATAACACACCTGGCATTAACTCAGCAATACCCTGAAATAACCAAATATATTTGTCACACAAATTAAATAACTCAACTACCTTCAGAACACCTTACTTGTTAGGACTTACTTGTTCGATATAATCATTCACGACATTGTTAACTTCTTGCCGTAACCTTTCTGTAATTTCAGTCTTTTTAGGCTTTAACAGTTGTCCGACAAGTGATGTTACATTACCAGCAGTACCATGTGGACGAGCATTTGCAATGTCTAGATCATGCAACGTGACATCCTACAATTTTCACTGCATAAATAGAAAAAAAAAAAAAAAAAAAAAACATATGCATAAATAGAAAGGATCAAATAATTTATCAGAAACGAACTGAAAATTTTCAAAAACACAATCTATGATGAATAAAACTTTAGTACTTGGACGACTTCCTTCGACTTCCGAACATCACCTTTTGGTAGTGGCACAAATTCATCAGCTTCTAAATCAAATTCCGTAGCATACACATCACAACGACCAAGTCTCTAAATAATGACACTTGCAGAATAGTTTTTAGTTAATTCTTGTTTCAGCTTCTTAAAGAACAAAAAAGAAGAAAATGCAAATGAATATGGCAAAAAGTATGCAACTATAAACAAAATTAAACCTTTACAGCACCACTGTTCGCCTCGATATAGATGACATCTCCAACTTCAACTTTTTGCTTCAAAAGCGTATCATAAATTGATGGATCAAGTTTCAACTGTTTGCTCCCTTTAACGGTTTTTAAGCCAATCAATACGTGCGATATTCTCTATAAAAAAAATTTGGAAAGAAAAATGAAAAAAAAAAACTAAAATTTCATTTACCATTACAATGACTCTGCAAGCATTCAGCACTTCGTCATCAATTGCTTGAGTGTGAAGATTCGAATCAAAAAAAAAGAATTGTCCATTACTGCAAAAAGGTTAAATGCTTTGCACTGTTCTTTTATTCCGTATAACTTCTAATAATAGGACTAACTTTCCCATAGCCACCCGTTTCATTTTCGCTTTCTACTGGTGTTAATTCTATAACTTCACCTTCATATACTTCTTTCTTCTCCCTAACACGTAAACCTGCAAATAAATATGATCAAATATGACATATTACTTCCAAATACAAAATCCATTATAATAATTATAATTAAGTACAATGCAAATATATATAATTTATAGTAATTCACAGTAACAAATCAATCAATTTTTTAATGTTATCTGTGTTATAAACCATTCAGCAACAGGGCAGAAAATGATAAACACCGATTGATCTTCGAAAATTCTCCATCAGGACTTCAGTTTTTTTCACCTCCGATGAGTAAACTTCAGAACCGACCATTGGACAAAATGGCATTTTATCACCCAATTCCTGTGCCACTGCTAACGCTATAGCTGTCTGTAAAAACGATGCAATGAGACATTGCAAAATCGAATAGAAATATAGTTAAGCAAAATTCATTTTAATTTTCTTCTTTATAAGGATGTTAAAGAACTGCCTAACGGTCAATAACAAACAGCGACGGAAACAAAATATACCTTCCCAGTTCCCGGTGGTCCAGCAAAAAGAATCGCACGTCCTGCCATGCGCTTCGAACGGATTAAATCCACAATCACTCCGGCTGCTTCTCGTGCTTCTAACTGCCCAATGAAACCACTTGCCTAAATGGAGTTCTACGTCTAAATGAAACATCCTCCTAAGAAAATGGCAAACTTAGATTCAGTGCGATACTGGAGTAACAATTATCTATACTAATACAGGTATGTCCCACAGTAAGATATGGATAGATATTGATAGCTTGAATGGTAGCTTATAAATAATGAGAAACCCAACAAAAAACCGAAGCAAGACTCAACTGTTATCTTGAATCATATTTTAAAGACATAAAGGCATATGATTGACGTATGCTTGTAAAATACACTGCACTGAATATTTACACAACTCTGTCCTAAGTAAACTTATTTTTTCACAACAGAGATTAAACCGAACTACTCAAAACAACGAAAGGATCTCTTTGAAATTTACATTGTCACTGGGTGTATGCGTTTCAGGATCTAGTCCCAAACCTTTCACATGACTGTGCGCAGCAACTCTTTGTTTTCGAGCTGTTGATTTAACCTGCAAAATTTGAAAGTGCTCAACAATTATGTATGAATATATTACAACACTTCTGCTTTTTATTGAAACTAGAAAACAAACAAATTCATAAAAACTTCAATAAATGCAATTAAAACTTGCTTCATCAATACTGATTAGTTTCGTCGATAACGCTGCATTACTTTCGACGGTCATCTAAAATAGCACATACAAACTTATGTTTAAATTACCACAAGCAATTTAATTGCATGCTTAGCATAAATATGCGTCACATATAAGAATCAAACATATTTATCTTACATTATATATAACAATAAATAGAAAAACTCTCAAAGATCTCTTACTAATACGAATACTTCAAATTGTTATAAATAAACGGATATTTAAGTACAAATGACACTATTCTGATTTTCACATTACACAATGATGCGATTTAACACACCACTTACTAGTCCACTTCTCACGTAACACGTGCTAGTCACACTTCCACGCAACTCATCACGTACTAACCAAATTCTCATGTAACGCACGCATCAGCCAAAATCCCACCAACTCCTCACGGAACACACACCACTTCAATTCCCATGCAGATTACTCTCAAAAGGTCTGTACCTCTAAACCGCACATTTAAAAGTGATGCATCATATTGATAGGTTAAAATGAAATTAGTATCCCAACGATGTCAGTTTGGTGATAATACTACTCACGGTTGAGTAGTATATTTAAGAATTGTTTAACTTCCACTTTCCATTATTATCTTAATATTTTATCTGCGATCAACTCATGTTCGTTGTTGCGATAGGATCCAACAAGCATTTAGTTTATTACGTTTAGGATTTAATATTTATTAGCAAAGTATTGTGAGCAAAAGACTAATTCATTTATGAAACAAAAACAACTTCCCATATCAGAGTCTATCACAAAGCCATATTATCACAACCATAATATTCTAAGTTCAGTACAATAATACATTATCTCAACAAAAAATCGAATTAAAAGAAAAAATCCATATTCAATTAATGAAATGAAAATTTAATAAACATGGAACTAACAATTTTTTTCTCAAATCCCCAAACAATGAAACCTCATCAACTGTCAAATTTGAAAATTTTGCATTAATGGAAAGTTAATTTCGTCTTTTCTTGATACGAATGAATGGAATGAATTTTTAAACTGACTACTACTACTACAACTATTCAGTACTTAAAAATAACAAGCACAAATAAACATAGAACAAAAAAAAAAAAAAAAAAAAAAAAAGGAAAAAGAAACCTATTACAGCATTACATCGATATAATTCTTCTGAAATACTGCTCTTTCCAATAGATTTTTTCAAAACGACACGTTATTTTGATATGAAAGAACTTTGTAAAGAAGAAATAAATAAAGAAAAAATAAAACTAAGAAAGATTACAATCAATATCAGATCATAAAATAAATTAAGATTGTGTTTTTGGAAGATGAGATATCCTGTAACAATATAATATCTATAGAGAATTTCATATGAAATATATACTCAGAAAAGCATGCATTAATGTTTTTCTTTATAGCTTATATCAATTATGAGAGCTGTAAAAAGTCGTGATAAAGAAAAGTGCATTTGAAACAAATTATATATGAAATAAAATTACACATAATTGTCTTAAAATTAATGCACATTTCCTTATGCCTAAGTGAGGAAATTCCAGAAATGATATTGCTTGTAGAAAATGGTGTTAAAAGCTGCGACAATTTATGCAAAAGGTTGAGTCTATGGCCTAGTGAAATGTTACAATTATGAATAAACATTATGAAAGCGAGATCTATCGCGAGATATTTCGTTTTTCATTTATATTCATTAATGGGCTATCATCATTTGGATTCGATTTATATTTAATAATAGGAGTTCCATTAGAATTATCAATTCCTGGATTAATTTTCACTGCTATCTCTTCGATATGACTACTTTTTGCATTTCTTCTCATTTCAAGCTTTTTGCATAACCAGTGTATTGCTACAATGAACAGAAGCGGTACTGGTGTCATACTTGCACAAATAACAGGAATCAATGCACTAATGTCAGCATCGGGATCAGGAAACGAAAACTGAAATTATTCAGTAGATGCTTTCAAGTAAAAAAAAGAAATAATAAGGAAAATAAGGCAATTTTATAAAGTATAAGTGGAATTATTAGTCCAAATTATGACATTTTCTGGATAAAATAAAATGCATTTTCTCCCTTTGTTTTCGTTTTTTGTTACGGACGAATAAAATTAATTCTCAATTGCATGCATGCAGCTACCAATCAAATTTGTAGTGAAAGGATTCAACAACCTACTTTTATCAACATGATAGCTATGCCTGTATTTTGAATACCAGTTTCGATTGCTATTGAAGTGACATTTGGTGGTGATTGCCGAAGAATAACTGCTGTCAAGCAGCCAATTGCAAAGCCACACCAAGGAAGCAATAAACTTCTGTAATTTAAAATTGCAAGGTGAGAAAATTAAAATAATGAGGAACTGAATTAATAAAGAGCAAAATAATACCCAATAACAGCTGTCCATGTCAACAAACGAATCATATATATATTGGCCAGTGCTCCGAAACCAATTAAAAAAATCAGGACGAATATGATAAATGGCCGCATTATCTATAAATGAATGTATTAATTGTTTGAAGAGTAACTGTGTTTCAAACAAAAAAAAAAAAGTTGACAAAAATTTGATCACTTCAGTTTTAAAAGCAAACCTTTCGAGCCTGAAGTCGTAATGTTGGCTTGAAATGTGAAATTGCAACACCAAAAATCAATGGAACTATCATTATAACCAAAGACGAGAGAATTTTGATGTATGGAATCTTGATAATTGCTTCAGGATGAAAACTGTCGAGAAAATGAAAACCCAAAAGCCACATCCAAAATGGTATCATTACTGTAATACTGTGATAAATTATCTTCATGAACAAAATCTTATGTTATGCATCGGAAAAAGATTTATGTTATTCTTGAAAATGTATAATAATGGCTGAAATAATAGTGTAGTACAATAAATGAAGTAAGAAATATATTTTTAAAGAAGAGAATGAAATTTGAAATTGAAAAAACTAGTTCTACAATAAATATTAAAAATAAGCTTTTTTTTGTCCTGAACCTTTAGTTTAGGAATAAAGGAAAAATTTACCTAAAGCTGCTATGGTGCTACAAAATGTCATTGTTAGAGACACTGGCAAATTACCATCTAACAGAACAGTCCAATAGTTGCTGGCACCACCACCAGGTACACAACCAGTAACAAATAAGCCAAGTGCAAAAGAATGCAAACCATTAGCGGTAAAAATAATATTTGCAATACCCCAAGCAAGCTAAATGGAAAATGACTTAAAAAAAATTTTTTTTTCATATTAACCTAAAATAGCAGAGGTTTAACTTGAAAGTTTAACTTCAATAAGTTAAAGATAACATAATTGAAGACGTAGTAATGTTTCGATATTGAAGACCCATATAGTTTAATAACCCCAAAAATGAGCACTTTGTTCGACACAAAAGTAACACCACCATATCAATATTACTCAAGAAAACCATTCACCAAAGAAAAATGACTTAATATTTTCTTTAGAATATAGATATTACACTTTAGAGCCTCTGATATAAAACTTATTTTTCAAAATCATTAGATATCAATAAATCAGATTAGTTTGATTGGTGCGAAAATAACTTACTAAAGGCATCGCAATAAATTGAGTGCAAAAACCGATCATCGGTGCAACAGGTTCTTTAATTACTTCCAGCATAACACGCCCATCAAGCTAAAATAATAATTTGTAAATAAGTGACAGCAATAATTTCTCATAAAAAACGAAAAAAAAAAAGAAAAAAAAAGCTAGCTTGCATTAGACTAATAACTTAGATCACACTTTCGTTTGCTACTATAAGAAAAGCAAAAAATCATAATTTTTACTCCATATTTTAATCAGTCATCCTTTTGACTTATGTTCTATACCGAAAGTTCTTCAGTTGTATTTAGAAAGGAGATTTTTATATATAAATTTAGGAAAAATACTGTAAGACAAAAATATATACTTCGCATCCCATCAAAATATTAGCGATAATAATTAAAATGACCAATGCTGATAAAAATAATCGATTTTCAAGCCGTTTATTGTCTTGAATAACCCAAACATCAAGCATATTATCCTGCTGGCCAAAATCATTTCCACTCTGCAATAAAGAATTTCGTACCCGACTGAATGTTCTAAAAATTAAGACAAAGGAACTTGATATAAATCATACTATGCTTACTTCGCTTATCTCATATAAAAATCGATCATCATCCATAGTTTCATCCATACTTAATAAACGTACTTTTACAGCTGTTTTACCCAGGAAATGTCCAGTAAGTGTGATATTTACCTGCAAAATTACAACAAATTTGCATGTCTTAAAAAAAAAGAAACAATGAATTTGCAGAGAAAAAACTCTGAAAAAAATAATTTTATAAGAACTTCATATGTTTCTGAGTTGTTTCTCTTCGATGAATATTCTCCTAATTTGAATTGTTTTCGCTCTTTTGCTGCTGTAGCAATATCTTCATCAATTGATCTATAAATACAGTGAACATCGCTGATAGATAATCAAATAGAGATAACTTTGAATCCAAAAACCTATTCTGCATTAAATGTATAGCTTTCTCCAATTTGTCATATGAAAATACGAAGTTATTATTCGAGATTAAAATTTAATTAAGAAAAATGAATAAAATATAAAAAAGTATTCAAAAAAAAAAAAAAAAAAAAAACTCCAAACTTTAGAAAAACTGCAAATGATTTTTTGGGTGGTAGTTTTGCAAATTCCTGACGATTCGTATCCAAATCAACGGTTACTTTAACCGTTTTATTGGTACCAGCCATGAGATCATGAATATAAGGAGGATCAAATCGAATTCGAGCAACTGATTGTATTCCAGAGCTAGTCACTGATACCATCATATTCAAGATCAGTCGTATCAATAAAAAAAATGGGCAACCGCGGGAAGTCATTTAATCCTGACAGTATAAACATGTAATTTTAAACTGAAATAATTTACTTTAGTGAAATGAAACAAAAAAGAATTTCCAGTTTAATTTTCTTTTTATTTTCTTATTAGAATGGACATCTGTAAATAATAGTTAAGTTGCAGTTTTTGTAAAAATGAAAATTGAAAGAAAACAAAATTATAATTGTAAACCATTCAAGGATTAGTTTTATACTCGTAACCGAAAAACACATGCAGTAAGCTAGTAGCCAATTAATATAAAAGCAGTCAACCTATTAAATATTATAAGAGTAGTTTGCTAGTGTAAAACTAAAAATATTCATATTACTAAACATATTAATTTACTAAAAGTAATAATATTAATAACAAATTGAATATTAATGTCTTCCGTACATTTAAAATTAAGTACTTTTAAAAATTTGTTTACATCTTTTTGATCAAAATTTATTTTTCGGTCATATAATTGCATAACAGGATTTTAATTTATAAAAATTTTAATCTTATTTCTCGGAAGACCTTATTTCTAGCTTACACTTTTAGAGTTAAAAATGAATTTTAATTAAGTCCAAAAAAATTTAAAAAATAATAAATCTCAGTAAGTTGCTTCGGCAAATTTTAATAATACTGTGATAAACATTTTATAACTAATAACAAGTTTAATAAATGAACTGTTATAATATCATAGTAATAAACAAGTAAACTTACTATCAAATAATAATTCATATCTACTAGAAAAAAAAAATACTTTGTAAAGCAAAAAAAGGAAAAACTAAAGTTCCTCTTTCTTTACCTTTTTTTTCTTAATGGAATGAAACAACTGAACAGAATATATCCCAAAATACTGTCAAATTTCCCATTCAATAATGAACACAAAATGAATCGTTGCTAATAATAAAAATTTTCGAATAGATAAGCAATTTAAAGAGAAAATTTGATGAATAATAACTATTAAAAAAAAAAAAAAAAAAAAGAAAAAAAATTAATGCACTGCAATTACTTTTAAAAGGATAAATCCCAACAAATTATTTCTGACTCATTTCATTATCATTATTTGATTAATAATATCTATTTCCTCTAATAATATCATTACTACTTCATTTTTTAAACATAATTATTTCTGAAAAAAAAAAAAAAAAATTATTTCTGATCCTTATATTTTATTCTTTGTCATCATTTTCAAGATAATAAAAACAGCACTGATAATACCACCAACTAATTATAAAAAAATTTCTGATTCTGATTATATAGTTCATAATCTGATTATAAAAGATTATGATTAAAAACTTTTTTTTTAAAAAAAAAGTATCTTGCTAGAACATTTTGAATCTCATTTTCACTTATAATACAATAAAATAGAATACAAATGATAGTATGTAAAGTATAAGAAATAAATAGGAATCTAATGAAGTAAGGAATTGTTGTTTCAAAAGATTATTTTGAAATATTAATGAAAGTTTCAAAAGTAGAAAGAATACTGGGAACATTTAATCAGTTTATCCGGATAAGAAATTCTAATTGTTGCTATGGTTATCTGAACCGTTGATTGAACGCACTGTTAGAAGAAACATTGCTTATTTAAAATATGAAAATTTGAGGAAAGCAAATTAAAAATCCAACTGAAAAATTTACTTGAAAGTAAAAAACTTTAAATAATGCAGATTTTCCTACATTCCTAAAAATAATTTGCTACTATCGGAGAGTTAAGAAAGTAAAAATATTAGCTAAAGAAAATTACTACTTTTGAATGAAGCTAATCACGATGCCTTCATTGCTTAAAAACAAAAACAAAAAACAAAAAAAAAAAAGAAAGAAAAATAAAAATAACGGAATGGAAATACCTTTCTATGAAAAAAACATCCCACTTTTTATTACTTAAAATATTTGTTAATATCATATATTAAAAACTACTACAAATTTATTAGAAACAACATTTCCTTTCCAAACAGCTAATGAAATTTCGAAAATTTAATATAAATAAAAAAAATCGTCACAAAATCAATGTAACAAAAAATTTCTTTAAAAAAAAAAAAAGATTTAGAAGTATTCTAAGGAAAAACAAATACACTTAATGACTAAATACGAAAAAATGTAATCATAAAAAATTCAAAACATGTCATATCTCATCATTTTTTTTGAGTTAATAATTGCTATATTATTAAAAGATTGTCTTCAAAAAAAACATTTTTAAGAGATTGGCAAACAAATGAGGAGCAAACATTTCAATTTCAAAGTTGTATGAAATGAATGATTGGAATGAGATAGATGAATGATGATGCATTGAATGATGTAAACTGTAATTGCAACGAACTGAAAAATAAAAAAAAAAAAAAAGAAAAAAGAATGAAAAAAAGAAATGACGAAGATGACAATTGTTAATAAGAAAAATGACACATAAAAGTATTTTTAAGTTTGTGATAAAATGCTATTCATATAGATTGTGAATAAATAAACTGACATTTCTCTCTTACCAATAAAAACGTTCATATTTTCTCAATTTTCTTTTTTTAGTAGCTGAATTGTCTATCAAGAGAATATAAACAAAAAAAAAAAAAAAAAAAAAAAAACGAATTACTTTATCCTTCCCGTTTATCTCATTTCCCAAGGCACTAATTAACAAATTGGATAAATTTAAAATGTCAAAAATGTAAAAAATACTTTCCTTCCGGATTCCTAAACATGATTCCACTTCACACATTTGATTATACTCAAATTGATCGGAAAAGTTTAATATAGCAAGGTTTTTCGTGAATAGTTAAAGTGTAAATTTAAAAAAATGTAAAGCAATATCCAAATACTTATTAAGCCATACTTATGCTTCTAAACAACATCACAGAAGTGAAAAAGTTTAGAAGTTTGGTCACACACATTATATAATATTACTTACGACTACTTATATATTGTTTATACTTACTTTACAAACATACACAAAAGTATTGAAATCAATTCGAGCTTCACAACAATAAGAAAACTTTGCATTCATAAAAGCATTAGAGAAATAGTGATAGTTCATAGAATTAAAAAAAAATTAACTTCATGTGACAAAAAAAAAAAATTCACAGAGCGAAAACTTAAAAATTGTACACATATAATAAACTCCAAGTAAATTTAAAATTTAAATAAATTTAAAATGCTCTGATAAATAATGCACTTCAAGATAGAACAAGAAAAGGGAAAAGAATCAAATGTTAGTATCTGATTTATCGAAATATTTGTAATAACTTTAATTGCTCTCTGTCATCTTTTTTCTTTACCAATTCAGATTCATTTTTTGTAGGTATTCTAAGGTAGTTTCCAACAGTTTAAGTAGTGTAACCATTTGGTAATGAATATAACATTGATGAAATCAACAAGCAATTAATTATTCAGATCAAATTATAGTAAAATAGATGATAAGGGAAGCTTATTAATATTTGCAATTCTGAAAATATTAACAAAAATTGCGAAGATAAAAATCAAGCAAATAAATGAAGCAAAGCAATAAATGAATGAACGATAAAAATCGTTAAATGTGAACAAGACTTTAATTTTCATAGTTTCGCAAGAAAAGATGCCGAAATCATACATAGATCAAAAAAAAAAAAAAACCTCTGTGTTTCTTTATAATATTTCTTAGCAGTGATATAAAAAAGATTTTCAGCAACACGAACTGCTTACAGTCCAATTCATGGTTTAAAACAATAGAATAGCTTATTACATTAGCAAAAAGTAGGACATAGAAATATGCTTTCTCTCTTCATATTGATAGTAATCAATGGTCAATGTTATGATACAAGACTAGCTAAATTTTACTGAAAATAAAATTGATGAATAGAGAAGAACTAAAAGGAATACATTTAAGTAAAACAAAAGAACGACAATTACGTATAAAAAACACTGTCGCCATTATTACTAGAACAACTCTTTGTTTCCATCTGAAAAATTTTCAGTGTTTCAAACATTGAATGCAGGCGAAGATTGAAAATAGAAGCAAATGTAGATTGCATGGATAACACCAGGTAACCAAGCCAGAATCGTAAAAATTATGTTCAGTAGAAGATGTACGTCACATCCTCGAACGATTAAAACTGCGAGAGGCTGTAATCAAGTTACTACATAAGTTGTTATCAATTAAAAATAATGAACAGTAATGTTTGCTTTTTGAAAGGGTAATTTGAAGTCAAAGGGTGAGTTAGGAATTAGTGTCTAAATGGTTTGCTTAATTAAAAATTTTGTTATAAAATTTCGACTTTATTTTAAAAAACAAATTCACTTACTGGAAAGATAAAACAAAGAATGACCAAGATTAATGAAAGGCACATTTCAAGCTGTCAAAAGCGTATACTTCTCTGCAGCAAATTTTCCGTTGAATGTAAGCTGAAAATATATATTTATGATGTGATCGGCATTTTTTCCCTGCGCATTTGTGACTGAGTTACCAATATGAGTCACAACCACCATAACTTTGACAAAAAGGTTGACGAAGATACAAAAAAAAAAAAAAGAGAAAAACGATCACGAAAAAAAAAGAAGTCTAGAAAAACACTAAAGAGCAAATTTTTTTAACTCTATATTTCAGCCATACATCTATTACCTTAAATCAGATTATACACAAAAACACAACCGTGAAAATTTTGTTATTCAATACGAAAAAAAAAAGAAACTACATCAGACATTATTGAAAATATTTATTCTCAGATAAAAATATTGCTATTAGCATTGTAAAATGTTACCTGAATATACAATTAAAAATCAACGAAGAGTAAGATATCAGGTAAGTATGGAAGAATTCTTGGTAAATGTTGGCATGGGAAAAATTCTAACTTGTTAGCTTCATAAATGAATAAGACCAAATCATTTTATTTCAATTCCTATCAAACTGTAGCGCACTATCAAGTGATAAATCCTTTTCTATTTACACTAGCTTGCAAAGAAGTAAAGTTTTAAGATGAACTTCCATCATTTGTAAAATTTCAAAATTGTCATTTTTGTTTTTATAAAGATATTAAAAAATTATACGTATATACGACAGCCAACTTTGCACTACAAAATAGTACATGAGAAACCAAAAAATAGCACAATCTTTAATCCATCAGAATACTTTGCTAATGTAATTCATCCCGTGTTCAAATATTTCTTCCCATAAAACATCGACTTTTGTTCGAAATTGTATGATGTGATTGGAGAATCGATCTCGTAAAATGGATTCATTGAAAGCTTTATATACATTTCGTAAATTTCCTGAATGATCTAATAAATCATTCATGATAACAAGTTAATTTATTTTTATTAAAATGAAAATTTCGTGCCGGCAATGTGACACATAAAGCTTTTCAAATTTCATGTAAATGCAAAAAACGAACATATAAATAAAGGAGTTGGTGTCGGAACTGATAACTCTTTTGAAATATATTGCCCTACACATATGCGAAATCAATTTTGTATCAATAAGAAAAAAAACTGAAATGCTAAAATTAAATATTAAAGCATTTATATCGTAAGCATCACTTTCAACATCTTCGGAAAAATAAAGAGAAAAAGGACCTGGAAAAACTGTTTAATCCCATCTTCATTCTTTTGACAATGCAGCATAACAAATCTTATACGACTCGCAGTGACAAAAGCAGAAACATACCATTCATTAAACTTATCTACAATCTGCAATAATAACAAAACTGCATGATTGTGATTTCAAATTTCTTTAATTTAATGCTGTCCGAAAAATAAGTACGCCTATTATTGGACAAAACACTCAGTAAATTCTCATTACGATCCGTCAAGAGCTAAATAAAATTAGCACCAATAAATTTTAGAAAACATGAGATTAACAAAAAAAAAAACAAGTTTTCAAGCTAGACATTAAAATGTTAAAATTCTGCCTTTTGAATAAATAATAGGATGTAGCTCAAAAAAAAAGAGATCAGCTATAAATCAAACATTTGTTAATCTTATTTTAAATTATATCACTACTTTACTAAAGTCTGAATTATATCAATATGTCTCTAAAGTCATTCACCATTAAAACATATACATTTACTACACCTCAAATTTAAATTTTAAGCCTTCCTTTTCGTTCACTAAATTCTGAAGCTCTGCAATTTTAATACTTACTTCCAACACCCAATTAAATTTTCCCAGATATTCATAATTTAGTATTTCCAGATATAATGGATAAATTTATATATACCTTTAGGTACATCTGTGGATTAGTAAGCATCTGTTCATCAATAATATCTAAAGCAGCATGAGCGATGAATTGATTTAAATGACGTACATCCGAATCAGGTCGCTTCTTAGCATCAGCAACTGGAAATTCCATTTCGAATATTAACTGATCATTATGTCCAACAATAACGAAGTAATATTCTCGGCTTGTAGTCATTCCATTCTATAATTTAGTTCATATATCCACGACTAATTAAATAAAAACAAGGAAAAAACTACATAATTATGCAACACTTCACCTGCCACCTCAATGCGCAACGATAACAGCTGTCCTCTCAGATATGAAAAAAAAAAAAAAAAAGGTATAGCTAAAATTTAACGTGGCCCTTGCCAATGAAATAGACATCAATTTCCCCTACATTTTTCTCTTTCACTCTTGTTATTTGTCATTTTAAATGTAATTCTTTGCTTTATAAATCAATCAATTACTGCTCAAAAAATTTATATGAATGTTTAAAAAGCAATCAACTAGTTTGAAAAAGTCATTGAAGAGTAACAAATAAAAAGTCATGTAGTGAAATATTCTGTTTCATTTACAGTTCGATGATATGAATTTACGTTAAGTAATATTTATTTTTCATCAGTTAATTTTCGCATGTTTACAAATGTATAATTTAAAATTATTAGATAACAATTCTTAAGGATATCATTATATTATAGTAAATTTGTTCACATTGATAATGAACGAAGCATAATATGTTTTAGAATTATTGGGTACATTATTGATATGATTTACTTGAATACTTTTTTACATATTTATGAATCTGTTGCTAATCTTTTCTTTTTTTTTTTTTTTTTTTTTTTTTGATAAAGTACTAAGGGTCTGCTTAATTACAAAGATATTCGTAACATATTCTATCTTTTCTTATTATTTCTTTTCATTTTTTATTCTTTTCTCCTCACAGGTTATGTATTATTATTATTGTTATCATTATCATTATTATTATTGTTATTATTATTATTGCAGTATAGAACGAAATGCATGTGCCGCAGCATATTACAGTTGCGGGTGACACTGAACAACAGAACTATAAAAAGCAACGTCAAACACATATCGAAGGTGATAAGTATGCTTATCAGATGAATGTACCAGAAAGAATTCTTGTTGCTGGTGGTAATGAAACACGTGCCGATCGTGCGCCACCATCTGAAGTTATGCTTGATCGTATGGCGATTCTCTATCCAACTACTGTAAATTTTCATTTTTATACATGATTTTTTTTTCTCCCATTAAAAATAAATTAGGTATTGCTGATTAATTAAATTCATTAAAAGATAGGAATTTTTGCTGGGATTACAATGTGTAATAGCAACTACTATTATTCTTAGATATTAAAAATAGATACGAGTAACGTATAGTGAGTGTTGTGAGAAATTTCTGAATGTTATGAGAAAAAAAAAAAAAAAAAGTGTGGCGACATGATATTAAATCTTCAATTATTTTACAACTTACGCTATTAGTAATTTCAGCAAATGCATGAATACACTTACCAAAGGTATATTGAATAGCATTTTATTCCTTATTATTTTTCAAGTTCTCATTTTGTAAAAAGTTATGGATCAATTTTGTGACAATAAATAGGGTACAATCTTTCTTAGAATGGTGCATTAATATAATAAAAGTTGTCATTTGAGGAATTAGCCAGTCCGCCAACCATACTAACACTTGACAATACGCCATGTCCGGAAATTGCTGGTGATGCGCCTTCTCCTAAAGATTCTCCTCCTTTACAAGTGCGTCCTTGTTTACTTTTCAAATCCGTACGTTTGCACGTTTGCATGAAGTATATTGTATTTCATATAATAAATTTTATATTGTTATAATAAACTGATTTATTGTTGCGTTTTGATTCTTTTTTCTAAAATTATTTTGGTTTGATCATATGTAAAGAAAAGGATCTGTTGGCTTGTTGTGCCTTATTTGTTTTTAAAACTATATATTGTTATAATATTTTTTTTCTAAAGGAACTTTCATCATCACTGGCGATAGAACAGAATCCTTTACGTGAACTGAAGTTAATGAGACGGCAGTTAGGGCGCTTGTCGACACGTTTGTATCAATTAGAAGATGACTTCGAGCGCAGAAAAACGAAAGAATCATTGTTGTGGACATATGTGTTCAGTATTACTGGCCTATTTTTATATTTATTTTTTAAGAAAAAGGTCTAGAGTTTGATTTTCGGTTTTTTTTTTTCTCTAATTCTGCGAATATTTGCATTAACGATATGAAATGCATCCTGCATTATATTCCAATGAATTGTCCTCTATTGTTCGTTCATGTTCAATAACTTAACCACTAATTGCAAACTGTTTCTTTCTTAATTTTATCTGAGGAATTTGAGAGAAGCTAAAATAAGGATTTATTATGATGCAGTTTTCCGATTGTGTTTGTAGATTCTATTTCTAGCTATATCAGAACCACCAGTTACTCGACAGCACTGTTCGTAGCTTTGGCATGGTTTTATTATTTTTCACTTTTGCTCAATTTTATTCCGCAATATTTTGTTTTCGATATCGTTTACAGTTTGTGCTGAGATATCAGAAGCGCATTAATTTTAGCAAATTGTGTTTGTGGATCTCCATTTTTCAATCATTAAGCTCTTTTCAATCTTTAATAGAGTATGCATGAAGAGTTGTACTGTGTTTATTAAATGTTGATTTTATATGTAGGAGATTTATGCATAGTGTAATTGTTGGATTTTGATTACCTTTTCAAGTTCTCTGACATATTTTTATAAAAAGTATTTGGATTTCAAGAAAGTAAATTTTACAGTAATGATTGTTTTTACCATTTTCATACACAGAAATGAAGTGGTAATGCATGGTAGTAAATATAAAGCAATTATTATTGATTTTTTTTTTTTTTTTGACTCTCTTTTTAGGCATTTTACTCTTCATACACATAGCCAGTCACAATTTCTTATTTCCACATTTGTCTCACTTAAATATTTTCATCCGAATTCTTGATAGGTGTAAAGTGTTACCAATTTTTCAGATATTCTTCCGTATGATTATTTTTAACGGTTTTTTTTTATCGCATGTATTCTTAATTCAAGGAGCAAATTGAATCTCAAACTCATGAATTAGTCGTTTTCGTTCCTCCATTCTCTTTTTACTCAGGTGTTTCTGACCTTCACTTCTCAATCAAATTCCTTAGAAAGTACGCATTTGGCTTTTTTTTTTTAAAAAAAAAAAAAAAGAGTTACTTCATTACTCCACTTATGATGAAGTTTCTCTTATGAAGGGTTTTTCTCTGGTCATTTGTCATAAAGTATTGCAATAGTTACCTGTAAAATGGTACAGTAACATCATTAAGATGACGTATGCAGGTTATTAAACCTGCATATTTTGAAGTTGTCACAATCGAAACAGATCATTGTGACGTAATTTTCACTTTTCAAAAAACTAGAAACATAAAAGTCTCGGCTAATCTCAATCCACCTTGAATAAAAAACAATTTGATTGCTCAGAACGAATGAAGTTGACAAGTTTTTTGCTGAAAAAGTTTAGCGAATGTTACAATTTCTTTGCTGAATACGATCTAGTAGAATGATTAAAATGTAAGAAAAGCAAAAAGGACACAAATATCAGCATCTAATGGTGATATATCAATGATAGCTTTATTTCTGTAAAACTAAGTTATCAACAGTTGAATTGATAATATAATTTAATATTTTCTCTCAAGCAAAATGTAAAAGAAAAGTAACTTTTGAAAAAGGCAAGATTTTGAGGTTTCTCTGCTGTATTTTTACCAATAAGAACATTATCACGGTAACATCAGAAATCGTAGAATTTATTATTACGTATTTCAAGATTGTAAATAATAAAAAGTGTGTGTACAATAAATGTGATTATTGATAAACTTTTGTAAATTTTCAATAAGTTCTTTGATTTCGTAATAAGCAAATGAAGAAGCTAATTTGATTGAAATTATTTTTTTTCTTTTTTGTAGAAAATAAAATGTTAATAAGATAACATAAATTTTTATTCATACTATTTCGTTGCTTTGTAGTTTTTCTTTTTCAATTTTCCATAGTTTAAACATGACAAAAACGAAAACGAAAGGCAACTTTTAGCATTGGAGAATTTCTAGAAGTCGCGAAATTGCTCTGAACCGCTAGTAATGGAAATTTCAATTCGCTGTTATAAAAGGAAAAAAAGGGGTTTGGGGAGTTGTGGTAGTATGGAAATGGTACTTATTTTAATGGAAATAGTTTTTATAATATTAAGAAAATTCTTTTACTGTCAAGAAATTCTGTAATTCCTAATGAATGTACAATTGGAGAAATAATGTAATATGTGTTGTATATGTACGGAGAGGAATTTATGAGATAAATTTAAATTTTTAGATTAATAAAATTACTAACAAAATTTTATGTGGAAAAGCTTACAAATCATGAATTAAGTATGTTAATTTGAATAGTATATAAATAATAGACAGAATGTTTATATCATTAAATACGATTTTAATAAATTTACAGTGAAATATGAGAAGAATGAAAAGTCGACAGCTATCATCAAAAAGTAGCGATAGTGGCAGTTACGGAAGACGAACACGAAGCAAAAGTCGAGATCGACGTAGCAGCAGAAGCAGAAGTAGAGAAGATCGACGTAGTAGCAGGAGTAGAAGTAGAGGTCGACGTAGTAGTAGAAGCGTAAGTCGAGGTCGACGCTATAGCAGGAGTAAAAGTCAAGATCGACGTTATAGCAGGAGTAGAAGTAGAGATCGACGTAGTAATCGAAGTCGAAGTCATGGAAGACGTAGAAGTAAAAGTAGTGGCAAGCGGCATAGTCGAGAAAGGAGTCAAAGTTATCTTTGGCATAATCGTGATCGAAGCAAAAGCAGAAGCAGTGAAAGAATTGGAAAGTCAGTTTTGTTATTTTATTTTATGATAATTCCTTTTTACGATTTATTTTATGATAATTTGTGATAATAATGATGAAAATAGTTGGGTTAATTTAGATTTAATAATGAATTAAGATTTTTAGAATTTTTTTTTTATATTGTGATATAATATCACAATATAAAAAAATATCGCATAATTTATTAAATTGCAGTTGAAACACAATATGTTGAATTTTCTTATTTTATTCTCATTTTCTTTCATGAAAATTTTTTGATCTTTTTTTTCTTTTGTAAAAATACAGCAATGAAGAGACAAAAAAAGAGAAAGAATTCAATTGTGAATTTGCTGTAATTTTTATAGAGATAAGCATGATAAGCGGAGCACGAAGCACCGACATTCAAAGCAATGCAGCAAAACTAGCCAAGAAAAAATGAAGAATACAGTGAAGGTAAATTTGGCTAGAAACGGTAGAAATTTATTAACAAATAATGGTTGTTATGGAGAGTTCAGAGAAAGCTCATTATTATATTTTAAAGAAATACAAGTAATGAGTTTTTCGGACGAAAAATATTGTAAAAGTTAGAGATGGGGAAAATTATTACTGAAAGTTTTGAACGATACGATATATAATTTTTTGAGTTAAGGGCACTTTCATTATTATATTTTAAGGAAATAGAAGTGATGAAGTCACGAATGCGTTCAGCTCTTGAATCTGCTCAAACAAAAATGGGTAGTGTCGTTGAAGCAAGAGGTTTATTGAGTGATTCATATTCAAGTATGGATTTGACAGTCATGGAGACGATAGCACGACATCGTGATATTGAACGTATCGAAGAAGAAGGTTTTCATCAGTCATCATTTATTTCTTCTTCTGGAGGAGCTGGTGGACGAGTGAGGAAAGAGGTTCATTTGAATATTGAATTTTATGTAAATTTTGAGTGCATAACAGTATTAGAATACTTTTGTAATTTTTAAATCTTTTTGTAGATATAACTTTTTGATGTTCTTTGTCCTTTCTTTTATGGAGTCATTTCAGTTTTATATTTTGAGAAATAAGGGATAATATTTGAATCTGTCATTTATTGTCTTTAATCAGTTTTCAGCAGGGTAAAAAAAATAGCTGTAAAATTAGTAGGTTAGCTAATCGGGTAGTAAATAGAAAGTTAAAAAATCTCAAACTTAAAAAAAAAGCCCAATATATCAGACATTTCTGTAATTCTTTTAAAACCAATGATATTTTTCTTACATATTGATGAAGCGTATTAGACATGTCTGATGTATTGGGCTTGTTTGTGTAAGAAGTTAATTCACATTAACAGTGGCTATTTTATTTAATTGATACAGTGGTTACTTTTTTTAACTTTTTTCCCGTTTTTCTTTTTTTATTATTTTCGTTCTTTTTATTTAAATTCTAATTTCATAGTGTAATCGATTAAAAGTTTGCCATTTGAAAAAAGGTAAAATAATTGGTGGATATTTGTTAATAATAACTAGTATTATAGAGGAAAGAAGTTGTTAATTGTTTTTTCTTTTTAAATCATTTTCATTTAATTTTTTTTATTCAGGATGCAACAGATCGTACAGCAATGGTAACTAAGAAAGAAGATGAACATGATAAAGCGATGTTTGGACCAAAATGGCGAGATGCCGAGAAAAGATATAGTGATGAGAAAAAAGAAGCAGTTGGTGATGTTGAAGTCGATAAGGAAATACCGCTTGCCAATGCACGGGTATTTTATTTATCTTTTTTTAAATGATAATTTGACCAAAAGAATAAGCATATAGGTTAATTATAGAAGAAGATTGTTTTCCGTGTTTCTTCTTTATTCAATCTCAAGTGCAACGCTTCATATGTCTTTCTAAAGTTAGCCATTTTTTGTTATTCAGTGGGTTCTATATGAGTTGAGGTGTTTAACTGAATACATTGTCAATTGCTTCTATCTTTGAAATGTTTCAGTTCATTCTACTAAATTGTTTTAGTGAATTTATTGATTTTAACAGTTTTTTTTTTTCCTTTTTTTTTTTTCAGTTTTTCGAAGATCAAATTGTACGTGAAGAGCGCTGGTTAAAGATATATCGCGAAAGGCGAGCAAAACTGTTGGGTTTGTAATGTAATTTTATTGTTTCTATAATATAAGGTAGATAGTACTACTCTCATTAATAGAGTAGGGAACATTATTTTTCGCGCAAAAAAAAAAATGGTTTTTTGTTCAGTTCTCAACAGCACCAGTGTTGAAGATGCAAAATGAACAAATAATCAGAATAGTAATGTTCATTTCATGTTTAATTAATCTTAAATGTGGAAGTACTGTTTTTCTTTAAAAAGATTTGTTGTGGCTATTCGGACATTGAAAACTTTATAAAGTGTTCTGTTTATAAAATTTTTTCAAGGCTTGCTTCTGAACAAAAGAAAACAAAAACCAACTTAGTCCTGATTTGTTCTTGCAGATTGAGATGACCAAAAACATCACTTTTTTTTCTTAATTTCTGGTTTTTTACTTTCCATATTTTTATTTATATTTTTTTGTTTTTCACATTCTTCATATCAATCATTGTTTTTAATGTTGTAATAAACCTGTGGTTGTGAGCGCATCACAAATCTGAATTTTTTGAATCACAACTGCTTACAACTTGCAAATTCTATTTCACAAACTCTATTTTTTTTTTGATGAAAATTTTATTATGATGCAAATATAGATTTATGTTTGCTGATTTGTTAAAATTATCTTAAATTTATTATGATACTTTGCAATTTAATTATTGTCATCAGAATTTAAAATGCATAGAAATTATATATCTCATTCAAATATATCAATAAATTCATACCTTTATAAATAACTATAATCATTAAAGGGCTTTTTTTTTCTAATGCCATGATCAAAATGGTAAAATAGTTGATGGATAGTTTTTGATCTGCTCATCTTCTTGTACAAATGAGAAACTGGTTTCATTAAAATGATTCCTGATGATATATCACTATTGATGCGCAAGACACAATTTTCTAGCCACCTATTTGTTTCTTTTCTCTTCTATTTTCATATACATTTTATCATATTCACCTGTCTTCCTGAGAGTTTTTTTTTAATCATTTTTACATCATCATCTCTCTCCCTCTCATGTGTTAGATTTATTATTGTTGTTGACTAGGTATTTCTAGGAAATTTGATTGGTGAATTATTGTTGGGAAGGAACAGTTCTAGCGTTAGAATGAATGTTCAAATATATTGAAGGTATATGTTTTAGATTTATTTAAGAAAAAAAAAATTGAATTACTTACTGTTGTAATAAATTATGTAAATTAGCATTATGTTAATGTTTAAAATTAGTTATATAAGGTTTATAAATTATTAGTATGCTCGGTTATATTATATAAAATTTAACTTTTATTTCTTTTATCTATTTTGAATAGGTGATAATCATGACATAAAATAACAATAACTAATCAAACAGAAAGGAAAATAGTAATAGATGCAATTAGAATTAAAATGAAATCACTGAATTTTGAATAAAATGGTGTCTTGTTGCGTTTTTTTTTTTTTTTTTGGAAGTTTGCGAAAATTTTTTAGGATAGGGAAAAGAAAAACTTTATTGTGGTTATTTGCTATTTACTTTCATACATAATTTTTGCTTGAAAAGATGGGAGACAGAATAGAATGGTATTGTTAGTGAAATAATAATAATAACAGTAATAGTAATAATAATAATATATACAGTGTAAAGTATAAATTTCTTATTTCCTGGTAATAATATGAAATTATAGGAAGCATTTGTTGAAAAAAACAAATTTAATGTCCAAGCATATACTTCATTTTCTTTTGTATACAGAAAACTCTGAAAATTTAAATCAAGCTACGCTATTTATGATTAATCTCTTTAATAAAAAGGATTTCCACTGCATATTTAATAAATTTGCTTATTTGCATGTTATATATTCTCAGTTTCTCATCTAACATGTCGATGTATTTTATAAATTATTTTAGAAATAATGTTTTATATAATGTAATGCGTTATCTTACTAAATTATTATTACCTTATTTGGTTTATTTATTTACCTCATCAGTAAATTTTTCCTACCAATCAAAAACTACCAAATTTAATTTTTAAAAATTATTTTCTAATTTTGAGCTTAAAAATTTCATCAATTCATCCACAGTTTCCTTTCTCTTTCTCTTCTTTTCTGTAAAAACTGAACAAAATTAGCAATTGAAAGCAGAAATGATTTACCTAATTTTCAAAAAATATAAATTTTTTTTCCTTCTAACTTTTAATTTTAATAGCAATAAATCATCAATGAAACACCATCAAAAACTATGAAATGTGAGTGATGTCATTTGTTTCTTTTTTTTTTTTTTTACTTTTTTTTCAACTAAAAGAATTTTGTTGAAAGAGTAAGTTGCTTATATTGAAGATTTTATAATATTTTTAGCATATAATAAGAGAATTTTAATTTGAAATAAAAGTTGTTTTTGTTGAAGAAATAAATTAAATAATGATAAATTCAATAGCATTTTAGCATTTAGTTGTATTGTATTAATGAAACGAGTTAAACATGTTTATTATCATTTTGATTAAATTAGTGCTACTATGCATTTCTAGTGTAGTGTAATTATAAATATTAGCGTAATAATAATAATTTGTTTATGCAAACTAGATGGAAGTTTGTTAGATCAGGTTAGATCAGGCGGAAATAAATCAAAAATCAAATACTCCAATGAATTGATAAAATAGAGGTTTTATTAAATATTTACATTACAAATGATATGTTCAATAAAATGATTTTTTTTTATTGATAAATATGAATGAATTAAATACAGCAGTGTTTATATCTTTTTTTTTCTCTCTCTCTCTCTTTCTTTCACCTTTTTCACTTATAGCAACATTTGTTAGCTGACAGTTTTAATAATTTTTATAAATCATCACAAATGTTTAAGCTATTAAAATACTGGTTTAAAACTTAAATTAGATTAAAACTTGAAATTCCATAGTTTTGCTGTTCTTTTCTCTTCTTTTTGTTCTTTTTTAACTAGCAAAAAAAAAAAATGGATCGAACTAAATTATTTTTGTAAGCAATCGAAGTTGAAATGTGAGCAGACATTGTATAGTAATGTTTTACGAATAATCAATCAATTCCATCAATCAGTTTTGTAATTTGCTCATTTTTTTTTTCTTCATTATAAACAAATTATCATCAATGTAATTCAATCTGAGCAATTAAATTTTCATGAAATGAATATGTTAATGTTAAATTCAATAAACAGCGATGAATCATATTATTGTGAGAATTTTGTAAGGAAAATATGATATGATTACGAAGTATAGAAATAAAAGTATCTCATAATGTAAATTATGACGTAGTTGGAGAATGCGAAATTTTTAATCGAATGCAATATGTAAAAATTTGAAGAGGAAGAAGGGAAGAAAGAGAGAGAGAGAGAGGGAGAAAGGAAAGAAATGAAAGAGCAAAGGTTAAATTAGCATTATTGAATATTTGCTCTGTTTGAATTTTAGCAAATTGAAAATGAATGATGGAAAATTAATGTTTTCTTGTCGTTCGTTTAAACAAATTCAATTTAATCGATATATGTAACTTTTACATTTATTGTTGCTACTGTCACTAACTTTTATCAAATTATCGAATTTACACTCTCTTACTGCATTAATCATACATTTATATGAATGTAATTAATATATGCTAATGTTAGTTTTAATAATTTGAAATTAATCGATATTAATTTAGAATTACATTTAACAAAGGTTAATTAATGAAAATCTTTCATAGCTATTTTATCGATAGAAAGAGAGTAAGAGAGAGAGAGAGAGGGACAGAGAGCCAGAAGGAGGAAGAAACAGGTATTACAAAAATTTTAATGAATGCGACATGTGTGTGTGTGCATGTCGTACAAATATAACAATTACTACTATATAAAAGTTAATTATATTTGCTACAAAATGACACAAACGTCATTTGTTAAGCTCTACATAATGGTTATTAGCATATTAACATGTATTGCATCAAAATGAAAGAATATTCCTTCATTTTGTTAATAAATTTTTTCTTTTTCTTTCCTTTTTTAGTAATTCTTTGAAAAAAAAAAATTTTTTTTTTTGTTCTTTCATTAATAATTATTATCTAAATTTATGAAAGATATGTTATTTGTTGATAAATATTTAACAAACAGTAAACATTTCTCTCAATTTATTTCCTCTTTCCATCTCTTTTCCTCTCTCTCTTCCTCTCTCACGTTTCCTCCTCATTTCCTAGGCATTCATTTACATTTGTGAAATTGTTTATTTATTAATTGTTTGAAATTATTCATCAAAATGTTAAAAAGGAAAAAAAGGAAAGGAAAAGGGAAAAAACGATCAAAATAATTTTGTATTAAGATTATTGAGAAGAAAGAAATGACAAATTTTGTTATGTCTTATTTAAATTTTTCATTTATTTATCATTTTGTTGTTTGGTTCTTTAAAAAAATTTTTCAGTACAAAATAGCAACAATAATAAACTTACATTGTTTGTTTGTTCGTTTTATTTACAAAAAAACTTTATCAGAATTTTTGAGTTTATATTTTAATATTATCTTTAAAAAAAAATTATTACTAAGAAAAAAAGAAGGAAAATATGGTATGGTAACAAATTCTCGGAAAATAAATTTTTGAAAAATCTGTTGTGATTTTTGACCATTAATAAGTTATTTATTTTTTTATCAATAGTTAGATAATTATGTTCATATAGATATTTGAAATTTTTTTTGCTTAAAAAAAATTTGCTAGCACTTTTTGAATTTATACTTTAATGCTACTTTTAAAAAATATTTGTTGAGAAAAAAAAAAAAACATGTATGATAATGTTTAAAACCAAATTCCGAGAAAATAACTTATTGAAAAATCTTTTAGGATTCTTGACCATTGATAAATTAATATTATTTTTATAATGCTATACTATTTTCAATAGGAAAACTGTAGATTATAATGCTATGAAAGAATTACTAAATTGAAAAATTTTGAAGCAATATTATTATTAAATTATATATATAAGTATTTTTTTTCCAAATATTCATTTTTAATGTCAGTTTTTAAAATTATTTTCACGATATGTAAATTTTTACAATACAATTTTTTTCATTCTTTAAAATATTTGATTCTGTTAAATTAATATATATATTAAGAAAAACAAATTAAAATTGTATATTGCAGATGTCACTGGATAATGTGAAGAAGAAGACAACAATGTTTACAATAACTTCGGCTACAACTCAAAAAAGTACAACTGAGGAATTATTTGAAATACCTATAACTCATCATTTATTACCTATCTGTCTTATGGCACTCATTCTACTTACTTTATTATTAGCATGTCTTTATGATTGCAAAATTAATAGGGATTGTTGCAGGTAAATTTCATCATTTTTATTTATTAATAATGGTGACAATAATAATAATAATAATAATAATAATAAATAATAGTGAAAAGAAAATAAAAGTGAAAAGAAAATAAAAGCGAAAAAAAAAGAAAAGGAATAATGTTATATTAATATAATATTTTAATATATACACACGAATTTTTATGGAACTTTTATGTTATTGAATGATTCAATTTTAAAATGTTATAGGATTAACAAATAGAAATTAAATAAACTAAATTTAAAAAATTTGTGAATTGCTCTGATTTTCTTCTTTCTTTCAATTTTAAATGATTAAATTTTAAATTGCTTCTAATAATGATTAATGATTTTTTTGAATGATTTTTTGTTAATTTAATGAAATTTAATTTAAACGATTTCTAATAATGCAAGTTTTTCAATTTTAAATGATTCAACTTCAAGCAATTTCTAATAATATAGGCGTTATTTATTTTATTTTTGTTGTTTTATTATTTTAATTTTATTTAATTTATTACTATAATAAATTTTACTTTATCATTATCATAAGCATATTGTATAATGTGGCATGTGATAATGATATGATTAAATAAATCACATATATTTGTCTAATACTAAAAATTTGATCAATATACCTTTGCTTCTGTTTTTAGCTTAAATACTTAATATTAGGTAAATTTTTTTCTATTTCTATTATGGATATCTTTTCCTATTACTGATAGCATATTCATCAATTTATTCCTATCAGATTACAATCAATAATTTTGTGGAATGTATGCTATACCACTTTCGTATTTAGATATGTCTTTTTATGCTTTTCCTATAATTAAACAATTGATCGACTAATAAGGAAGTTCCATTATCTACAAAAATTGAATAAACGTAAAAAATTTTTTATGTTACAAAGACAAATGAACAAATAAAACCCAAAAAAATATTCCCATGATTCAATTTTACCAATAAAATAATTTATTTAACATCAACATTGCTAATGTAACATTTCCAATAATGCTTTCACATAATTTCATTTTTAGGAAACGTTCGGAATCAGGATTACCATGGTTTGCTAAAACTGGTATTTATTTATATGATGGTGAAACGGGTGAATCAAGAGTGTCCGGTAGCGAATAAATACAATGAGTAAAATTTGCTCCTCTACATCATTACTATGCTATAATTGATATTTTTCAACTGGAATTTCTAATAATTTTACCTTCCCCATTCCTGTCATTTAATGTAATGTAAAGTTCTATATTAAAGTGACCACTATTTATTAACTCAAAAATATAAAATATCTGTACCACAACTACTTGAATTCTCCTTTATTAACTTTAGCTTTACTTATTAAGTTCATTGATAACTTCTTCATACACTACCATTCATTTCCAAGTTTTCAGTAGGTTTGATCTGAGAACTGTTTGAATCTTATCAAATATCACACAAAAAGCAGAAAGATAATTCCCAACTTCACAATCTACGTTTACTTTTTCAAATTTGCGGTCCGAAAATGAAAATGAAAAACGAAAAGGTGAATAACTTATTTTTTTATTGTTCTTCAGAATGATGTCTGAAGAGGAAGGCAGATATTAATAAGCAACGATGAAAAAAAAAAGTGGTTGGTTGGATTATATATACACATATTTGTTCATTGCAGATCACTGAATGAATTTCTTAATTCAACTTACAATTTCAGACTTTAAAATTTATATATAACATTCTGTTGGCTAAAATAAAGCTATAACAGGCGAAAACCTGAATAATTTAAAAGGCAATGTCTAATTAAATTACTTCATAGAATGATAGAGTTTGAGATGCTGCAAAAACAAATAAGTATAAATAATCGCTCGAAATAACAAATCATAAAAACAATTTAACACTGTTAAACAACAGAAAGGAGATCGTTCACAATCAATTGCCTGTTAAACAAACTAAAAAAAAAAAAAAAAACTTCAATTATAGAAAGCAATGAATGCACGACTTAAAAAAAACACTATTAGAGGAGATTCCATCTAACAAATGTCTTACAAAGATCACTTAGAACATCATCATAAGGCGAAATTTATCAACCAACTAATAACATCATAATCACCTTATAATCAACAAGCACTTTCATTTTATGCGCATTTCTTTGAAACAATCGACTTTCCCTCATCATCATATTCCGCCCGACTGATCCACATTTGTTGAAAGGCACCCTACACTTTTCTTTGCATATTTAGTTAACAAAGCAAAATAATATGAAATATTTATAACAGAATAAACGATAATATAACTTACAAGAGACGCTAAAATGGACCCGCCAATCCATGCTCCAAATCGTCGTTCCATTGGTGTTGGCGCCGCATAAACTCTTAGCTTTATCGTCTACAAAATAACAAATTTTAGAGATAATGCATATAAATATACAAACAAGTAAATATAACGTAATATACTAACCGGTGGACATTTGTGAGCAAGATCATGATTAAGTCTCTCAGTAAAACCCATCAACAATGAGTTACCACCGGTCACCATCAAACCGCTGTACATCGTCTGCAAAATATATATATATATATATTGCACTATCTTAAATCCAAAAATCCTTTCTCTTCCTAATCCTCTTCAAATAACTAACCGGTCGTATGTCAATGTCGCACATTCCACAAGCTGTAGCTGCAATCTGCGAGACTGACATAATTGAGGAAGTATTTACTGCCTGAAAATATTGTGAGCCACAGTAATCAACGACCAAGATATAATTGACTGAATAAATTCAGAAGTGAAGAACTATAATGCTATTTCAAGAACGAGCTATTAAATTAATATTTGAGAAACGCTGCCTTCAAATATGTCGTATCAAATAAGCCCTCTGGAATTTTGATTCTTTCTGCTTGGAATTCTTTACTGTACCCATTTGGAAAGCAAAACGGTGACGATGGTAGTTTTTCGGCAAATCTAAAGACATAAACTAGCAAATCGCAGAAATGCTTTGAAGTCAAGGAATTAAATGTAACTGCAATTTGAAGTAAAGTTTCAAACTATTTTCACAAGTAGCACTTCTAAAAAAATTCTTTCGTAATAGCACGACTGTCGCCTCTATAAAAAGGAATTACAATCCACAGAACTATTAATTACAAACGAAAGTAATTCATTAGTCGATCAATACTTACTGCTCACTTAGCAAAAAGAAAAAACATTTTTATTGAAAACTTACTCAACATCTATAGGAGTATCGCAACACTGTAATACCGAGGCTGCGAGATCTTCAAGAATTTGCTGAAAGTGACAAATTTCACTTCACTTTAATGATTTCAAGAGAAAATCAGGAAGCATTCACCATCTCAACAACAACTGAATACAAACCTTTTCCATGTATGTTTCGTAGCTCTTCGTAACTTCAGGCAAATTTTTTTTCTCAGTCCATATAGGCGGCTCCATTTCATTAACCACTTCCTAAAATAGTAATTTAAATAATAAATTATTTAAATGAAATGCTAATGATAAGATATGGATGATGTTTATTCGTAAAGTTTCACTTAAGTATCAACAGAAATAATACCTTTGATGCAATTTTATAAGAAGACACAAGATCAATCTTTTGTTCTTCTAGCATCAAACGGCACTGCTCCGCAACCATATCGCCGCCGACTGGCTGCTTTACCACTGCTGAAAAAATACTTGTTTTTTGGCTATACGACATAAAAAATTTCAAAAGTTACTTATGTACATTTACCGAATGAATACTATCTGAATGAAACTTTTCTAAAGTTCCATGAACAATAAAAACTTAGTAGACTATCTAAAAAAAACCTACAAATTGTATGAAAAAACTACCATGTGTTATGCAATATCCATCAAATACAGGAACAGCAGAGGTTTGTGTAGCACCACTATCCAGAATTAATCCAGCTGTTCGACCATTCGCATAACTGAAACAATTTACTCATAATAAGAAGCAAATATCATCAGTTAAGCACATATTTCAGTTATTCAAAAGAAAAATGGAAATTTAAAAATATGAAAAATATAAATTTGCCATGAAAGAACAGCATTCTTAACAACGTAAAACGTGGGAACATTGTATTTCTCGAACATCAATTCTGTCAATTTCTCACGGTTTGCTTTTGTATTCCACTAAAAGTTTAGTTACTTAGTTGAGGCATAAATCTAAAAAAAATGTACAAAAATGCAACAAATTAATGATAAATGGATGTGCGGATGACGAAGGAACGCTAGTAAATAACATCTAATAATAAAGAATCGCACAATACCAAAAATGAACTTACTGCAGCTTCGGAAAACAGTACAGGCTGGTATTGGCTTTCAGAGAATAAAATACGACTATATGAGTAATCGACCAATTGCTCGAAAATATCCCAATCATCAACTAAATATCGCAATAAAAAGTGGTACTGCATAAACAAAAAAGGACGTTTAGAACAAAAAACATACTCATGCAATCCTTCATGTAACTTTTAATTTCCGTCCTTGGTCGTGGAACATTAACAAAGGTCCGCCCAATAAAATAATCCTTCATTTTTGCTTTTTGAGTAGTTTGGTCCACGGTGTCATCTATTTCATCTAAGACATCCCGCACACCAACTTGACTTGGTATATCACCCTTAAAATAATGTAAAACTACACTTTTGTAAAAATTTAAAACCATGACAATATACGATTAGAAATTTATAAGATTTGTTATGTCAACAACTGGAATTTATTTCACATACAACAATAAATAATTCATTAAAACTATGTTAAAATTTATCACTATAATAAGCTTCGGCAACTCAATTTGATGCCTAACAAAGTTCCAGTACCATCCCCCCTCCCAAATAAAAAAAAAAATCACAGTACAGACCATTAGAACTCTTGTTTTTACTCATCCATCCCTTAATCGAAACATCATCTTACCTATATTAATAAATCTTTGGCGCAATAATAATAGGTTGCTCAACGCTGCTTCAGAAAATTTATGAAAGCTTACTTTTGGAAATTCTTCACCAGCAAAACCAACTCGAAATGTGTGCGAACCCGGATCAAAAACCAAAGCACCAACTTCATCTGAATACAAAAACATAAAAGAATAATAGGAATTAATTCTAGTTGCTGATTCTTGATATAATATATTCAGACAAGCACTAAAAAATGTTTCGTCAACATTATTATTGCTAAAATATATACTATTTCATATTGAAGAAAAAAATATGATTATACTGAACTCGAAAAAAAATATGAACTTACCACCACCATAAACCCCTCCACTCATAATTACACGTTACTCTCGACAATGTGCAATAAGTAACACCTTTATATGGAAGTTAATTAGCTACAATGCCAACAACAATGCAGAAAGTGCCGATTAATCCAATTTTACTAACTGCCTGAAGTATCAAAATTTCATACTTTGGACAAAGTCCGGTTTGCAATACTGTTAAATCACACTGGTTATGTCACAATGAAATTGTAGTGTTTGCATGGTCATCGTAACGGTAAGATGTGTCGATTGTTTTCATTTTTTGCAGGGTTCTAGTGAGAAAAGAGATCTGATATAAGTTTAACGAGATTTTACTCTTCGTTAAATTCGAAAATGACTCGAACTATCCTTTCTTGGAATATGATTTGTTCAACCATTGCAATTAACAAATGAAATGACATTTTATCTCGAAAAGTCATGCAAATTGAATTGATAATATCAAACCATCGTATCTTTGATTTCATGTCGAGCATTTCCTTGTAAAGTTTTTTTCTCATCTCGATAGCTAGTTTTATCAAAAAAAAAAAAAAAAAAATTCATTTCGTTAAACGTTAATTGTTACTCACAAAACTATTTGTTCAATTAATATTTACAATTAATTTTCAGGGAAAAAAAAACTCTCTATTGATTCTTGTCATTCATGAAATTTGAACTTCTAAAGTAATATTGGTGGATAAGTTTAAATTTAGGCATTTCACTAATTGATTTGAAAATTTGTTTTTCCGTGTGGAAAATGGCAGCAGCAAACAGCGAAGAACAGATGAATTCAATCAACAGTTTCAAGGTTCATATTATATTAGAAATTGAGCGAAAGAATTGCAGATAAGGAAAAACTATAATAATTGTTTAATGTCTTGCTAGAATGATTTCATATATCTCCATTAATAATTCTGAACGTTTCATTAAATTGCTGATTGTTGTAGAATTCCATATTTCTTCTTTTTTTAGAAAAATGGTTTGAAAATCGCTTTTTTATTTATATATTAAACTGAGCTTATAATTTAGATTATTTAAACATCTGATATGTCCTTCGTATTGATGTGAATAAACTTGAAAGGTTTTTTTTTTGGTTTAAGTATTATTGATATAATTACCATTTGTAGAATTTTATTATATATGTTATCATCTTTGCTTTGTAACCGAATATAATAGGAAAAAACTATTAGGTATTATATGGTACAAAAGCTGGTTGTAGGAAATATGCGCAGTAGACGACAAATTAGCGAAAGATTTCTTAGTTTACAATCATTGGAATTTGGAAAGTGCTGTCCAGCATTTCTTCCATGTAGGTCTATGCATTATCAAGGCCTTATTTTTCAATTGCTCTTCGGATGAAAAATTTGTTTTTTTTTTTTAAAGTTGTATAATTCCTGACTCTAAATTTATTGGAAAGAAATTTTATATCCTTTTTTGATTGATCACTTAAAACATGTTTTTTTCTGGCGATAGATGAAGTTAATTTTTTTTTTTCTTCCTGTTACACTGTACCTATATCGTTTCCAGACTGGTGGGCGATTAAAAGAGGAAGAAGAACAAAATGTATCAAATGCAGAGAGCGAATTAAGACATAGGCATGTACAAGTCAATGAACCGTCAACCTCGCAGTATTTTTTCTTTTTCGAATTCTCAGTTCTTAAATGAATGATATTATTTTACTAGTTAGCCTGGCATTATAAATGTAAAGATAATATTGCGAGTGAATTAGTCATACTGATTTGCGTTGATTCACTAATAAAATATATTATTTATGCTAAAAGAGCAAAAAGTTATTACATACAGTTCCTTTTAGCTTCTTATTTTTCAGAATTGCAAGTCGGCGCTCATCTTTATCTCCTGCAGAAGTATTGTTGAGGAGACGTCCTCCATCTCCACAAACTTGGTTTGAATGGACCGTTACAGTCATCAAGCTTCCATTCTTTATTGCTTATCAAAGCTTGTTCGATCTTATCAGTTTTTTATGTATGTTATTCGGAAGATTTTTTCTCATTTTATAGCAATCTAAAAGATTTGGAAGAACAAATATTGAATAGTTACTTAGACTTAAAATTCTTGAAGTAGTTATGTTCAGAGGTTTCAATTTTTTTCTTCGAATAACTCTTTAGCATGCTATTTTTCATGGGTGTAAACAATCAAAGGTATATGCTGTTCAACTATTCAGTGAGTGGAAATAATGTAATTTCGTAATTGTTATAATTAAGGGTCATTATTCCGAGCACCGCCATTGGCAGTTGCTGATTCGAGAGGTGATGTACAACATTTTATCAACGACTTCAATGCTCGCTTCGCCGATTCCAGTAATGGAATTAGTTTTTTCAGTGGGTCATACGAGGATGTTAGTTTTTAATTCTGCTTAATGAATGTAACATTTCTGAATAAATTTTTAATATATTTACTAGAGGAAGTGTGACATGTGCACCAAATAGTATATTTGTCTTTTCCTACAAAGTACTTTCAAAATTGCATAAATTTCCTTGCTAACACTTTAAAAACGATTATTAACTTGCATCTTCTTTATAGGCAATAAACGAATGCAAAAATTCATTACGTTTTATGATCGTTTATTTACACAATCCATCACATGAATCTTGTGAACGTTTTGTTCGTGAGACTTTACTCAGTTATCAAATGAAACAATTTCTGGATCGGAATGAAATTCTGCTTTGGGGTGTATCAGTGCGCAGTCAGGAAGGTTATAAAGGTAATATAGAACGATTTTATCTTGATGCAAAAATATTTTCATAATGATTGTCGAATTTTTTCTGATCTGATATTTTACATATTTTACTCTGAATAATTTATGCATCTTCAGTTTATACAGTTTGATTGATAAGTTGCTGTTAAGGAAAAACTTTTTAGTTCATTATTTTGTCAAGCAACTAATCATACTTCACATTCGATGATATGTCATCGTTTACAGCTTTTTTATCAATTTTAATTTTGCAGTATCAATGGCTCTTCGAGAGAGCACATATCCATTTCTTGCGTTACTCTGTATGCGTGAGACACGAATGGTTGTAGTAAGTTTAAAAAGTTTTTTAAAAAATAATTATTGCAATAGTTTCACTATCTAGGTTCTCTTATCTTGTCCAAAAGGTTTTATAGTTGATGCGTAGTATGTGTCTAGTTGTTTTAATTTTCAATTTATATAAATTTTTTTTTTACTGTTTAATCTTTTTAATCCGTTTTTATTTTTACATTTGTTTTATTTATTTTTTTTTTATTCTTGATGCGGTTGTTCTTTTTTTTTTCGATTCTTTTAATTTTACTCTTTTGTCTTTTATGAGTATTTTTATTTTGGAATTTATTTGTGTTTCTGTATAACTGTTTGCAAATCCACTTGTTTATTATGTGATCGTTGTACTTTTATTGTAGTCATATAAACCTATGTTTACAACTAGTTTAGCACCTGTGTTGTTTGGACGATGATAGAAAATTATGAAATATGAAAAATTATGAAAAAAATCTGAAATAAATTTTGTTCAAGATTTTTTTTAAATTTCTAACTTGCTGCTATCATAGGTATTACGATTAGAAGGCGAATATGAACTAGAGCCAATGCTTTTCACAATTCAAACGGCAATTGATGAAAATCGCAACTATTTAGATGCTATAAGGAATGAAAGGTATAATACATCGGTTTACTACAAATTTTTTTTAAATAATTTTTAAAAGCGAAATATTATACTGTTAATTGGTACCAGACATCAGCGTGAGGTGAACAATCGCATTCTACGTGAGCAAGAATCAGATTATCAGCGTAGTTTGGCAGCTGATCGAGCACGTATAAGTGAGAGGAAACGCGCTGAGAGTGAACGAAAAATTGCTGAAATGAAGGAAGCGGAAGAGAAAAGGAGAAAACAAGAAAAGAAAGAAGTAATTTTATTTTTTTTTCAATACATCATTAACAGTAGGATTGTTATAAGCAATGATATAGCTGGCTTTCATTAAAGATAATTACTCTACTGACTTATTATCAGTTTGACTGGTAATCGGTTCGTACATTTTCCTGAAAGACAAAGGAGTGAAGCTTTTGTTTTAACAGTGTATATTGGAAATAGGAAATGCACTTAGTTATTTGAAGAGTTTCCTTAAGTATGGCAACAGAAATAAAAGTGTCAATAAAGGTAATTTTACTGTTTCACTATCGTTTTCCGGTTCTGCTTAATATTAATTACTGTCTAGTGTTAGTTTGTGCGACTTAATTTTAGATATAATTTTATCGTAGTAATTATTGAGTTGATCATTCAGAAATTAGATGCTATAAGAATGAAATTAGCAAGCGAATTACCACCAGAATCGCAAGCACCTGACTGTATTCGAGTAAGTGTACGATTTCCCAATGGAGAACGCTTTGAGAGGCGATTCGATGTTACGAATAGTTTGGAGGTTAGCTTTTTTTTATTCTTATGTCAAACTCGTCTTAGTTCACTTATTATACTATTCTACAAATTATATTTCTTAAAAATATGAAATAATTTCAATGCTACTATATTTGATTGTTGATTTGCACAATTTGAATTAGATCGGCTGTTACTGTAGCAGTCATTTTTTATTTATATTAATTAGCACAAGAGAATTATAATCAGTAACTTTTGTCACTGCTGAACTAAATTATGATTTACATATATTGTTATTCAGTTATTTCTCAGTTACAGAGAAATTTCTTTTAAAGCTTGCACATTTATAAAATTTTCTAGTTTTATGTTAACTTTGCAATTAAATTTGCTTGTAGTTGTTATTCAATGCAACGTTGGCTCATGAGAATTGTCCACCGAACCTCACGCTACTATCAAGTTATCCCAGAAAGCAACTTAACTGTGCACCCGAATGGTATCGTGAATTTGGAATAGTGCAAGATCCAACTAATATTCCAACATTTCATGATTGTGGTTTCGAGAAATCAGTGGTTGTTTTAGTGCAAGATAATGATGCATAGGTACTGACATTTATTCGACTTCTATTCACCTCAACTTTTTTTTTTTTTGGTTTAAATAATGTTTTATCTGTTGTCTAAATTACCTTAGATCTTTCCGTCATTTTAAAATAATTATGCCAGTGTAAAATTTAAATTATATGTAATTTCACAAACTGTTTTATTTTATTTAATGACTTTTTTTTTTGATAATTGAGTCTGAAAGCGTAAAACATTCTTTAAGTGAGATCAGTTCCGATAAGATTCTTTTGAATTAACTGATGCTAAATATAATTTAGTTACGAAATGTATCAAATTTCTCCTTAAGTTGACCTTAATAACCTTAATAAAATTGATGGAATTTCCATATTTCTCCACATCTGTTGTGCACGGTATGCAGTTTTTGTTAAGTTTTTATTTCTGAACTGGAACTTTTTTTTTTCTCTGACTGGAAATTTTAATTATTACCGGAATTGCAATCGTATGAAAGTCCATTTATTGCTTTTTATAATTCATTATTTCTGGACCTTTTCATTGTTCTATGATTTTGTTGCTATATTAAAACTTTTTGGTCGTTTTGGCTTGTAATAAATTTCTTTGTGGAATTAAACATTGGTTTTTTTTTTTTTCTCTCTCTACATTTTTCAGAGAATTAATTTTTATAAATCAGAAACATTTGATATTACGAAAGGAAGAAAGAAAGAAGGATTGGCAAAGGGAAGTCTTTTTTTTTTTCTTTTTGGTTTAACCAGCAAACTAAGATAATCGCTTCATATCTGAATTGAAAGTTGAATATCTGAACCGTTAAAACAACTGTTAGTCCCATCCTTTATTTCCCGAAGATTTGCCAAAGTATGCATTTTACATGTCAATCAATTATCAAAAGTTTTTTTTACTAGGAGAATATGCATTCAGTGGGGTTTCGCTACTTAAAATTAAACTATGTGTGAATGAATCATCACATAACATTGTGATATAACGAATGACTGAATGTAAGCTTTCGCACAGACATAATAACACACTATTATTCATAAAGAAGCTTTTAACTTTTAATCTTACCAAATAATATCCATTTATTAAATTTATAAGAATTATCATTAAGTACCAATAGATTACAAATAGTTAATGAAACTTAATTTTATATAGTTGGATATTTTTTCAATTAATAAATAAGGATTGGACGAAAAAGACGTCTTGTTGTTGATATTTTTTTTTGTGCTTAATTTAAGTTGCATCTTAATTTTTCATAAAATGTATTTGAAATAGTAATTTAAAAAATTTAGTCTAATTTTTCCCCGTCTAAACATTTTTGCTTTTTTTTTCTTTTATTGGAATAATTACAAAGTTGAGAAAAAAAAACAAACGTATTAATTTGTAAATATATGTGTACGTATTTCAGGCTTTGATTTAATACTGGTTAAAATAGCATAAATAAAATTTAATGAAATTAAAAGGGAATAAAAAAGAAAAGACAAGAAAAAAGAAGAGATTCATATACAGAGAAAGAGAGAGAGAGAGTTTTATATGAAATATACAAGTTATGTAAGAGGTTCTGGCAATTTATTAGCTAGTAACTCTATGGTGAGTGGCTTCAAATCCATATCCATTAAACTTTCCACATAAGAATTTGTTGCCTCATAAACGGACCAAAGCACCGATAACGCATGACCGAAACGTACTGGGCCATGTTTGTCATGTCTACAATGATATTTAAATAAAAATGGCTAAGTAAGGTTTAAAATTTAGCATTAAAAAAGCTTTTCCAAATGATATTTTTATGATTCAAGAAAAAAAAAAGGAAAAAGAAATCTTAAAAGCATACTTGAATATCATATAATTAAATAGGGTATCCAAAATTATCTGTCGTTGACATGATAGTTGTTTAAAACTGTTTGTCGATAAACCAGAACATTCTGGAATTTCTTTTTTTTTTTCGATTAAATTAATTTGAGTGCAATTTATGAAACAAAAATTAAGAAGGATTTGAATTTTTTTTTTCTTTAATAATTGAAAGTTTTAGACAAAAAAAATAGTAATTTAAATAAAGAATTATAATAATCAAATACACCTGCAAATTGGATGAGTTTATTTTGAGATTTAAGAGTCAAGCGAAAAAAAAATTTTTTTCATTCGTTTATATGATTTTTAGATGATATTTGAGGAAAAGAAAAATTATATAAAAATAATTAGAGAAAAAAAGATTTGAATAGATATAATTCATATGGTATTTTAAATTTTACACTTTAATCATAGCTGATAATATTTCAACTAAATATACACTAAGAATTTTAAACTTAAGACTTACCAGAATGCATAAAAGCAATTGCTTTGAGCAATAAAAATTCTTTCTTATCCAATTTTGCTCTATTAAAACTTTCAATTATCACTGATATTCCAATATTCTCTTCGATTGATCTACTCAATTTTGAAAAATGAATGAATAATTTGTATTCGAATTTATTTAGCTCAAAGATGTTCATCAATTTTCATTTTTTGACTTTAATTAAGATTAGCAGAAAAAAAAAGAAAAAAAAAATTTTGTACTGTTTTTCTCGTTGATTTCTATGATTTAATACAGATGTGCATTTTGAAATAGATTTTTTATAAGCAGTTTCCAATAAAATTAACACAAATGCAACATCACGTAATAATAATACCTATAATAAATTTAAGTAATAACATCAAAATAATAATTTTTAAGCAAATAATTCAATTATTATATAAAAATATAATTAAAAAAAAATAGTATAAGAAATAATTCGTTCATTTTATTTTATTATGAATTTAAATTAAAATGAAAAAAAGAAAAGAAAAAGAAGGAACCTTATCCTGAATTGGCATCCATTGAAATGATTCAAATGTTTTAGCATATTCTACCATAATTTCTAATTTTTGATTTAACATCGCTCCTGGCCCATTGTTATACTGCTTTTGCTATTAAATAATGATATATTAATAAAAAACAAAGAACAAAATCACATTTGGAAAAAGTGGGAGAGGAAAAAAAAGTATCTTTTTTAAGTGAAATAATAATTTTTTAACTGATTAAATTAAAAGCGAAATGTTTCGAAAGTTGAAATTTATTAATTTATAAAGTAAATATGAATCATTGAAATAGCGTGGAATTCTAATGAAATTTGAAATTTCGAATTAAAATAATTTCTTTATTCAGTTTATTTCTATTGTTAAATAATGTTACATTATTATAAAATATATTTCAAAAAAGAACAAAGAAAAAAAATTTTTTTATTAAAAAAAAAACAATATAATATAACAATGCATTTTTAAATACTTTAAAACTTTGTTTTCAATAAAAAAATAAAAAAAGAAATATTTTAATAAAAGAAGAAATGGAATATTTTACTATATTGATGAATAAACATTTGTTGCACCTACTTCATCATCAACATCACTAACTGATGATGTGGTTGACAACGTTGACACAATTGATGGCCGTGTTAACAAATCGAGAATTGAAATTGATGTATTACATTTTTCTGCATCTAATGCTTCATTAATAATTTCTTGTGCATGAATAAGATGCGAAATAAGCTATAAAAAATAAATAAATAATTTTGCGTAAAATTTGAAGGTTAGAAATTAACAAATATTGATTATTGGATATTTAATGATTAAATTAAATTTCATTTAAAAAATTTTGTTAAATATCAAATTTAAAAAAAAAGAGTTAATAAAAAAGGTTTACATGAACAACTTTTTAACTTTATAAAAACAAAACAAAAAAAAAAAAAACCTTGATGAACTAACTCGTTCATGTTTTTCTGTGATGGAGCAATACTTTCGAATTGTATCATCAATGCTTGTAATAATATTAGTGGTAGTTGTTGATGATGATATATTTATTTCTGAATATTTAAATCTGTAAACAATAAAAATTAATCCTTCCAGTTTTGTTTATTCTATTTTTTTTTTTATTCATTTATTAAAAGTATTTTTTTTTTAGTATTTATTTATATTGATTTTATTCATTTCATTTTATTTATTGAAAGTATATTTATTTATTTTTATTTATTTATTAAAAAAAATTTATTTATTGCTTATTTATTTGTTAGGAAAATATAAAAAAATGAACATTTCTTTTTCGCTCTTATTTTCTTTCATTCTACCTTTATCATTAATTCATATTATTTTTCTACCATTTCTTATCTTTTCATATATCTTACATACCTATTATCATGTTTTCCGATATATTTTTATTTCCAAAATTTTATCACTAACTAGTTGTTCTGGTAAATAAAAAATATCACACTTTTTTCTTTTCTTTTCACTATTAATATTTAATGTAATTTAAAACAAAGGACATCTTTATTACATCGATTAAAGCAATTTATTGATTGATAAATTAAGATGATAGGATAAAATGTGAGATAATTAATGATTTTTTTCTTTTTTTGCCAATTAATTTATAAATATTTGAGAAAAATTAAATATTACAAGAAGTTAATTTACCTAGAATTTTCGTCACTTGTTGCTAATGCATTATTTTTAGATTTTGGAAAATCAAGAATAGCTGAAATGGTATAAGCTCGTTTAGATGTTCCTGATTCATTATCTGGACTTGCTGATAAGCATTTACGATTGATATCAGTAGTGTCAAGAAAGGGATAATAATAGTAATGGTCATTCTCTGTACTAGTTGAAGTGGGCGCTTGTTGTTGAGGTATATCAAATTCAAACGAAGCATTTTGGGAGGTAGGTGAAACTTCCAGTGATAATGATAAGCGTCCGGAACGATTGCATTGAATTGCTAAAACCAACTTTCAAAAAGTATTTTTTTTTAGCAACAATTTTTGAAGAACAAAAAAAATAAAAATATTAATTTTATTCTGGAATAATTATTATCAAAATTAATAAAAATGAAATTTCAAACGCATTTTTTTAGCAAAAATTGTGAAAAAATAATAATATTAATTCCTTCTTATTAAAATATTTCATTAACGATCATCGATATATCATGATAACTAGATATTTATTTGGAAAATAACTAGTATATTTATTCAGTGCAATTAAAAATGAGTAATATTGAAAAATAAAAATAAAAGCATAGCAAAGAGAAAACCTTTTGGATTCATACCAACTGCAACACATTTATCAAATCTGCATGCTCGACAGGCACATCTCATATCTGAATTTGTTATATTAAATTTAAAAAATTAAAAAAATTTAATATATGTAATAATCAAATTATTTAATATATTTAATGCATTTAATAACCAAATTTAAATCAAATTGATGTTGAAATTTGAAACACTGAAGAGTATTTTATTATTTTTGATTGGAGCAATGATTTATTTCATCCTCTTTTTAATCTTAAATGCAAAGTTAATTAAAAAGAAGCAATGCCCTTTACAAAAAAAAAAAACTTTTCACTTTAAAAATTCATTGGAATTTTATGAAAAAGTTTAGTTTGCAAAAGAATTAAATGCAAGCTAAAAAAAGTTAGCAAGCAAATTTTACTGCTTGATAGATTAATTTTGATTAGTCATTTTGATTTTTTTCAATAATTTTTTTTTTTTTTTTTGTCGAAAATCTCTTGAAAGTAAACTTAGTTGAAGCTATGGCATAACTTATTATTACTTTTTAAAAGCCGATTTGAAAGTTTAGAGTATGAGTGATAAAAGTGATATGTAAATATTCAAATAATTTCAACCTAATTTAATGTGACCCGAGATAAATATGAATCATAAATGAATAAGTCTAACCTTTATCAAATATACAATTACCATTTTTGTGGCATTTATAAGTTCGATTAGACACCAAAGTACGTCGGAAAAATGTTTTACTGCAAAATCATTCGAATAAAATTAAATTTTAAAATTGTTGTTTATTTATTTGAATTTTATTCCGAAAATGAATAATAATTTTAACATATGTAAGCATGAAATTGAGAAGAAAATATATTTAAAAAAAAATGACTGATTAATTTATTTAAATGTGTCATAATGAAAAGTAATTTTTTTCTTTTGTGTCCCATATTATTATTTACTATCACCACAGCTTATTGTAAAATTTTAGAATTTACAATAATAATAAATTAATATTTTTGTCCCTATTATTATTATTATTCTTACTATTCCTTGATCATATTGTCTCCATACTTGCAAATATTATTAAATCTGATGAAAAGTTAAAACGAATAAATTCGCAACATTTTGTAAGAGAATGAAATATAAAATTAAAATTAACATTGATCTTACTATTGTTAACTTACTCATTCAATGTAATTTCTCATCAGAAAGGTTTAATAATTAATATATGAAAAGTATGTAAACATATATAAACTATCCTGTTACTCTTATCAACTACCTTTGTGTTATCATAAAAATTATTTAAATGCATATTTTTTTTAATTTTTTTAAATTATGACTAACCCATATTTTTCTCTTTTGATTTTGTTAAATAATTGGATAGCTTAATTTTCAACCCTAGCGAATAGCAATAAATGCTAAGAGAGGTTTATTTGGAAAAATGAATTTTGATAATCTCAATAAGATTTTGTTTTGGTAAGTGATCAATTTGATAAAAAAAATTAATTGCTAACCATCCATTGCAACTGGCAACTTCATAATGGAAGCCAGTTGCTAAATCACCGCAAACAGCACAACGCTCAATTGTTTTTGCTATTTCTAAAATATTTTCATTATCACTTATCATTATCATTTATCATTCATTTAAAAAGGAGAAACCAATGACAAAGCTTACAATAATCAAGTATTTTTTATATTTAAAAACTTTCTTAATTCATCTTGTCTTCATTTGTACATTATTATTATTATTATTATTTAATTATCTGATGCACCTAACGATGACTTGTCGTCCTTTTTGAATTGTTCGAATGCCATCTTTTAACGAAAAGTGACATGCAGAATTAGCGCAATCATACAATAATGATATTTTACTAAACTGAAAATAATCATTGCTCATTAATACATTAATTTGCTAATAGTAATGCATGATAGGTAAGCTAGAAACAATAATAAATGCCAATGAACAAAGTTCAAATTTATCAGTAAGTTTTGTTATTGGTTGCTATTGCTTGTGCTATTATTACTTTTCCGATAAATAAACAATGATTGGAATTTGTTTTGGATAAAGATGCCAACTGAAAGACCAATGATCAAAACGGTTATATAAATCATGATCATCAGTTGATTATCAGTGAAAAAAAATATTTAAAAAACTTTCCCACATTTTCGCTGATAACTAAAAAATTTATCATATCATATTATAAAATTTAAGTTTGAGCTTATTCCTACTCTATAATCATTTCAATTTCATATTACCATTTATAAACTTTTTAATTAAAAAAAAAAGTTCAAATAAAAATGAGAATTTTTTTTTCAGCTTCACATTAGATTACCTGATAACTCTAACTAAATAATTTTGCAAAATAAAGGCGTGAACCTATTCTTCAACCTCGCATTACTGTATTAAATGGTTTTTGTATTTAATCAATTGAAAATATTGCAATAAACACAAAAAATAAAGCAATAAGCGCAAATGTAAAATATTTTTCTTAAGTAATTTCAGCTAATTATTACAATGATAGAACTTCATTCAAATGATAAAAAAAAAGTGATAAAGAAGAAAGTGTAAATTTACTTTTTTCAAGAAACTATTTATGCTAAGAATAGCTTGCTTTTATTAAATACTTCAAACATAAATGATTGTGTTAAAAAATTAGCATTTTATTTACAGCTATATTCCGATTAGTTCAATTATTTAGCTATGGTAATGATATATTCAATAATTGATCTATTAAATAGTAATAGTAAGACAAATTACACCTGTAAAAAAATAAACGAAAAAAATGATTAACAAAAATGAAAAAAATGAACTACAAATTAATTTCATTTTTAAATGTCTCTAAAATATTATTGATTTTGATGGTATTTAGATTTGTTATTCATATTTTATAAATTATCCAAATAATGAATGCCATTTCTTTTTTTCTTTTTTAAAGGAAAAAAAAAATATTGCAAATGAATGAATATCATTATAATTAGGATAAATATAAAAAGAAAAACTCATTGCATAAATTTGGAATTCTCAAATATTTTGACGTAAACATGATGGAATTTTTGTCCTTTCATCCGCAATTAATTCTATTCATGTTTCTTTCTTTCTTTTAGTATTTCTATTTCTATTAAATATTCATTTATTATTTTCAATAAAATTTAATTTCACTAATTATTTTCGAATAAATGCAATTATTTCATGAAGCATGTAAATTATAATTTAAAATATTATTGAATTAAATGGATAAGAAAAGAAATAATTTTGCTGAATTAAAGAAAAAAGAGTAATAGATGCAAATAATAAAAAATTTTAATTGAAATAATTAACTAAAAAATATGCTTATGATGGAAAGAAAATTTAATTAAAGTACAAATGAATAGTATTAAAAAATGATGAAGTTTTTGAGTAAGTTAAGATTATTATTTCGTGACAAATTATTGGTAATATAATTGATGAAGTAAGTAAAACAAAATGAACTAGTTTAATTGACCTAAAAATTTAATTATAGCAATGAGTAATATGTAATAAATAATTGACAGTAATTCATTATAATTCTCTAAATACTGCAAATATTCTTGTTCTAATAAATTTTGTATCATTAATGTTTCAAAAAAAGAAAAAAAGGAACAATTATTTCTATGATTTAATTAATCGTATCAAAATTTATGCAAAATATAATGATGGAAATGTATAAATATGTAATAAACTAATAATAATAATAATAGTAATAAATTGATAAATAAGTAAGACTAACAAGAAATTGAATATCAAAGTTTTACAATTATTTCCTTGATCTTCTTTTCATATTCATTTTAATACCACTAAAAATATACTACTAATATGATTAAACTTTTAAAATTCTCTTAATCTTTATTTATTTGTTTATATTTGATTATTTATGCATGCGTATATGTGTACGTGTGTGTATGTATGTATGTGTATACACACATTCACGTACATATATATGAGTTACGTGTTTAATTGATACGTATTTTGCTCCAAAATTGTCGTTTATCTAAGAAAATACGCGAATGAATTTTATATTATTAAGAGAAATGAAATACATTAATTTATTTAACATAATAAATGTGTGATATTTCTAATAATTAGCGCAAATTTCTTGTTTTATTTAAAATACAAAAATAAATAAGATGCGTATTATTTAGAATAGATTTTTCATCTTTTTTTTGATGAATTAATTGAGAAGTTTTTAGAAATCTTTTAATGAAATATGAAAAGAGAGAGAGAACAAAAATGTAAAAATGAGTGAGAAATTGAAATGTTTACAAAAATCTTTGCAGTTTCTTTTTTCATTTTTTTTTTTTGTTTTCTTAAAATATTTCAATTTTGTTGTGAAATATTGAAATAAATGAGAAAAAGAAGGAAGAGTGAGTGAGAAAGTAAGAAGAGAGGGAAAAAGTTGGAAAAAAAAAGGAACTCTTCGATGAAAAGAATATGTGATAAATAAAAAAATAAAGTTTAAAAAATTAACAAATGATAAATTGATGAAATGCGAATTCTTATTAGCAATAATAAATTAATAAATGGTTCAATAATAAAGTAGAAATCAAATGTATTTATTTTGAAAAATTGAATACAAATTTGGTTTATAATAGACAATGCTAAATGTTCTATTTACTTTTTAAAAATGTAAAATAAAAAAAAAAAGTGAAGTAAAATATTGCTCATTTATTATTACTTTAAAAAAAAAGTATTGCTCTAAACGCATTTATTATAATGAATGAATTCAAGTTATATCCTTTAATTATCATTTTCCTCTCTATAATTGCTTAGTGACTTATTTGAAGATAAAAAATAGAGAAAGTTGGATTATCATTTTATATTACTAATTATCAGTTCATTATCAAGCAACTTTAGCTTGTGTTATATTATTTTAATATCATTTCTATTCTAAATCAAAATTATATAAAAATATTTAAGAATATTTTTTTCCCTTTTTTTGTTAACAAAATGATACAAAAAGCAAATTAATAAAATTAAATAACATAAGTGTATTCATTGTATATCATTGCAAAATTATCACAATAATAATATAAGAATGAAAGAAATTTGCATATTGTTATCGTATGTTATCATAATAATTACAACTTTCTAAATGATTTTTTTCTTTTTTTTTGTTTTCATAAGTGTATCAATTAATTCATTACCATAAAAATTAAAAAAAAATAGCATTGAAAATAGTGAGAGGAGAATGAAGAGTGAAAAAAAATTTTTTTTTTTTGAAAATATGGAAAAAAGAAATTAATTATAAGAAAAAAATGATAAATTAATTAAATAACTATAAATTGTGTGCCATGTATTGTAAATTACAGGATTTTATATCATTTTATTGAATTGAAACCATTTATTGATAGCATTTTAGGAAAAATAATTTTTATCAAATTTACTGCTACTGCTAACTATTTTCTGATCTTCTTTTGTTCCATTCGCTTAATGATAGTATTTACTTCATAATCATTGTTTAACTGATAAAATATGAAATCGAAATATAAACAAAATATTTCTGCTAGATATGGAAAGAAAATGAAATTAAGCAAATAAACGAATGAAAATGGAAAATAATTTTGCTATGTTTTACATTTTAAAAATGACTAAAATCAATAATGTTTATTTGCCTTTTTTTATTTCATCTTTTCTAGCTAAAAAAAAAAAAAAAATTAATAAAATGAAAATATTAGATAGTTAAAATAAATAATGACTAAATGTATGTAAAAATATATATTTATTTCATTATTTAATAGATTAAAATAAAAAAAAAAAAGTTTTGAATAATCTTATTAAAGCTAAACCATTATGAATTTTTGACAATCATTATAACAATGTTTATTTTTAAAAATGGCGAAATCTTTTTTTTCTCTGAAAAATATTCGAATTTTTTTCTAATAATTAATGTTTGACTATTTAAGTAAACCAGAAATACCAGAAATAGGGATGGAAAAGTTAAAATGGAGGAATGTGAAGAGTATGTGTGGTACTAATGGACATTCAAGTGAAATTCATTTTCCTCTTCGAAATGATTGAACGACAAGTTTTTCAATTTATGTTCAATGTTTTTTTTTTTTTTTTTTTTTTTTTTTTTTTTAGTAATAAAATAGCTTAGATAAATGAATCATTTGGTTGATGTCTGATTTTTAATTCTCAATGACAGACGTTTTCATTGAAAATAACAGCAAAATGAAAAATGGAAAAGAAAAAATGCTCGGATATTAAAACATCGAACATGAAAAGAAGGAAATGAAAGAAAAAACACTCTAGTATTTTTCTTCCTTTTCTAAATAACAAAAATAAATTTTGAAATGAACTAAAAAATGTCCGATGGAATAAATTATTCGTATTAAATATAATAAAATGATAATAAAATTGAAAAGTATGAAAAATCGCATACTTTTATTTGTTAGCTAAAATACATTTTTTATAAAATATAATTTCAACAAGTTATATCAAATATTAATTAGCAACTTTCTAATGTATTATTCAATTCACTAAAAAATTTTAAAGGCGTAGAATAACGTATAAATACATATTTTGGGCGATTTTTTTTCCAGTAACGGGAGCAAGAAAAAAAAAAGATCGGTTGACATTAATGATTAGATGCGATGAGTTCAATTACTTAATATTTTTGATCTATGTAATCTTTCCTTTCCCGAATTAATAGCATTTTACATTGGGAGAAATGTATTTCTGGCAATTACAGGTAAGCAAAATAATTAATTAATTGTTATCCGATAATTTCAATCAGCGCAGTGATTAAATTATTTTATTGATGATAAGTTATTTTTGCTATAAATTTCACTGGTTAACAATCTTTTATAAGCAAAAAAAAAAGAAAAGAAAATGAAACTAGTCGTCGATATCATTATTACAAATCATCAATCTGTATAATTTTCTGATTGAAATTTAAATTTCAAAAAAAAAAATTCTCTGAAATGTCTAAAATACATTCGTGTCTGATTACAATAAACTACGTGTTTATTATTAGTTAATCATAAAATAATTTGTATTTAAGAAATTGTAATAGAAGAAGAAAAAAGAGAAAAATTTAATGTAAAAAAGCATTCGACTGTTGGAATGATATTCCACAAATACTTTAAAGTTATTTATATTTGAACCATTTATCGTTATTTGTCGTTCGTTTTTTACTTTTTTCTTCTCCCCTGCTCTCTCTCTCTCTCTCTCTCTTTTTCTCCGTCCCTTTCTTTCTTTTCGTTTAACTGAATACAATGACAAACAGATATGAATGTACGTAATAGAGAAAGGGTGGCAAATGACATCGAGCGCATAATGTGCATTTTCTTGTTTGCAATTACCGCTGCTACATTTAGTGTTCAATGATCAACGAACAAGAATTAACAGATTTGAATTAAAAATCAGATATAATGCTTGGAAGAGTCTATATTTTGTAATTATTTCGTTGGGGAAGTCTATATTTTATAATTTTTTTGTTCTATTTCCCATGTAACTCATAATAATCATCAGGAATTATTTATCATTTTGTTCTCATTTCTAATTTAAATCAATAATAAAAGTTTAGAATTTTTGAATTTAAAAAAGTCATTTTTTTTTCATTAATAACCATTTAAAATATTACAAATATTAATACAAAATTATTAATAGTCATTTATTAATAACAATTAATAGTCATTTATTAAACTTACAAGAAAATAAATATCGATAATACTTTCTTTTTAATTTTTAATGCAATCATTTGAATATTTACAATATGATATTTGATGTGATATTAAGTAAGCACAATGATGATTGAATTTTAAACAAACATCAAAAAATTTATTTCATTCAGCGAACAGAATGCTAATTTGATATTTGAAAAAATTGCTTAAAATCGAAAACATCTGATGGTTTATGTGAAATCATTATTAAAGCTTTTTTATTAGCACCATTTTTTTCGTTTCTACAACTTTTATAAGCAATACAAAACATATTTATGAATATTATTAGACATAACTAATTTATAAGAATTAAAAATTTCATCAAATACCCATCGTTTTATTATAGCAATAGGAACTGATCATAAAAATTTATCAGAATTTCCAAACATACGCTTCATTTTTAACAAAATATAATATCATAATTCATAATTCCTTGCCTTACTGAGCTATTTTCTAGTTATCAAATGGTTTGTAATAAAGAAATATTATTGGCTCATAATAAAATATATGGATATATATTTTTTCTTGATAGGAAAATTTATTTTCGGAATTTAATTATTTACAAAGCAGAAAGAGGTTCTTGGCATATTTTGATATGTGTGCAATATAATTAAATGTTACTTTAGACAGACATCTGACCAAGCTGATCATTGATCATTGAACCTAAACAACACTGACGAGAACTTAGAGAATGTTTTCTGGTCTCTTTCGGCAAAAAAAAAAAAAGAAAAGAAATGAAATGAAACAGGGTAGATGAGTTTCGTTTCATAATAGAAGAGAAAGAATGCCTATCTTTTGGAATTAATAATAATAATAATAATAATAAATGATAATTATAAGTGATAGTAATAATAAATGAAAATATTGGTAATAATAAATTACAATAACAACAATAATAAATAATGAATAATAGGCGTTTCGGCTATGATTAATGATCGCTCATACTGGTGTTTCATCACCAATTTCATCTTCCTCTTTCTATCTCCCTCTCCTTCCCTCTCTCTTCTTCTCTGTCTCTCTCTCTCTCTTTTACTCTTAAAAAGGAAATAAGCGGTTTATGAGAGAGTTTTAATGGATACAAAAACATGCATTTGCTCCACTAATATATGATGCAAATGCTAACTTGACTAAAGCATAAACGAATTTCATATTCGTTCCCATTTGGGAAAGTGACACATTGAAAACTTTAGTTTTTATTTTCATTTGTGTCAGCCGTTTCATTCATCAAATAATATAATGGAAATAATTGGTAGAAAAGAATATCAACAAAATTAATTGTCTAATTATTCATAATATCTGCTCTACGAATTACACAATCGAAAAAAAAAAAAAAAAAAAAAGAAAATGATAAAAAATTGTTGACATTAAAAATTATTAAAAAAATAAAGTTACAATAAATAAAAATAGCAATATGCAGCAATATGTATGTGGATAAAATATGGTTATTAGTTAATTCAAAAAAAATTTTTTTTAATTACACAAATTTTATTTTTTTAAATGGGATAGAAATTTTATTGCTTTCTACTTATAATTACCAAAGTAAAATTTTGTAAAAAAATTTTTACAATTTAATGTTTTAATCACATTCATGCATTTAGATACAATTAATTTAGAAAGGAAAAAAGGAAATTGTGATTTTAATATATGCGTAAAAAAGTGCGTAAAAATTTTTACATAATTTCGTATGAAATATACACTTTAATTTATTGATATAATTCAATCCATGTAGGAGATAAAGAAAAAAATAGAAATTGAAAATTTTGTAATAATAGAATCGAATTTATAATAATAAGGAAACATTTAATATTTGAAAAAAATAAATCGATATATATATATATATATATATATATATTTCAAAATATGTCAAAAAAGATTCTTCCAGCAAAACTGATGAAATTTCAGTTTTGATGTAATGATTTTATATTCCTTGTTATTTGTTTTTCCTAAATTACAACAGCAACAAACAACAATATCAACAACACTAACAATAAAAACAGTAACAATAAGCGACAACAACAAACAACATTCTACAATAACGGGAGCAATAAAAGCAATTACAACAGCAATAACAATAATAGCGGCGATGACATCCAAAAAAATAATTTCCAATTGCTCATCCTAAATTACAACAATAACAATGACAATAAAAGAAACACGGTGCGGTAAACGCAATTGGTGGGAGATGGGATGATTTTATTCAAATTCAGAATATCATTTTCAAATTATATATATATGAAAGACTAAACAATATGTAACAGTTGTTTCTTTTTTAATATTATGATTGCAATAAAATGTGTTAAATATTCAATAGTTTGGACGTGATAACGTGATTTAACCGATATATGTTTAAATTATTAACTGTTTCAAATACTAATCTGTTAATTTCCATTTTATTACTTACATTATTACAAGTTAATCTTAATTTCCTGTTCGATACTTTCTCAACATAACTATGAAAAATTTTTGTTACTTCCCCATTCAAATGATAAATTCTTTGATTCTTTGATATATTTGATATAACAGTAAATAATAATTATTTGCAATACTAACTTACATTTTAACGATTATTTCTACAATTTCATTTTGATAACACACGATAATAAACAGCGTACCCATTTTATATCTTTCTATTTTTTATTTCAAAATTTTATTTTTCAATCTCTTTCTTTTCCTTTTTTCAATTTATTTAATAAAATTTTGATCAATTATTTGTAATACATTGCTAAGTTTATTTTATTTTCCTTATTACCAACAGACAATATATTATCATTTGTAAAAAATCTTTTGCAGAAGAAATAAACAATAAATTCTCAATTACAAATGAGAGAAGGTAAACAAAGAAATGAAATATATGTATATAAAGTTTATGTCATTTAAAAACTCCATTAATCTTTAATTATTCAAATATGATATGATATAGCACAATTTATTTTGTTCAGCAAAAATTTTAATTATTTTTAAAAAAATTTTAAAAAAAAAAAAAAAAAAAAAAAATTAAATTAAAAAAAAATTTTAATCAAAATGTAATAATTATTCAAATATGATATGATATAGCACAATTTATTTTGTTCAGCAAAAATTTTAATTATTTTTAAAAAAATTTTAAAAAAAAAAAAAAAAAAAAAAAAAAAAAAATTAAAAAAAAATTTTAATCAAAATGTAATATATTGCACTATATCAAATGATATAGTGCAATATATTACATTTTGCATAAATTTAAATTGTTGCTAAGATTTTAAAAATTCCATAACACATACATATATTTCTTTTTTCTAATTTGTTCACCAAAAGAATATATTTAAGAAATTATTTTATAAATTTTTATTAAAATTTCAATATTTTATGAAATTATTGAATTTTCATGACAACGATAAATGTGCGTTTTTGAGCATTTGCATACCAATGTCACATTCACAAGAAATGACTAACTCAAAATTTTTAAAAAAATAAAAAAAAAATTAGAAGAAAATTTTAAAAAAATTGAAAAGTTTGAAAATTTATAAAAATCTTTTGTATTTTTTTCTCAAATGACACAAAAAAAGAGTGAGGACAAAAGTTTTCAGAAAAAAATATTCCAAAACTAAAAAAATACGAAATATTAAATTTTTGAAAAAAAAAATTAAACAACCATTAAATTTCATGTTTTATTATCATATGTAGAAATTATTAACTTCAATCAAAACAACAAATATTTTTTTAATCATTTAAAGAAAGAAAAACAAAAGATTTTTTTTAAGAAAAGAATAAAGAAAGATATTGAAAGATATGAGATAAAAACGATAACAATTTGTTGAATTGAATTTTAGACGACGGTGGTGTCAACTGCTGGACCATATGAATTAACCATTAGTTTATTCATCATTTTTGTACCCTATAATAAGTAAAAATAAAACTTCTCTAATCATTTCTTTTTAATTAGTCATTTTTTATTAGCAAATAAAAAAGAAGTAAACAACGAGAATTTCCATTTTAATAGAAAAACTTTTTTTTTTTTCTCTTTGAGAAAAACTTTGTTTTTTTTCCTCTATTTTTTTTCGAAAAATTCATTTTTAATTTTTTCTATCCTTTTTTTTTTCATTTGAGAAAAAAATAAAATAAAAAAGGAAAAAAAGAGATCATCGTAAGGAAGTGATAATCATTATCCTTTCTTTTGCATTTCGTATTTCTTTCAATTGTATTACTACGTATTTAAAATTTGAATTTATTTAGTATTAATTACGACTAAGTTCTAATTCAATCACTAGTTTCACTCTTTGATTATAAAAAGTAATAAAATGATAATAATAATTTGATACATAAAAAAAAGACATTTATGTAAAATTGAAAAATAAAAACCTTTTTAGAACGATGACGCATTCGATGGACGCCACATAAATTTGAACCAAACTGCAAAGCAATAAATTTCTTTCACCATTCTACATCATTTGGAAGGTTTTTGTTCAAAAAAAAAAAAGTGTCATTTACTTATTATCCAAAAAAAATTCAAAAAAAAAAAATTATTTCAGATTATATTATGAAATGAATAGTAATAATAGCAATAATAACAACAATAGTAATAATAAATAATGGCAATTAATAATAATACTACTACTAAATAATAATGATTAATAATGATAATAATAGTGATAAATATCTGTAACCTTTTCGAAAATAGTACGTTCATCATCTTTTGAAATCCAAATGAAATTAATAATCAGTGATAGTAAAAAAATTGCGACAAAAAAGCACATTGATGCAGCTAATGGACCCAAATAATCAGTAAATCCAAATATTTGCTTCATCGCTTTACTATCATTAATCAATTAATCAGTAACATGTTTTATTGAAAGAAAATTGGAGGAAAAAAGCCAAAAGAAAAAATTTCATAACAAAATAAAATTAACAATTTAATTGTTCAATATATAAAATAAAAACGAAGCAAAAAAAAAGAAAAAAAGTAAGTGTGGGAAAAATAAAAATAATTGAAAAATTTTCAAACATCAGTTAAAAATTATAAATTTAATGTTTTCTCGTATTTTAAATCTGAATCTTTTCATAACTAATTTTTCACATCTAATACAGTAACACTGTTTATGCTTTTATTCGACGGAAAAAAGGATCGAAAGAAGAAAGTAGAAGAAAACAGATTAATAAAATATCCCTAAAGAATTGTTAATATTTTAAGTTTACTAAAAGACATCGTATATTATTGAAGGAAAAAAAAGGAAATGTATTGATTAAAAAAGAAAAATGTTTTTTTTTTTTCCTCCTTTCCTCTGTTTTTTTTTTTATTTTTATTTCCCAAAAATTCACTCAAATATGATCCAAAGTCTTATAGAATGCATGAAATAACTTAAAAAACAAAAATTTTAAATAATTCCAAAGATTAAAATGCAAAAAAAAAAAAAAAAAAACAATTAGAACAAATCAAAATAATGCAATAAAAAACAGAAAAGGAACTTGTTTTACTTTTTTTGATTATCTTAGTTTAATTTAAGCAATTAAACATTTATTTCTACTAAAAAATAATTTTGTAAATAAAAAATATGAAAAAAAAAAAAAAGCGATGAATGGAGGAAAAAAGAGCAAAAGTGACATATATGGGAGAACAGATAGAATGCTAATGGAGAGCGAATGGGTCGGTCAGTAAAGATTTGTTTAGTTGCTTTGGTCAGTTGATTGATAGCAGAATCTGCGACCATAATGACCTCATTTTGCTAATTTGAATAGTAAATGAGGGAGGCAATGAGCGCATACATATTTAACCATTCTTTAATAACATTTTTTTTCTTTTTTAAAGCGATTTTTAAAGTGAATTTTAATGAAACCATTCATGATATAGCTATTCTGTTGTTGTTATTGTTCTTGTCATTTGTTATTCTTACTGTGATCGTTCTTATTATACTGATTGTTGTTTTTGTTCTTCTTTGTTGGCTGTTGTTACTGTTGCTGTTATTTCCTGTTGTGGTTGTTCTTGTTTCCTGTTGTGGTTGTTCTTGTTGTTCATCGTTTGTTGCTACTGTTGCTGTTGCTGTTGTCGTTATCTTTTTATTGTTTGTTGTTTTTGTTGTTGTTGTTACTTGTTGCGGTTGTTTTTTTGTTGCTATTATTATTCTTTCCATCATTATTGTTCTTGTCTCTGTTATTGTTATTCCTGGTGCTGTTATTACCATATGTTATTGCTAGATTAGCGCAACATTAACCATTTTCAACAATAATTTTCTTCAGAATTCTTTTCTTTCTTTTTCACATGGTAACACTAGACCTTAATAAAATTATTAATGAGATAGTTACTCTGTTCTTATTGTTATTGTTGTTTTGTTGTTATCATTGATTTTTTTGCTAAATGATTATATATTATCAATACATTCATAATAAAATATGTTTGCTTTTCATTTCTGAAAATAAAAACAACAATTAGTACATTTTCATTTTAAAAATTTAATAATAAAGGAAAGAAAAGAAAAAGAAAATGGAGAAATGCGAAATTATGTAAAATAAATGAACTGGTTGTAATTTATCAGGAAATGAATTAAATAAAATTAATTGGGATTTAATTAAAACACAACGAGGAAATTAAAATTTATAATAGTTTAAAGAAGATGAAAGCGAAAAAAGAGATGGAAATTTTTTTACGATGATAGGATATTGAAATCATTATTCTTTTTCAAGTTCATATTGTATAAGAGCAATGTGGTATTGTTCTGAACAGTGAGTGTGTTAATTCGATTAGTGATAAGAAATACATCGTTCAGTGATATCAAAATCTACTATAAGAATAAATTTTTAATATTATTTCAATTTATGAGAGGTATGCAAAAATGAATAGTAAAAAAATTTTCTTCTAAATTTTGAAATTATTAATGAGATAGCTGCTCTGTTGCTATTATTATTGTTATTGCTATTGCTACTGTTATTATTGCTGTAATATTATCTTTCGATTGTAAAATTAGTCTTTTTGATTGCAAGAATTGTGAAAATGTCATCGAACTTCTCATAATGATCATAAAATCGAACAAATATACTTTCTTCACATTTTTTTTTTTTTTTAAATCCACGAATTGTTTACCTATAAAATCTTTGCTGTAGTTAAAAAATAAACTAACTGCTATCATTTGACCAAAACCAGAATAGATGTTTTGTCACAGATTTAACTCACCAATAATTACATATATTTTATTAATTATAATTTTCAAAAATTTAAATCTTAATGCTATAGTTATGACAACATGTGATAAAAATGTGGTTGATAAAGATAATTGTAAAGCTCAAATAATATGAAAAAAGAAAAGGAAAAGTATTGTTTCTTGAGATAACAAATAGAATGCAAATGATCAGATCAATGATCAGACATCATGATTGAGTGAATGATTTTGTAAACAACAAACAGTACTTCGCATCCAATATTACTAAACCGGTATTTGCTTGTCTATCATTCCGGATTAACGGAAATATATTTAATTATACAACAATAAGGAGTAATAAATTATCATCTAAAAGTATTCCTTTTCTTCAATTTTTGCTGAAATTTAACTAAAAATTTCATTGCAAATTAATAATTATCATACAAACTGAAAATTTTCTTATTTCAGGAAATAGATAGCAAATAGAATGCAAGTGACCAGGATCAATAAATAATGGAGCGAAATAATTAAAGAAGATAAATAATGATAAATAATATCACAATTGATATTATTTGATGAATAATGATATGAAAATAATGGTGTCAAATAATGATAAGTATTTGATGATATGTCGTTGATGATATAAGGCAAATGTGAATGAATTTTTCCTTTATGCAATGCATCGAATTATCATAAAATTGATATCGCAATTGATCAGTGACAAATTAATTTATTGACAAAAAAGTGAAAAGAAAAAAATATATATCATACAGAATAAAATAATATATCACATTTATAATCATTTATTTATTCAGTCATTTAAACATAAATCATCATAAATACACTCTAATAAACATATTTGCTTACAAATCTAATTAATTTAACAATGAAATAATCAGTAAAATAAAATTTCTTGTATATACCAAGTTTGTGTTAAAATATTATTTCAATTCTTTGATTAAATTAGAAAATCTTTCAAAAAATACTTTGACAGCAAGCATAGAGTTTTTTTTTTAATTTTATATTTTTTTATGCTAAATAAACTGGTATTCTTATATATTTATCTAGCTATCTGCACGATAATTTAACATTTATTAAATGAATCTTCTCAATGTTTTTCTTGACTGATAATTATTATCTAAGTAATGATAAGATAGATAAGATGGAATAAACGTGGAATATTTATATGAAATATTATCATTGATACTTTTTCTATTTTTTGAAATGCCATAGAAAATTGTACTTTTACACTGTGGTATTTTCATTCGTAATTTTTGGCTACATTCATTGGATAAAGTTCGATAATTAGCATAAATTGGATTCATGAAAATATTTGATGCATATTTTGATTTTACTTTACAAAATTTTTTCAATTTTATTTTTCTCTGCGCTAAATTTCTCATTTTTTGCTTCTTTTTTCTAACAAACGGTAGTAAATGTGTAAGTGATTTCATTGAAAATTTCCAATACTTTGTTTGTAATTTATTTTTTTTTACGATTTTCATTTTCAACTTTTTTCGTTTTTTAATGCTTAATTTATGTGAATTTTGCGGTAAATTTAAATCATTTGTTATGTTTTCGAATAGTTTTTTCACATCTTTGAGTGACTTCTTTTTATTATTATTATTAATTTCAACCGTATAAGGATACTGTGATATATTTGAAACTTTTTGACTATTATTTTCAATTTTTTCCAATGAATACATCTGATGATGATTTATTTTAAAAAAATGATCAATTCTACACTTATTAATATCATACAGATTATCATTGCTATTTACAACTATTTTAGTGGAATTATTTTTTGGATATGTAAAATATTGATTCAAATATTCTTCATTCATAAGTAATTTTGAATGTTTCATAATTGTTGGTTGTTCTGTAGTATTATTTTCCTCATTTGTTAATTTATCAAGGTGAAAATTTTCATTTTGCTTTAAAATAAAACTGTCATCAGATGATGAATTTATATGTGACATATTTCTTGTCACTATTTTTGATCCTTTTAATTTATAAATTCCATCATGTAACGAAGATGTTCGCTGAGAATCTAATTGATACGTTGGATACGAAGCAATTTCCATAATTTCAGATGGCGTATTTGTTTGCTCAATTGATTTCGTATAGCTTTGTTGCGCTTCTAATTTGCTATTAGCTAAACAATTTTTGATTTAAATTTAAATAATTTTTTTTTAAGTTGTGTGAAATTTGAGAAAAAATTTCATAATATATATAAATTAGTTGTAAAATTGTTTAATAAAAATTTTCGTATTAAATAAGAAAATTTATTTAAACTAATTAATAAAATTATTCAATCTGACATCTTTTTCCAATCAAGTTTTCTTTTTTTTTTTAAAGTTTTAAAAAAATGAAAAATTTTGACATTTCTAGCAGATATTACGAAATTATTTGTATTACTGTTATAATTACATATTATACTGTAATTACTTTAGTATTACTATTTTTTAATTTAGCAGTATTAATATAATCAGTAATGCCAGAAATATTATAAATATAATAGAAAAAGAAAAATCATTTACCAATTTGAAAATATTTTTCAGTTGCCTGATTCATTTTCCAATTTCTGTAATATTCATTACCATATATTTTAGTGCATTGAGCATTTTGATATGCATCGCTACTCGACAAATTGTCCAATTCATCGTCACTTTTGTTTA